CAAAATCAGTTCAGCCATTTCGGAGATTAGCCGGAACAAACAGACAGCCAGATTTTTTTTTTAAATTATGTTTTTTTATAAGTACCCACTGTATATAATTTCATATGCATTTAGTAAACACTTCAATATTATTTATCTCTATAAAAAACTAGCATTGCCCGCGGCTCCGCCCGCTTTCAGATGACCAAAAACCAAATTCTTAGGTTTAACATATTAGTATACTCTTACATTGCAGTTTTTGTATTTCTTCTCAGAAATGAGACATTTTCCCGCGGTAAAAAGTATCTTATATGTTGACCCGAATAACCAGCTCTCACCATACCAAATTTCATCAAAATCCCTCTAATGGTTTTTCTGTGATGCAGTAACAGACAGACAGACAAAATTTCTAAAAACTATAGATTCGGCTTCTGTATCGATAATCATGTTTATTTCAATAAGATTTTCCAAAAAATAGATAATGTACAGATTCGGCTTAGTTACAATTTTATTACGTGTATAGGTTTCCTTATACTGTCTAGAAATCACCAACTATAAGCACATGAATATGAATAATCTCCTAGTTTATTTCAAAGGCCACCGTCATTGGATGGTGTTAAGATTTTTTATAAAATCGTTTCTTTTGATGTCGAAATATATTCAGATTATCGTATTTTATTTTTTATAGATTTTGCTAATTACAAGTATCGTTACGTTAGTTAAGGTAGCTACTAAAGTTTATCAAGAAGATTACTTACATCATTTATCTTTTATGATTTGCTTTGATATAATCAAGCAGTGATAAAGAACATATAATTTGCATAATTGTCTGTTATTTTTGTTCGACGTTTCGTTTATTGATGCTTAAAAAATGGGTGGGTACATAATAAAATTTTGATGGATATTCTACAGAAATTTTTCTTCTAGCAGTGAGAATAGACCAATCCTAGATGTCTTTGATCGATTCGTGTGATCAATCGAGTTATCCTATTTAGGTATACCGTACAACATAACTAAGTATTAAACTTATTTTGATAAGCAAATATTTTCAAGAAATACAACAACAAACAAACAAAGAAACACAACAAACAAGTATAGGCCTATGTTTTTGACCTCACGTACTCTTAGACATTTAAGTTTTGTTTAAGGAAATGAACTAGTGATTGAGTATTGATGCAAAAAAGAGATTTGATAATCTTGAAAAACTATTTTACTAGCAAAACACGTATAATAAATACATATACTTAAAAATGCAAAACGGCTTTTATAATAGAAACAAATTATTTTAATGCAAAAAACTATATTCAATAGGCGCTTTAATAAAAAAGTTCTTCGTTTACAGATACTTTATTATGATTAGAACTCTACATATAATTTTGCAACATTATTTCTCATACGATTTTTAAATCTAAATATAAATATGTACCTACAGTAAATATTTTATTTACATAAAAAAAATGTTAATAGGGTTTCATAACTACTTGAAATTATGTTTTGTAAACTTAGCAACTAACCATGATAATGTTGTCATACCTTTAGCGTGCTAACATAATAGGCACCTTATATTCTAAGGACGCCCTATTTGTCCCTATATTATTGTGTAGTTATTATACGTGCGACGTCGATTGATATATAGATCGTTATATAATTTTAAATAAATATCTTTAAATGCTGATTCCTATTATATTATCAACGTAAAACTCACAACAAAACAATATCTATGTAAAATATAAGTACCTACCTTTTTTTTAACGTAGGGAAATGCTTTTACACACAGGTTATATGGGACTCACTGGCAAAGCCAGTAGTACTACCCACAAAGCCCAACAGAACCTCCCCCGTCTTAATGAGGTGTCGCAGGATCGTTTACGCACTCAACCACGACGCCCCAACGACAGGTCTGCCGAAACAGGCCACAACAAGCATTGGGTTGCTCGTTATCAGAAAAGTGCCAGGAGCAACCCACATGGCACCCCGCCCACCGTGGTGGGCCACCTCCCAGTGCGTTCTTTGGCTTCGCGCCCGGCTGGATTACCGGACGCTAATGAGGGTGTGTAGAGATGTGTAAGTGGGCAGGCCCCACCACGACAAGGTGAACGCATATTATGGGGAGGGGAATATCAGTCGTAACCTAATATCGAATTATTAACATAATATTATGTTTATTAATTAATAATTAAACTCACGAGCGGTTAAAATGTGTTTATATTTTTTATGAAAATTAAAATGATCCGAATATGAATATTCGGTGTGCCAATTGTGCTAGTTAAATATTTTGTTGACACATGGTGATTTGTGTAAGTATATGCTTTGCAACTCGGCTTGCAAGGTGTTCTAATTATAAAACTCGTTTAATGTTCAATTTTATAATCTGGGAAATGTCTTCTTGCAAGTGCGAAGACTTCTTAGTGCAACTAACCGCGAGGCAGGCGAACACGGTTCTACATTACGTAAAACGACGTGCAGCCAATGACCTACTTAAGAGACTATTAAGTTAACAATAAAAAAAAAAATATTGGTGGTATTCCTTAAATTATTAAGAGCAATCTATTTAAAATAAATTACAAAAATTTTGTATTTCTGAATTGTGATAGTCACTGTTTATACTGAGATGTTGTAATACACACATTCTTGTTACGTCACAGCCCACTTACAGACAAGTACCTAAGGTAAATAATTTTACTTTATCTTCGGTGATATAGCGATATGATAATTGATCCGTGCCAATTTTAGGCCACCAGTAAGCCACTCCCCTCTATTACTTGCACGTCACGTTAGTGTTAAAAAAATTAATTATCACGAAGATAAAATTAAATTAAATAAACACGTAGGTACGTAGATATTGTAGAAATAGTTGTTATCGCGATGGCTAAGTGTAATATTTCTTATAAAATATGTGTTATCAAAGACGAATAGATGAAAAAATTACGTTATTTCACTTAAGGTGCTGAATAGCAAGACGTGATGACATGCTTTCCTACATGTTATACTTACAATTGACTGAGTGTTGTAGCACGTAATATTATTTGATAAAATGATATGTGAATCATTTATATACTTCATATCATGTACTTATTCCTCGTAAAAAGTAGTATATTATTATTTCTTTAAATTATATCTTTTATATGTATTAAATTTAATTAAATCTTTCAAAATAATATTAAACGCCTAGTTATCTGACAGAATGATAATTACCTATTTTCTTTCTTTACGTCAATCCAACGTTTTTATCAGGTAGCACAGTAGGTAGTGTTGGTTCCCTAATAAAACTTCGAAATATTCCTTGCTTATATTCTTATATTCAGTACCTACTTTTATAATCGTCAGTGAATTACATAATTTATAATCATAATTTTCAGCATTACAAACAATTCGTGCCTAGTGGTACCGACATCTCTGTGCAAAAGCGCGGAAAAACAAATGAAAATCCCCGCCTTTTTTTATTTTTTTTAAAACAAATTCCTATCGACCAAGGTCACATAAGTAAATGCCTTATACATAAGTCATTACAAATTAATCAAATATATTATTTTCTATTAAAACACTCAATATATAAAAATGCAACCTTACAGTAGGTATTTATATACGTTTAGAATCGATACCTACTTTAAATACGTTAACGTAAGACGGTTAATCGACCAGCCTTATTATAGAAGTAACTATACAGCTATTACCGAATAATTTATTTGTAGCAAAATTGATAGTTTTCCATAGGTACGAGTAGATAATCGTGCTCCTAAGATAATTTAAGTAGATTAAACATACCTAATGGTATTATAATGAACTTACTTAGGGTACCTACTGTTTTTAACCTTAACTTGTACAATACGAAGAGAAGGATTTTCCTGTTAATTTTTTATTACGAGACTGCTTTATCTGTTTATCTTTTAGCATGACGTATCCAGGCAAACTAACGATTATCAATATAAAGTGGTTTCGAGTAAGTGTTTACCTTTATAACCAGTACAGACAAATCAGAATGAAGAATTGAGAGATAACAAGTAAAGAAATGTATTTTTTAATATCATTGCGTTTATAGATAAGATAAAATATATCAAATCATCGCTCGTTCTCGGAGAATCGAATTCGGACAAGGCTCTTTGAAAGTAAAAAAGACCACTCCTCAATTTTGCATATTTTTTATTTTAATTCACGTGTCACATATTTAATATGTGTGAAATTATACGTTTTCATTAGTTATATTTCATTAGACGTTTAGAGTAAAAGGTTATTCATTCATTTTGTCGTCTGCTCGTAGTTTCAAATATTCTGCCAACAAACACGTGTTACATTCAATCTTATCTTACATAGCGTATTCCATTCCGTTTGTGAACTTTCAGAACAATACACATTAGGTTCGTTTTACAATAAATTATAATCATATAACTATTATATCATGTAGTATATATGTATTACCAAAATATACGTTTTTAGATTACAGTACTCGGTACTGTTCTGGATTTGTATCAATTTGATATGATAACTTCACTGTCATGTTGAACTTCATAAAATTGTAATTATTTATAACAAAGTTGAATGGTATGTCCTGTATAGGTAATGCTTGTAATTGTTAAATGCATACGTGTAAGTTAACCATCGAGATTCTTGCAACTTGGGAAACAATGACACACGTCATTCACAATAAGCTTTAATTAATAATTGAAGCCCTTTGTGGAAATAATGTTAAGAGTATCTGATATAATATCTGAGCTATGAAAATAATTGTTCATATCAGCTTTATCATCAATCAGACTAAAATCTTTTAAAAATCGAAGTCAAATATGTCAAGTACGGCTTACGACCTTTGCAATGTAACGGGTCGTTCATCCACTTCCTTGCAAAATAGTTGAGAAGGACGGTAGCTGACCTCTGATTAAAAGTGACTCATTCTTATCAATAGAATACGTGTCAACATAGATACTTTAATTTTATTTGTTTTTTGTATTTATTTGTTTTTGTATAGTTAAAGCATCTATCTGAAATTATGTCAATTGTCTTATGTATAATTTCTTTTTTTACAGATTTTATTGCTCATACGGTGAAGCTGAAGGTGTGTCACTTTACTAAACGGGATTCATAAGGTTAGTTTAATAATAAGTTTAGGTGCGTGTATTTGTATAGTCGAACTTATTAATACTCATCCTTTATAGAAGGTAGAACAATTTTACATTGCTATTCATTCATTGAATATATTGAAAATCAAAAATAATGTAGTCATTTGTATTTAAAGACACTACATTTTTGTTGTTAAATCAACCTTTTGAAGGATACTAAAATTATATATATTAAACTTGTAAAACTAAAAGAACAATCTTATAAAAGAAGATATAATTATAAATGTATATTACTAGCAGAACCCGCGGCATCGCTCGCGCTAAAACTACAAAAATCTCTAAAAAGATAGTTTCATACAAACTTTTGTCCCTCATTTTACCCCCTTAAAGGGTGAATTTCGAAAAATGCTAAAACACGTATTTATTTTATTGAAGAGCATTAATACCAAGTTTCAAGTAATTCTGATCATAAATATTTTTTTAGATTATATCATACCGTGTTTTCTCGTGGGAATGAGATTATCTCCAGACAAAAAATCACGTCAATTTGTCACTCCGTTTCAAAAGTTTCGTTTTTAAAGACAAACAAACAAACATACTTTCACATTTATAATATTATTAGTAATTAGCTAATATGGATTTATCCACCCTCTCCAAAACATATCGTTTTGAATATTTGTGATATTTTGTCAACGAGGTCAAGGTTTTATAATCTGTACAAACGTCACACCACATTACGCCATCTAATGATCTATCACAGAAACCAGTCAGCAGAGCAGTCAGTGACAGTGACTAATAATGAGTACCTAGTCAGTAGGACATGTAAATGTAGATAGAAGTATAAAATTATGTTCTAGTCTTATATGTACTAGTGGTGGTTCATACTAGGAAAAATTGGAAACCTGTTACACCTGTTCCTGTTCCAATGAAATAACAGTTTCAATAACCTGTTCCAAAATAACAGCCTGTTCCATCAATACTACAATAACAGACTAAGCCGTTCGGATACACGTAAAAAACATACTATTGAAATTTTAGTAGCTAAATTTCATTTTTAATTTTATTGAACTAAATTGTAATATATTTATTAAATTAGGTATTTCAATAACAATATTTAATTTTAAAGTTTATTTAAAATAAAATCACAATAACATAATAATATTACGCGAAAATATTGTTGTTTTTTTTTATTTCATTTTCAACTGTAAATTCCCAAATAGTTTTTTATGTGTATCCAAATGTGTGAACAGGAAGATGAACAATAAGATGAGAACAATATTAACCTGTCTCTTTCTAAGTTCCTATTAGCATATGCATGACTAGCATTGCCCGCGGCTCCACCCGCGTTCAGATGACCAAAAACCAAATTCTTAGGTTTTACCTATTAGTATACTCTTACATTGCAGTTTTTGAATTTTTTCTCAGAAATGAGATATTTTCCCGCGGTAAAAAGTATCCTATATGCTGACCCGGATAACCAGCTATCACCATACCATATTTCATAAAAATCCCTTTAGTGGTTTTTCTGTGATGCGTTAACAGACAGAAGACAAAAATTCTAAAAACTATAGATATTCTAAAAACTAAACTATAGATTCGGCCTCTGTATCGATAATAATGTTTATTTCAATAAGATTTTCAAAAAAATATTTAATGTACAGATTCGACATAGTACAATTTTATTATATGTATTATGTATAGAACATAGAACAGGCTAGTTCCACGGTGTTCCAGTTCCATTTTGTATCTGTAACAGATTCGTATTGACAATTGTTTGATGTTTCGTAAATCGTAATAGGTACGTTTTGGAACAGGAAGAACAGGCTAGTTCCACGGTGTTCCAGTTCCATTTTGTATCTGTAACAGATTCGTATTGACAATTGTTTGATATTTCGTAAATCGTAATAGGTACGTTTTGGAACAGGAACAGGTTTTTCGGTTATGACGGAACAGTTCCATGTTGTTACTTTTAAAAACCTGTTTTTTTAACCTGTTCCGATATATACGCCTCACTCTTAATATGTACCAATGTATTATGAGATTTTATGAAATAAACTTGTATATGTTTGTTAGAAGTCATTTATATAAATACTATATTTTTAACATTATGAACTGATGAAAAAGATAGGTGTGAATTTCTCATGCAGATCTTGTCATAGTGCCCCAGTACACAGGTACCTGAATGTTATCTCATCCCGCCTTGGATAAGGAGGTTTGCATTTTATGGAATTGTTGACACATATTATAATTTTTATTTCAGAAAACAAGAAAATGGCACTAATACTGCAATATATAAATGATATGCACGTTTTTATGGATAAATATGGAGGTAAGCAACTTTAATTACGTCCTCAAAACCTATATCACAGAATAATACTTAGTTCACGCTTTTCAATCAAAATTGAGAAACTTAAATTTCATAACATGTGTTTGATACTAATAAATAAAGTATAGTAAAAAGGTCATGCATGAAAAAATATTTTGATTTAGAATTTTTGAGCCAATATTATTTTTTATAATCTAATACAGCAAATAACTCCATGTAACCTCATTTTAAGCTAGTAATAATTTACTCATGATATGATATATTTAGTTATAAACATATGCATACCATAGATATTAAGATTGTTTTTTATCTTACAGATCCTCGGACAAATCCATGGTTCCTGATGAGTTCCCCGTTTCCTACATTATTAATATGTCTAAGTTATATTTATCTAGTCAAGGTAAATATACTTATAAAATTTATTTTGTTAAGAAAAATTACTCAATATTTGTGAAATTAGATTATATATTATACCAATTTTAATCCAAAGCTTAGCTTACATGTTAATACAGAATTCTTAATTTTATTCAAGATCATTCATACGAGAGCTATTACAGTAGCAAATTTGATATTTAAATATTGTGAATTAATAACTATTAAGTTATTTATAAAATAAAAATATATGTAGCAATTACTCATAGTACTTTAACAATGTTACTTTTCAGGTCCTAGGCCCTCGTTTTATGGAAAACAGAAAACCATATGAATTAAAAAATGTATTAATAGTTTACAACTTTTTACAAGTACTATTTAGTGCATGGCTATTCTATGAGGTAAGCTTCAAATTGCTTAATTTATAATTAAAACAGATTCATATTGTAGTTTTCAAAGAGTATAAAAAAGATAAAAATGTGTGACTTAAACACTGATTGCAAAATATGATTGTCAAATTGAACAAAAATCACTGCCAGCTATAAAGGTTTTTAAGAAGATTTACTTGAGTATATAAAATAAAATTGTTTACTTCTTCACCACATTAGTAAAACAAAAATAAAATTATAAATTCTCCACTAGTTTCAAATATTACTTGTAAACTTTTGGTTTTTTGTTCAAAAGCTATGTGTAACAACTATGAATTTTTGAGTAAGTACTATTTCTTAAGTATAATAAAAAATATAATAATATGTATTAAAAATGAATAATATTATACTCTTTTTAAACTTTTTTTTAAAACTTGAATAGATATATGAAATATTTTTTAGAACTTTATTATTTATATTATGTATTACTTAATAATTTTATTTTACATATTATTAATTATTATATATATTAATATGTTGCAAGATATTTTTTTTTTTCAGCTAAAGGTACAGTAACATGCTATTGCCTGCAATTTTTTTTGTTAATGTATGTACATGAAAAAGTTTTCATCATTGATCCAATTCTAGACATATTTTTGTTGATTTATGTTGTATGTATGTGTGTTGTTGAGATATGTTGATTATGTAGATTAGAGCAATCAATTGATTTACTTAGTATTAACTATCTATATTCTTTAAAGTTTTGTGATACAGACAACAGATGTTTCTATTGAAAATAATATATAATCTTGGAAAATAATTAGTGTAATTTTGATTTTTAACAATAATAATAATACTTTAATGAGACTTTGGTAAAAGTAACTTTGTTTATTACATTAATTGATTTAAAACAATGTGGCCAGAGCTTGATGGGAGGCTGGCTGAATCATTACAGCTACCGTTGCCAACCCGTGGACTACTCTGACAATCCTATAGCTAATAGAGTAAGTGAATGCAATGCAAGCAATGCCTCGGATGGATAAGAACTAACCTCACTGTATATAGACATTGATCATTTTAGGAATTTGTAAATATTTTTACAGGGCGTATTATATGGTACTTAGAATATTATGTATTATATAAAGCTAACATATAAGGGTTAACACATACGATCATTATTACGCAAATGCGATATAATTTCATATGTTAGACTATGATGAGAATTGTGAAATAAGGATAGCAATACGCAATTATTAATCAGATGTTTCTCACAGGTCGTATGCATTGGCCTTTATGAAAGAGTTACATCAATTTGTTCCAATATATTGGACGACTCGTTATCGGCTTAAGGTGATAAAGGGTTGCTATGCAAATATACAAATAACACAGGGCCAGGTGTCGGCATATTGTTTCAGATAGGGGCCGCTGGCTGGTTCACAGGGAGGTATAGCTTTCAGTGTCAGCCGGTCGATCACTCGAAAAGTCCACAAACAATGAGGGTGAATTATCCACTTTTTTACCCCCTTTGCCTTTTTGTTGTCTTTTATCCTGTTGTAGTAGCGCAGGGGTGGTGAACCTTATATGGTTATTCGAAAAACAAATTAAATTATTTTGGGTTTTACTATATTTTTTCGTTTATTACGTAAAAAATGTTGGTAAAATTCATTCCTACTTTAGTTCAGTTTGCCAACCTGTTCCTTATTAGAGATGTGTAGATCCGAAGAATGTATCCATAAGTATGCCTACGTTTCAAATAAATGTCCTTAATAAAGGCTCTTTATAGTAACAGATACTGAGTCTAACGTAATAATTGGGGGATAAAACTAGTACTTATATAATATACTTCTGATGATTATGATATCAAAAAAATGAAATAAGGATCTTATTATTTGCGACAGACATGACATACCTACCCACTTTTATTTAATACATAAAATAATAGAAATATGTAATATGTACAATAAATAATTATTTCTTCGCAATTACTTACCAATCTCCTTTTGCCAAATGATTTTTATTAAATAAAGTAGAAATGAGAGTAAATCCTTGATTTTCGGACCTACCCATCTCTAATCACAGTCACTGTTAGCCCCTCTCTAATACTGTTCATTCACAATAAATGTATTGACACTTCACTTATATATACATAATTTGAATCTAACAGGATTAATATTTAATTATTAAACGTTTCGTTTTTATACTACAATGCGCACTTACTCACTGACTGAACTGACCCAGCTGAGTCTATTATCATATCATTTAATTGACATTATCATAACTAATTACAAATTAATATCAAGAGAAATCTTAGCAACATAATCTTTATATTGGTGACTATCGTCTGTAACTCATACGAGTGGAATAGAACAGGTTGTACCCTGAAATGTATAAGTAAAAAAATCGGCCAACTATGTGATTTGTTACTTTTTTTTTTAATTTTCTGGGTTTTTATTATTTGTTATTAAAACCGCCATTTAAACACATTTTGTTAAAAAATCATTTCCCGGCTATATCTGTTATGGGTCTAAATGCAGCCTCTTAAAAGTAGACTTTAGACTGACCTTTGGACAAATAGACCTAAATATTATATATATAATAATAACATATATTTTTTCGTTAATATCGATTTTTTTTACAAATCTCGCTTGCTTAAAACGATTTTCAGTTGTTTAATTTATTTACTAATTGCTTTAGAAAAATTCTATACCTTGAATCGAATTAATAGCCCATTCAATTCCACGATGTAGTCATCGACGTAAAAACTGGTAATAAGATTTTGTAATATCTATTATGCGTACATATGTCTATTTCGCATATGTTATAAATGAATTAGTGAAAAAAAAAACTGTTATTATCTTTATGGATCATAAAAAATAATAGATTTTATAAATCTCACAATCATGTCTCATCATTTCTCGTTGTCATTAAGCATCGTCATTACGATGTAAATATACATTCTCATAGCAAAACTCATGCCATATATTGCTGTATAAATTTCATAATTGTTGCGAGATTTTACGTTATGACAATTTTATACAAAACTAGTCGCAAGTGATTGTCCGCTTTGAGAGAATACGTACTTATTTACCTGTCTTGGCAGATATATATATATATATATATATATATATATATATATATATATATATATATATATATATGATAATCTATAAATTACTAGATAATATGAGATAGATATAGCTTTTTGTTTTATTTATTTTTTAATTTTTGGAGTCTCAATAGTTGCGGCTAGTTTTATTTCTTCCTAAAAAATCATTATTCATATAGTCTTTAGTTATTTTTATTATATGCTTTATTTTTACAAATAATGCAACGTTTTTTACAAAACCTCGTCTTCGTTTTTATTTTATTTCTTTGATTGTGACATGAACTTTAAAGCTTAGAGGTGAAAAAGGTGTATTTTTAATGCTTAGCATAAAATTGCCTTTTTAGTTTTCAATATATGTATTATAAAAGATTATAGTTATTTTTAACGTGACTATCATTACTATAATTATTACATTTTTCAGATGGTTCATGCTTGCTGGTGGTACTATTTCTCAAAGTTCACTGAATTCTTCGATACGGTGAGATTTCATAAGTTATTTTGCATATTTTTATATTCCCTCTCTCAAACCTGCTCTCTCTCTCTCTCTTATATATAGCATAAGAATGATATCCACTAAGTTTATTTGTTAACTTTGATAAAGAAGTTACAAATTATGGCTCACCGCGTTAATCTCTAATGACGGTACACAAGAAAGCTGAATGAAAAAATTAATATATGTATAGTTTTCCTCACTAGAAGTAAAAATTTGCCAGCTCCATACGAATTAGGTCAAATTCCTATCGCTAGCAAGGAAAGTTACAGAATAATCTTATTAGGATCCGCCGTCGATAGTCGTCGTCGAGAAAATACTTCAACCTAAAACGTACAAGTTTACCATAAAAAAGTTTTTTATTTAAGGCAAAAAAAACTAACAATTAAAATATATTTTATATTAATTCTTTATTAAATTATACTTTGTTTCCAGATCTTCTTTGTGCTAAGAAAGAAATTCGATCATGTATCGACCTTGCACGTTATTCACCACGGGGTCATGCCGATGTCTGTGTGGTTTGGAGTGAAGTTCACTCCGGGCGGTCACTCCACGTTCTTCGGCCTTTTGAACACGTTCGTCCATATTATAATGTACGCGTACTACATGTTGGCAGCTATGGGCCCGCAAGTGAGGCGGTACCTGTGGTGGAAGAAGTATTTGACTACGTTGCAAATGGTGAGAGCTTATTGTTTTTTTTAACTGCCCGAACTCTTCATATTGTTCGATACGATTCGAATACCACAGATCATATAATATACTAGCATGGAGTCTCATTAAGAACAAAGAAAAATTAGTTCAAATAAATGTCAATAGATGACGTTACACGTATTGATTTTTTTTATTAAAGTTGTGTTAATTTAAGAAAAGATAAAAAAATGAATACCAAAAAGGTGTATTTTTTTTTTAATATTTTAAATGAAGGGAAACGAAATAGTGCGCACGTAAAAATTGCGTAATTTTACTGATTAGATTATTGAAATATCAGCAATCAGATAATGGGTTTGTAGTGTATATTCACAGATGGCGCTTTTAGTTTTTATAAATTGTTTATCACGGCTAAAAATGGTTAAAATTACTGAATTTTGCACTATGTGATCTATGATACTAGTATTGATGCCCCATTCCATACAAATAAATTGTACAGCGCTAATTCGGGCTATTTTTGTTCGTTTAAATAATAGATGTCGTTAATCGTTATTTCTGACGAGACCCCATGCGTACACTATCGATCGCGAGTTGATGGTTCTATGTAAGAAACCATCGGAGACCAACGGAAACCAATGTATAGATTAGTAAACTGTTACCACACTTTACTAATCTATACAGTCTGCAGTCGTTTCACGAAAACGTCTAGACGACATGAGGCGTGAGTGAGGCGCTACCGACTGTCGAAAGTACTTTTATATCGTAGAGTCGGAAGACAGCTTTAGGGTTAGTATAATGTAGCTTACCATGAGATTATTACAGCTCTTTAAGTTCTAAACCACTCGCCATAAAATTGGTGTTTTTGACAACCCTTGCATTTAGCAGAATTTCCGTTAGGATCATAACGGGTCGCCTATTGTGGAGATTTTTAAACTGCTACTCACCAACAAAGGCAGACTACAACATAAAATAGAAACAGCCTAATAGACTCGCATTTTTATATAGGTACATAAAAATCTAGGTTGGTTGAACTTGTCGCCTTATTTATTCCTATTATTGACTTATTCCCGCATTCGTTGTATAGATATATTCGAATATATACATATACGAGTATTAATCAAAAAAGTATTTGTAGCATTGTAAATTTCGTAAAATATTTGTAACGTCTACTGTAAAAGAAATATTTCCAAATATGACAAAGCTAATTGAATTTATCGGTGTAATATGTATATACCCACTATTATTACAACAAAACAAATGCATAATCTATACATACTCTATACATATAATAAAATTGTAACTAAGCCGAATCTGTACATTAGATATTTTTTGGAAAATCTTATTGAAATAAACATTATTATCGATACAGAGGCCGAATCTACAGTTTTTAGATTTTTTGTCTGTCTGTCTGTTACCGCATCACAGAAAAACCACTGGACGGATTTTAAAGAAATTTAGTATGGTGATATCTGGTTATCCGGGTCAACATATAGGATACTTTTTACCGCGGGAAAATATCTCATTTCTGAGAAGAAATACAAAAACTGCAATGTAAGTGTATACTAAAATGTAAAGCCTAAGGATTTGGTTTTTCGTCATCTGAACGCGGGCGGAGCCAGTTATAAATACTATTACATATATATAAAGTGAAATGTAGGTACTTCAAATTGCTATTCAATCTAGATCTTATCTCTTATTACAACGTTCATTTGTAATCTATTGAACATTTCCTTGAATAATATTTAGCATTTCATTCTCGAATAAAAAATAATGATGACAGACATTATTTTATACACCAACATGTCTATGGTGCCGACACCTCGTATACGAACACCTTTTTTCACTAATAACCAAAGCTAGTACTACTTACTGAAACCTAACGAAACCTTCCGACTACGTAATAGTTGCGTTCGTTTGATCCCTTGCTGTATTGTTATTACTAAAACTTTAATTATGCAATTAATATGTAGGCTATTTAAGGATTTATTCTATAAATCATACACTTTAAAAACACGATTAAGTGTAGTTTTCTCGATAGAAAAAAAAACAAAATGATCTCTAAAAAACAAAATAAACCCTTAGTGCGGCGTAAATAATTCAAGGAATTTCATCAGGTTTAATAATAACAAAATTATACGTCTTCTATAACGTATAGAATTTACATAACTGCCTCGGTGGTGTAGTGGCTAGCATGCACGGCTTACACACTCAACTACGGCACCCCGACGCTGACGATATAGCCGGCTACCCTCGATCATGTATGATGTATCCCCTCTGCTCGCCTGATCTTAGAATTGGGGTTTTTCACGACGTTGGAACGTTGAACCTAGGAGTTGCCCTCACGGTTCAATCTTCGATTAAAGAAGTACATACTGCATAATAAACTCGTTAATTAATTAATATAATTAATTGTTGCATTGGTTAATTAATTATTATTTATAAATAATTCGTTCCAGCATTTAAATTTACTTTGTCTTTTACAAGGCCACTATTAATTTTCAACCTATCTTTTTTTACTTTATCAATGCCCTAATTATTTTACTAGCAGAACCCGCGGCTTCGCTCGCGTCAAACTACAAAAATAACTTTATAAAAATAGGTTTCATACAAACTTTCATCTTATGGGATGAATTTAGAAAAATGATAAAACATGAATTTAATTAATTGTATTGAAAGGATTAATACCAAGTTTCAAGTAATTCTGATCATAAATATTATTTTGGGTTGTATTGACATTACCTCATTCCCAAGAAATGAGGTAATCTCCCGCGGTAAATATCACGTCTATCCGTCACTTTGTATTGACGTGAAAGAAGGACAGACAGAGACAGACAGACAGACAGACAGACAGACAGACAGACAAACAAACAAACAAACAAACAAACAAACACACTTTCACATTTATAATATTAGTATGGATTGTCTTTACTTTAAAATATCTACTGAATTACTAAAACAAAATGTTTGCATACAATAAAATTGTCAATTACCTAATTAATTTATTTAATCACGTTTGTATGTTTTAACATAACAAATTACTTTGTATGCAAATACCCAGTTGTATATTTTTGAAAGTCATGATTAATTCATGAGTCTTTTCCTATATTATTTGTTCTTTTTTTCTATCAAACAGATTACTATATAAGATTCAAATTCTTTTTCAAGTTAATGAAAGACGTTTTAACCTTTTTTTAATAAAGAAATACATTATGTAGATGAAAATATTACATATCGATGGGTTATTGGAACAAAGCCGCAATCGACAAAATACAATTTTACAGGAAAAAAGATTTAGTGAAAATCATGAATAATTACTAAACTACGAGGCTCATCAAAACGGTTTATATATCAAAAGATGTGTTATTTTTTTCTGGACGGATATATAATGTACATAAGCTTATAAATCTAAGGAAATACCTAAAAACAAGTAAAAAATCATATTGCCGCTTCATACATTGAATGTCGTTTCCGTAAGAATCCATTGTGGTTTTATTCCGGTAAAAAGTGCAAAATTAATCAGACAGCAATAGTCTATTGCAACGTTGTACGCTGATCTGGAGTATGTATGGCGAATACAGTAATAGCGTTTTGCAGTGATGTTACATGAATTTAATGATCGACTTGGAAAATGTACTTGTGAATGCTGTGTACATTATATGAATATGGTTGTTTTGGAATGACTACAATCAATCTAGAATATATCGTAATTATTTATTATTATGTATTTATTATTTTTACTTAAAGTTTTGGACACAGCATAATTAAGTCATAAGAAAAAATACCAATATACCTATTTACCAGAACAATAACATAGTCTTCAGGTTATTTACATTTCTACGATCTAAAATGTATTAAAGTATTAATTTTGACGGTAGGTATCAAAAAGAAATAACAAAATTATCCATAAAGAAATGGTGTGTCTTCTTGGGAATAATGTTCTGCTACGAGTACTTCATCCTCAACAGTTTCGCATGCCAAAACCTCATAAAAATCATGGTAGTGGCGTGGTATGTCATAATTTTTACAAAGACTTAATAAGTCTGAGTGCAAGGCTTTAGGCACAGGAAATGTTTCATTGTTAAGCCCTTTGCAGCTTGGAAACGATTGGAATTTCAGCAGTAGGAGTAGCAGCAGCACGGAGTATTTGTGCATCTCGTGAACTTCCACTTCCTGTGCATCCACCGTACCCGGGCGCCTCGAGTAGGAAATCTGGCTAGTAGATCACGAGTGTGTATTATTATTTATTATATTTTATTGGAAGTGGTGCCGAGGTCGGCCATAACTACGTCGACCAGTTGTGGTCCATTGTAGCTCCCTGTGTGTGTAACTCCGTACGCGTGTGGAACTCCATAATATAATCATCTTCAAAACTGTATTTTAAGTTCAGTATACTCTCATGAGTACGCGCAACAACTTCCATAATATTGGACCACAATATTTTATTTCCCTCAGAGTCATGCGTCCAATTTCGGCCTTCAATAAGCATTTTTATATCGACAAAGTCAGATTGATCCATCTCTATCACTTTATATTTCTCGCCACTAACTATGTCATTCATTGCAAGTACGTCTGACAAATAATGGCATAATAATAATATTATTATAAGTCTTAATATTTTGTAAATAGCTCATTGTGCTATTTCGTAGTTCTTTTGCAGAGGGCAGAATTAGTGATGAGATGTTATGGACCACGGGGTTCAAGATAAAACAAGAATCATTATCTTCTGAAATTCTACCTAAATTGCATAACAATGTTTGACTTGAGTCGGAAACTGTAATATTCTCTGGTTTTAAAGTAGTATCTAATTCCGAGATCTTCAAATCTATGGCGCTACCACTACCTTGACATACACAAGAGACATTAAATCTAGAATGTGTATCTTCGGTAAGTACTACGAGTATATCTTCTATTGATACAGTGACCCCTCGTTGTTCTCCTGGTTATTTACACTCAACGTTTAACTTGTAGTGTCAGAGTTATAATTAATCTGAAAGTTATGTTCTCGAGGGGATTTTAATTCTATACCCACAAAATACCCCATTTCTTCGTTATTTCTAATTTGATTTTTGTGTTTTGGGTGTGCTTAAACTAATAGTATGGTATCTACTTTTAATATTTCTGATGGAGATATTTTTATCAACCGACTTCCTCAAAAAGGAGGAGGTTCTCAATTCGGCTGTATGTTTTTTTTTATGTTTGTTACCTCAGAACTCCGTCATTTATTAACCGATTTGGACAATTTTTGTTTTGTTTGAAAGTGTATACTTCTAGATTGGTCCCTTTTAAATTTCAAAAAATATAACACCACTAAGGGTGGAAAAATACCTAATGATGAATTTAACCTACTTCTAATTATCATATTGACTTGAAACTTTGCAAGTGCTTCTATTTCTGTTGATAGTGCAGTGGTTCGATATCGTTGACCTGATCTGATGGTAAGGCCAGAAGGTGGATAGGTGGAACTCTTCAACGGCTAATAGTAAAGTAACGGCTAATAGTACTTTGAGTTTGGGCTTATTTTGTTTGATTTGACAAGCCTAACACGTTAGAATCAGATTTTAGAGCCAGAATTTTTAGTGTTAATAATAAAAGTGAATTTTAGTTTGTCAGTCTTCATATTAAAATTAGCATCAAAGTAACTTAAACGGTTTAAGCAAAAATATTATTTATATTTTATTAAAATACTTTCTTCTCACTTTGCTACTACTATGTCTACACTAAGAAGGAAAAAATAAAAACTTTTTAACAAAAAAATAAAAACCGACTTTAAAAAAAGCACTAAAAAGTAAAAAAAATACTGATTGGTAGTTTTCATTTACTATACATACAAAAATAATAATAATATAATATTTTATTACTTTAAGATGCACACCTATGTGATGTGTCACAACAATAATAATATAATAACTACTTATTCAATATTATCTGGCAGGCATTTAGGCAGGCATATTGATAAACACACTTTTGATATTTAAAAACTAATGTGAGAAAAACAGTACATAGATTACATACATATAGCACTGTTTATTGAAAATCAATCGACATATTTTTATTTCATGTAAGAAAACCATAATTACTATTACTAGTGAAAGTTTAAAATATTTGTACAGCAATGTTTATTGTGAATCGGTATACTAAGTTTATTTCGGGGAACAAAGCCGCAATGGACGTTAGTTGTAGAAGGTTGAAAAAAACTTTTATCATTGCACATAGCACGATTATTCCGGCAAACAAAATTCGAACGATGAACGGGGAATAACGAGAGAATATCCATACTGCTTTTGCTATCTCAGGCAGTTTTCATTATTAATTTGTGAAAAAAATCCACAAGGTGTAATAGGGTCCGTAGATTACGAAAATGGCTTAATCGGAAAACAGCTACTATGGCTATTGCGGTCTTGTTCCAGGCACCCATCGATATAATCTATTATTTTTCTTTTTTTTAATTAATAGTACAATGTAAAAGTAAACGATATATATAATGTATGTATGTATAATGAATAATAGTAAAAAAATATTTTTAAAAACAAGCTTTTATTTAAATGCTCCAAAAAGAAGAAAATAAACATTAAATTAAATCAAACCCAACAATTTATATGAAGCTTTTCGCGAGATTTACCTATTTTAATAAATTATTACTATACTATTATTTATATAACACTCGCAGTGCCCGCAGCGCCGCCCTCGTTCAGACGACCAAAAACCCAATTCTTAGGTTTTATATACATATTACTATACTCTTACAATGCAGTTTTTGTATTTTTTCAGAAATGAGATATTCTCCCGCGGTAAAAAGTATCCTATATGTTGACCTGGATAACCAGCTATCACTATACCAAATTTCATCAAAATCCCTCCTTTTTCTGTGATGCGGTAACAAACAGCCAGACAGGCAAAAATTCTAAAAACTATAGATTCGGTTTCGATATTAATGTCTATTTCAATTAGATTTTCCAAAAAATATTTAATGTACAGATTCGACTTAGTTACAATTTTATTATATGTATAGATGACGACCATAAACCTACCATTTCTGATTTTCCCCGCATCGCTTACCATGCGAGTTACTTGTTATCTATATTTATATAAAAGTATGTTTGTCCATCTGTCTCACAGGTTCAGTTCGTCGGTATCATGGTACACGCATTCCAACTGCTATTCATCGAGTGCGACTACCCGCGCGCCTTCGTGTGGTGGATCGGAATGCACGCTGTCATGTTCTTCTTCCTGTTCAAAGACTTTTACAACCAGTCTTACTCCAAGCCCAAGGTAAATATTCAATATCAACAAGTCAATTATTATTATTAGTATGAATTTTCCACTAAAATGTTACTTACTAATAGAGAAAAGAGACCCTTATGTTAACTTATAGACACAAATGTTAACAAATGATATCTTATACGTTGTCCTATGTAAACCATGACATGTAAAATTTAATTTTATTTGAATGTGTTTTCAAGGTATAGGTCTAAATATATATAGATAGATAAATGTCGTGGGACGCAGGAATGAATGCGCAGCGCACACCTACTTATATTTTAAATGAATATAAATTTTGATGGGACATGTACTAAAATAGAGAAATTAATATTGACTTAAATGAAAAAAAATATTTCATTTCTTAAATTTATCAGCGCATAACATGCTCTGATAACCTACGTTCATGATAATATCGTGCGTCGTCAGCGCGTTTATAAAACGTGGGTTGCATAACATATAAGATTTTTGGTGTCTTTTTTGATTTGTGTTTTTAAGAAAAATCCAGAAACGTAATATAGAACGTAGTTATATGCATATTAAGAAAAGTACTGCGCAACAAACTTGTGTGTGTGCGTATATTGTATATATGTATATATATGTATATATATATATATATATATATATATCCTTACATAATTCACGCCTCTACTACCTTAGTTATGTTATTTTCTACACCTTAAGGAAGAGATCGCTTTTTTAACGATAAGGCCGCCTCTTGTACATTTTCCAATCTTACTTTATCTTATTTTGTCTCTTCTTATTGGGTGTACAATTATGAATAATATTATTATCATCTCGCAATTGCCAATCAGGTTCGCGCGAAATCGCCACAACCGGTCACAACGGAGATCGAGGACGACGTGAATTTGTACACGAACGGGTCAGTAAAGAACGGGTACAGCAACGGACACACGAACGGGCTGGTGCGGGCGCGCACCGTGCTGCCCGCCGGCAACTGACCCCGACCACACTCGGTTGTACACGTTTTATAAACACTATTATGGACCACGTAATTAAAAAGACAGGAACATATTCAAACAAATGTTCCCCTAACTGTGATTCATAGCCCAATACGATGATCATTTTGTAAACCGACTCCTCTTAATGTTTATCGAGTGATCTGTATCGAACATATTTATAATGCAATTAATGATATTATATAAATATGTTATTATTGTAAACAATACTTTTACAGAACGGCACAAAATATTCAAAATAAATGAGCTGGATTCACGAACAATTGTTAAAGATAATGAAATATATTAATATATAATACAAATATATGTGAATTGTTAAAAATGTTTATAAATTAAATTATATAAATGAGTCGATTTACAAAATGCTTTTGTTTGGACTTGTATAGACAAACAAATTAGAATATTGTTGATGTAAAATGGACATTTGGGGCATGGGTGTTGGACGATGGTCTCACTCCGTTAGTGTTATGTGATGTATCTAGTGTATATACAATGTTACGGTATCAGTGGTGTAAATTTAATTTTATTGATACAAAGTATAGCTAGATCTTGTGATCGCATAGCGTTTTGTACTCGTATTGAATTTAGATGCTTTTTTATTTATACATTGATTTTTGAATTTTTAATAAAGGTGCTCTGTTCATATGTATATAAATATATTTCTTTTTTATTAATGTATGGTAAAAATTGTCAATTATTTAAAATGGTTTAACGAAATGTTCGTATTTTGTTTATTTCCATATTTATATTTATACATATTGTAAATTAAATGTAAATCTATGAATTTTATCGAATTGTGAATTACAAGAAATATTTAATTGTTATATTATTATATTAATTGTTCCCACTTGAGCAGAACACTGCCTTGCTTGCTTTTATATTTGCCAATGAGTAAGGCCGTCATTATCAAACGATAATGTTTTATCAAAGATAAAGATGAATATTTTATTAGCAGACAGTTTTATTTAAAAAAATATTACAATCGCACTTTTAGTTTGTACAAAATGCAATGCAGTTACTTTATTACACTTAGAAGGTTGTGTTGGCTATTTATTTTGTTTAATTTTAATTTTATTTATGTACCAAATATATAATATGGACCTGTCCCGACTTCACTGCATACTTATTTATAATAAACGTTAAAATTTAATCATGACACAATATGTACAAAATGTTTTAGTCAAAATTATGTTATTAGTTAAGATTATTTGAAATTTGAAAGACTAAGAATGCAGTGATCTTGCGGCAGCTAGGGCTTTATTATATTTAGTAATCACTGTTGGATGTTGTGGAAAATATTTTTTACGTAAAATCCATATATTAGAATTCTTTCACAACATGTAACAGTCAGGTAACATTTAAACAACGGGTTCTGTAGCAATAACCATTGATGTTCATGTTTGGTCTTCCGTTTTTATTTTGTACTTATCAGAAATTAGGTGCTTTGCATACTCCGGACAGTTCTGCCTAGCAGTGACAAGCTAAAGCTCGCCATTTTGTAAATAAACTTTGTTTCATTAGTGATATTGAAATCAGTTTATGTAATATTGCAATTTTTATACAAAAATGCAAATAAATTATAAGATTAATTTGTTATTTTGCTTTTTTATACACAAACCACCCTCTAAAAATGTGTCTTGTTGTTGACATGCAATATGGAATTAAATATGAGTGTCTCACACTAACGTTTTTATGAAATTTTTAAGTTGACGTCTTTTCCTGATGACGTGTTACGCAACACAATATGCAACGTGCCTCGCGCTCGAGTACTGTGCAACATTATCTATACAAAAAATAAAATGAAGTGTCTGTTTGTAATGTCAAAATAACAGCTTTTTACTAAATGCAAATGAAGTATGTATGTTACTAATTTTTTTTTTAATTTTTGTCCTTCTGTTTATTTGTTCCGGCTAATCTCTGAAACGGCTGGTCTGATTTTGATGGTACTTTCACTTCCAGATAGCTAATGTTATATGGAGTAACTTAGGCTACTTTTATTTTAGAAAAAGGGTCATGGTTCCGAGCAAGAAAATGAAAACCCATGAAATTGCAAACAAAATCAGCGTAAAATCAAAGGATAAGTCGGTAGTTGCAAATAATCTATGCCGCTAACATAATCATATAAAATAATATTTGGTTAATAATTAAAATAAACAAAACTTATTTACATAACACTTTTATCTAAAACCATTATGATTTTATTAAATACAAATATAGACAATAGAAAATATATAAATAACATCATACAAATGCGAGGTTGAAATTTATATTAACATTTATTATTTTAAGTACTTTAAGCTGCCTCCTACAGTAAATGTGATATTACGAACCTACTATACAATATACAAACATAATATCCATAAAGTTTTTACTAATAAAGTAAATGGTCAAAATTCATGTTATAGTTTCTCAACTGAAAATGTGTTCTAGTATTTTAATAAGTACATATTTCTTAACTTTTATTATAAAGAGCTAAAATATTTAATAACACATTATAAATTCATATTTCATAATATCCTTCAACTCATACCTTCTATAACCTTCTGTTAATAAAGTTTAAAATGCCTATGTAAAATGGACAGATTTTTATGCAAATTTAGCACAACGAAATCCCAAATTGCCTGCGGAGCTATCATCAGTATTGTGAGATCGTGCAGAACATCTATATCGGTAGCAATAAGACCGGTGACATAAGTATGAACCCCCTTTTTTTACTTTTTCATTGGGCTAAAATGACAAATGATAACATTTATGTTATTTAAAACCATAAAATTACTTTAACTATTTAATATACAGTTTAATCCAAGTTTCATTTACTTTGAATTATTGATTAAATTTCCTTATTACTAGAAACTGACTTGTTATATAAAAATTAGTCAAAGTGATTTTAGATATGTATAATGGGTAAATTTAGATCACTTACATTGTCATTGGACCAAGAATCTTCAGTCCATTCCCATACATTGCCAGCCATATTGTAAAGGCCAAAGTCATTCTGTGGAAACAGCTGCACTGGATTAGTGCCAATGTAGCCATCCTTCGCAGAATTATGATTTGGAAATGTGCCTTGCCATATGTTAGCCCTAGAAATAATATGAAAATTATGTATAAAAATTTTAATTAAAATTATTGAATAATTTTAATATATGAGAAAAAAAATGTTTTGTAGGTCTTAATTATGCAATTCTTTACAGTAGTATTTTATGATAGGATAGGTTATTTGTGTAATATATTTATAACAAATAGATGTGATAATATATTTTAAAGTTATTTAATCAAACTCAGACAATATCATTTTTAAAATACTTACATGTGTTTCTTATTGGGAAATAATTTGTCGCCCCATGGATATGTTATATTAGTTTGCCCCCCTCGGCAAGCAGCCTCCCACTCTGCTTCTGTAGGAAGTCTAGCTCCTCTCCACTTACAAAACGCTTTTGCATCATTCCAAGATACATGGATAACTGGATGATCCATTATATCTAATTTAAAAACCAAAGAATCTATTAAAAAATATATATGTATGTATTCTTTTTTTTAATATTTAATAATAGATTGATGCAAAATATTCTTACGATAAATAAATACTTTTTCTGTAATATGATCATACCAGTTAAATCGGAATTAGGTCCATGAGGATGTCTCCAATTTGAACCAGCAACTTTATACCACCAAGGTGCCTGCATTACACGAAAATCTTTTAGCTTCTCCTTAATTGTATTATTGAGAAAAAGTGTGAACACAAAACTATCACCAAATGTTTCTGCTTCAGTCTTATAATTAGTTGATTCAGTGAAAACACTAAATTCCCTGTTTGATACTTCAAATTTATCTAAATAAAAACTTTTTAATTTAACTAATCGTTTTGGGCCTTCCTTATCATTTTCAATAATTATTTCGTCTGTACCAAATTGATAGGTGTTTGCTGGAATAAACATCATTTCTTGTGTAAATTCTACATTTAATGTATTTTGAGGACTTATATCCAGAGGACATTGCTCTTTTGAAGAAAAACTTTTCAAATTTTCCTCCTTAGCAAAATGATTAATCTTCTCTCGGTTGGCGTTACAACCACATTCATTTTGAGCATTATCTATTATTTTAACCTGTAAAAAACCTATTAGGACGATTGTCATTAGCATTTTTATTATTACAAATGTGTGTATCAAAAAGTACAAAACCGCTTCTAGACCTTGGTACAAAAAATAAATAAATAATGACGTCTAGACAAACAGAATAGCTATTGCAGTAATTGACATTTTGGACACGTTTAAAAACAGCAATTTTTTTCTCGTAGTATAAAAATACTTGTCATAGCCTGAATATTAAACACGTCATTGAGAAAAAATTTGCCTTTTTCTCCCGCTAGATGTCACCACCACTATAGCTCTCAGCAAAGAGTATAGTTATATACTGGGTGTAAAGCTCTGTACGTCACGGTATTAATGATTGTAACATTACCGTGTTAGCGTGAATGGTTCTTTTTTTCATTTTATTCAAAATTCTATTAAAATTACCAATTGTGCAGTGCCGCTCGGACGGCACTTGTGCAGTGCCGTCCGGGCGGCACTAAAATGGTAAATAATAAAGAAATAAGTATATTTTTAAATTTTATTTTATAACCAATGATATTTAATGAAATACAAGTCTATAAAAAAAAGAAAAAATCAAAAAATATATTGTGAACTTTATTCCTTTACTTATTATTACTCTGTGTAACGGCTGGGGCGGAATCCTGTAAAAGAACGGTATTTATTTCTTATTGTTTTTAAATATAGGTATCTACAAATTACAATTCATTATGATGATTAGATCTCCCTAACTAGCTCTTTTTGGATATAAGGAGAGCAGTTTCATATGACTTAAACAAGCGCCTAGCAGAAATCAATATATCCACAAAAACAGAAATAAGAGCTTCTACTGCTAAGCGCTTGTATATGTCATATGGGTATTTTTATTTATGTTATAAAAGTATATTTATAATTCACATTCATTAGATTAACTAAATAGTAGTTTTGTAGATTGAAGTTAGTTCTGCAACTTGCCGCTTAGGAATCTGCTTACTGGCATTTATATTTACCTATTTATGCTAAACCCTATAACTAATACCTCAGTCTACTATAACCCCAGGAGGATATAACGAATGCCATTAGACAGAGCAATCGTACGGCGACGATACCGAATGTTATATGTACTTACTTTTTTATATATTAACACTCGGGAAACGGTTTTTAGGTTGACGGGTATAACTGTAACTTGCAATGAAATGGCACTAGAGTTTTAACTTCGGGACCGTAAACAGAAAATTGGTATTATTGACCACCTTGCTCTAAAAGAATTTTCTTCAGAATCAATGGGTAATCAATCGCCTATTCTATGGATTTTTATTTTTTATACTGTGATAGTATTTTATACGTAGGTACTAGGTAGGTTGTTTTGTAGTAATTCTTTTACTATTGCCAGTACTCTACATAACATAGGCTATAACCATATCAACGTAAAATCTAATAAATATAATAAGTTTTACTAAAATTTATTAAACGTTACGTTCAATGAAGTTGTGGAAAATTATCTCACCTCAAATATTCGAAAACCAGATTGAGCTGATTAAAAAAAATTAGTCACTGAAAATAAAACAAAAATAATTAAAAGCACATCGTGTCATGCCTAAATTGGAACTTCATCAAACTAGCTAACTTGTAAGTTTTTCAATTTTTATTGCATCTATCTTTATTAAGAGAGAACGAAAAAGATCGGAAGTGGTGCAATCAATCGAATAGAGTTTTTACAAAAAAAGAAAAATAAATGAACAATTTCGCTAAAAAGAAAAATAAATAATAATTAGTTGTCTATTGGGGTTAAACAATTTTTTGCCGAATGTTTCGGTTTACTAAAAATCCTAAAAGAAATCCTAAAAGAAGAATTTCTTAAAAATCGGGAAATTAATATGTATATATTTAATGTTCAATCAGCTCAATCAAAGCGTAATCATTAAAACTCATTTTTCAATCTTTTAAAGTTATTAATAGAGTCAAATACACATAACACCGGCCAAATTGACAGTCAAAAGTACAGGAGAAAACATCCACATATTATGTATCTAAAATAATTGCGTAGATATTTATTTCATATAAGATTCAAAAACAATTAGGGAAATCTAATCTCCACCAATAGGGAATTAATATAGATTACTAGCAGAAACCGCGGTTTAGAAAACTACAAAAAATCTCTAAAAGGGCAGCTTCATACAAACTCCCACTGCCTGTTTTACCCTCCTATAGGATGAATTTCGAAAAATGCTAAAACACGTATTTATTTAATTTTATTGAAAGAGCATTAATACCAAGTTTCAAGTAATTCTGATCATATATTTTTTTTGGATTGTATTATAACGTGTTTTCACGTGGGAATCAGATAATCTCCCGCGGTAAAAAGTCGCGGTAAAAGCCTACGTCACTCTCCAGCCCTCCTCCTATCTCCTCATAAAAAATCACGCCATTTTGACGTGAAAGAAGGACAAACAAACAATTACATTTATAATATTAGTATGGATGAATATAGAAAAGTGGCAATTATTGATTTGATAATTTAACGTAGGTATGTACTTACAATAAGAGCGGAACGATATCTTCTTGTTTCATTTTGCCATAATATTTCGATATACCGTCTACATGACCCATACCGACTACAGCCAAGACTCGTGGAGATTGTACTAATAAAATATAGTTATTATATGTAAGTAGGTTATATTCATATAAGAAAGAATAAGAAATATGCATGATTTTTTTTTAATTTTATACATTCAGCTCCAAAAAACTAAAATTTTGTAGTTAGTTCTTTTTTAAATACTTATACCGATACGGGTACTTTAAATGCCCGCCATTTCGCGCGGTTGGCGTGAAAAGTCACTTTGATTTTTCTACGTAGAAAATTTACGTCTTTAGTTTGTAGCGACAAAACGCTAATCGCTCTGATATGATAATACTTTGACGTCATATTCGGTCTGACCAATGGCGTGTGTTTCAACTACTTTAAATTTTCTACCCATATTTGCACCTTTAAAAAATTAAGTATTTTCTTAATAAAAAAAATACATAAAAAAATAGCTTTTTAGCATTTTTTTTCTATGTACAGACATTTGACCTCTACAGTTTTGTTATATGTATATATGTATAGATACGCTGGTTTTTATATAAACAGTAAAATTATAGCAATGTGATTGAAGAACCTGTCATTTCTATATATTTTTTCTAATATAACACGCCTTTTTTTTCTAATGAGACCATATGTTTGTATTATATTGTACTTACCAGTACGAACACACTCTTGTAAAGAAAATGCAAGACATCTATCACGCTCATCGACAAACACATGAAATACTTTTTTAAAAGCAGGTACTTCTTTAGTAATTTCTTCAAACTGTGCTTGTACGTAGTCCTTGTCTTTATATTTCTCCAATTGAGTTTTACTGAATTAATATATCGCTAAATTAGGTAATTAAATCGTTATTCATACCTATTATAGATAAGAAAGTGAGCCTATTCTTTTACGCTACTACAATGGTCTATGCAATGTTTTGTCGTAAGTAATATAAATTAAAGAGTTCACGACCAAGAGAAACATACTCGTATGTAGAGTACTTTATATCTCAGTAAGTACATCAAAGTTCTTAGTAGTGGTTCCCTTGATTACGATGTGTTAAATTATATTTACTTTAATTACCTATATTCTTTAAAATTTGTTGCAAAATTTATTCTTTTAAAAAGTTGTATATAATTAATTATTTAGCCTTAACAACTATAAGACTTCTAAAACTTTAGTAGGTATATCCCGTGACCATTATACTGTAAAGCGTTCAAATCGTCGGGAACTAAAAATCAAAATAAATCCGCAAAAATAGAGTTTTATTTTAAATGTCAAATATTCGAGTAAATCTAAAAAAAAAATATTTATGGATATTAAAAAAAAGTAAAAGAGTACATACTCTAGTGGTTTAGGATTGGCCGTCGAAAGATGATATAGAACTTGACCTAACTCTATTACACTTAACGACTGAAAGGCTCTTGCTATTGTTATCTGTATAGGACGATCTCCCAAAAACAGCTTACAACCAGGAATTTTTTTCATCTATAGGAAAAATATTATGATAAAAATCATAGTTCATGAAAAATTATTAATTTTAATCGCTCTCTTTTACCTTTATTGAAAATGATGGCATATAATATAAGGTCATTATTTTTTTATTAATAATCTAGGAAACCTGTCGTAAGGCAACTATCTAAGTACCTACTTCCTGATATGCTCTTCTAAATTCTCCCCCCGGCGCTACTCCTAGCTCTCTCGCAATGTCAGCATATGTCTTTAGCAACATAGCATGGAGCATTCCAGAAACAAATCCCTGTCCCTTAACAGCCCGTCTGCAAATTAAAGTTGCCATTTTATATACCGACCTTATTGAATCTAAATAACTACGAGATCAGACCTTCTAGCTTCTTGCCTAATATCATTGGATATTAAGATAGTCTTACCTTATTTTCTGTGCATCTAATTTTTTTGCATCCTCTAAAAACTTTTTGTCATCCAATTCTAACAGTGATACTCTTTGGCGACAGAGCTCTATCAAAATTGCATTTGGATTCAGAGCCTTTACTATCTACAAGAAAAATTAAAATTTAATAGTAGGTACTTACTATAAAAAATTCTATACATACTGACAAAACACGATATGGTATTTATCAAGATGTCGAAGCTCTCGAATCGCTATTTTTTTATTCATATAGATAATTAAGTCTATGTTGTTAGGTCATTTTAATTTTTAGTGATTTAGTATACCTGGGACACATCCTCCACGGACTGTTTACTAAAATGCACAGTTCCGAGCAATACAACTTTTGCCTTATCATCATTTTGCAACAAAACTGAAGATGAAGGGAGATTAGTAATGTCACCAGCGCCTCGTGAGAATATTGGCCATAGCACTAAAAATTACAAAATTATTTCAAGTACAAATAACATATTAATAAACTATCTTATATATGTATACTAGCATTGCCCGCGGCTCCGCCCGCGTTCAGATGACCAAAAACTAAATTCTTAGGTGTTACATATTAGTATACTCTTACATTGCAGTTTTTGTATTTTTCCTCAGAAATAAGATATTTTCCCGCGGTAAAAAGTATCCTAGGATCGCGCGCTACATCGCCCGGTTTATATAGCTTGAGCAGGCGGTCGAGCGATGCGGGGCAGAGGGGATGGACTCGCCGTAGGCATCTCAATGCTCGCCAAGCATTAAAAATGTTTCGCTACTAATTACTTCTAACAACGATATCTCAAAAACTATTCATCTGATTGATTTAGTGTAAAGAGCAATTTTAATCTGCATTAAATGACTAAGCTAACTAAAATATTCATTTGGATAAGGATTAATACCGAACTAAAGAAAATAACTTTGAAAATAACGTAATGTTTTTAATTAAAAATGTTAACATAAAAGTGGTTATTGTAAGTCAACCGTAAGAGATAGAGATATGCTATCGCGGACTTTTTTGTAGCATTTTTATAGATTTTGAATTCTCTAGTACATTACTTAACTGTATCTTTGCTAGTTTACGCGGCGTTCGCGTGGAAAGTTCCCATTTGGCGAGATTTTTTGCGACCTCTTCAACATTTGTCGCCGTATTTCAGCTAATTTACATAAAAGCATAATAAATTATATACCTAAACCTTCCTCAAGAATTACTCTTTCTATTGTTGAAAACCGTATAAAAATCCGTTCAGTAGTTTTCGAGTTTATCGCGTACAGACAGACAGGAGGACAGAAAGACGCGGCCGGGGGACTTATTTTTATAATAAGTATAGATAAAAATGAAAAATCAATTGCCATTCGTTAGTCCCGCTAAAACTCAAAAACGACTAAACCGATTTGAATAATTGTTTTGTTGGGGGTGTGCCAGGGATGGTTTTTGTATAAATAAGTAGGGTATTCCCAAAAAAACAGCTAGAAAATAGAAAAATTCAGAACTGTTTATTATAATACTCACGATACAGGCTTTGCCTAGTGTGAGTTACCTTTAGATATTAAATATATTGTAAGCTGTACTTTTTTTGACAATAAAGATTATTTTTTGAGAATAAGAGATTATTATTATAGGTATATAGTCTATCTATTCCATACTAACCGTTAAATCGTACCTAGCCAGTCGCCAGTAATTAATAAAAAAAAATACGTACAAGGTTTAACCGTAAGCCTGTTATTATGAAGGCTTATAGCATTTCTTGTTACCAATATTTTTCTAAGACATGTTAAATATTTCATATTTTATTAGGGAATTTACTACACAATAATTTAGCTTTAAAACTGTTCATTGTTACTACTAATTTAATTTTGTAAATTATATATTTTACTTCATGTTCGTGATGAGATTTGAAATGTCAGTAAATAAAAAATAATAGGTACTTATGTAAACTATTCAATGGTTTTTATGGCCAGTATAAAAAAGAGGAAATCAATTGAACCTTTTCGAACTTCTCTTAGTCAATATTTACAATGAACTATCTTTATGATATTTGCAAACATTCACTTCACGCGGGAATCGAATACGCGATCTTCAGCACAATAAACGCCAGGAAGAATATAAAAGCACGTTTATCGTTACTACTAATTTAATTTTGTAAATTATATATTTTACTTCATGTTCGTGATGAGATTTGAAATTTTTAATAATTTCTCTTTAATAAAATAATTCGTTATTAGACAAAATAATTGATTTTCATTACATCTCAATTAAACAGTAGGTACCTACATAGAAAACTAGCTCAACAATATTTAGCTACCTTTCAACTAAATAACTTCTATTTCAATTTATTGCCTCATTTGTTCATTTATGCCTCATTTTTTTTCACCTACAAGAACTTTTTTATAATTTTTTTAAAGTATTTTCGAGTATCAGAATTAATTTGTATCCATTGTAGGTCTGAGACTAGATCTATGACATTGTTTTTAATTCAGTTAAGATACTAATTCTTAAAAAAATCGATGTGCACTTATATCATCATAAAAAATATATAAATATAGTCTAAACTCTTTTAATACATACATTGTTAGAGATGTTACTCTAACAATGTATGTATTAAAAGAGTTTAGAAACATAAATGCAAGGCAATCATTATAGTGTTAAAAAAAACAATATAACAAAAAACAGGGACAAAATGAAAGCACCGTTTTTTTTTATAATTTAATTACAGTACTTTAACATTATTTAATCCCTTTAACATTCTAGCTATTAATTTAGATGCAATAAATAACGAAAACTAAAAAATGTGTATATTTCTTTAATCCAATATGTACTACTTAATAAAACATGTTGGCTCTAGCTCTTAATTAGAGTAAAAATCAAATCATATTAAAAATATAACTTTACCTAATGTCAAATATAATCATTTTATGTATTCTCCAAACATATTTAAAAGAGGATTTAATAGATGGCGCCACGAATCAGAAATAAATATTTCATTGTCATTTCTACGTTATGGAGAGGTAGTGGAATTATTTCTTTTGTATAATAAATTGATAATAAAAAGAAGCGATCGCAATGTAATGAAGATGATCACATCATGTAGAATAAAAATACAGCGGTAGCCCAGTGGTAACGTGCTCGCTTAGAAAACAGAGTTAAGCGGCTTCAAATCCCGGGATTCGCTCCTCTAATATTTTCACGCGAATCATTTCCAACATGATTACCACTTGTCTTATCAGAGAACCTAGCTTTCGAAAGTTTTCGAAAGACATGTGAAGTCCGCCAACCTGCACTTGGCCAGCGTGGTGGACTATGGCCTGATCCCCCTCGTACTGAAGGGAGGCCCACCCAGCAGTGGGACGTTAAAAGGGCTGAATTCATACATACATGTAGAATAAAATAATTCTAATAATTTATCTCCTTGACAATCATTGGTATCAGCATGCTTGCGAACGACGCTTAATTAAATTGATTATAATAAATTAAAAAAAAACGTGTGAGTGTACTATTGTACGCACGTAAGAAATTATACTTCTTTGGCGTAACAGAACAAAAATAGCTAGAGATTTCATCCCGCATGTCAGAACTCTCTGATTGTAAAAGGAATGCAGCTAACTTCATCATGTCACTTTTTGGCTGTCGGTGTGCACGCGCATTGTAAAAATTTTACTCTCATAACTTTTTTCTAAACGTGCCAAAAGAAGTATAACGATAAAAACATCATCATAAATGTAACTGTGTAGGTTATAATGGCTTAATACACATTCGAATAGGTTAAATGTTACTTAATCAAATTTTATTATTTATCCTTAAAAAATGCAGTTTCTTTGATAATTGATCATCTATTTATCTAATATTTTAACAACAAATTAATATTAAGATTAAATTGTATACTAATTAGATTATGAAATACAATAGAAAAACATTGGGATAAACAATATTTATTCAATAATACTTAATATTAATATTGTAAGAATGTATGTGTTAAATATATTAACATCTCTATTACAATAGCTGCTCAGAGAAAATGTCGTTACCCCTTTCTATTAAGGCTAAGTCGCAGTCTTTACAAATTGATTAAAACAAAAGTAAATTAATATTTTATCTTGCAAAATAACAAAAAATATAAAAAATATTAAAATCAGAAAACAGTAACTAATGATTGGGCATATAAAATAGAAATAAAATTATTTTGATGGACTTGAAATATCAACATAATTATATAGACAGATGAATAAAACTGAAGTGTCTATTTGTAGTGAAACTAACAACTTTTTACCAAATTCATATTTTAAAAACACATTTTTTTTAAATCTTTATTCGCTATAGATAGCTAATGTTATAAGGAGTAACTTAGGCTACTTTTATTTTAGAAAAAGAGGTTCCGCTCAAAAGAAGGGTTACCTATATCATTTAATTTTCATTTTATATTTCTCTAATCTATGTACTTTAAAGTGGTAGGTATTAAAAAAAAACTAAAAGGTTGCAAATGTACGTTTATTGACATGATAAAAAAATGTCTCAATAATAAATGATAAATAAAATTATGATTAATGGAATACGTCCAGTACATTGTACTATCACAATGTTACGGCTCGGTGTGAGTAATTTTTCCATCAAAAAGGCTCAATATTTTTACAGCCTTTTTGTTTGAATAAAAAGTTCCAAAAACAAAAATCAAGAGCATATATGATGTAATGTGTAAATTTAAATGCACTAGATGATACAAATTTAGGCGTTACGTTTTTCCATACTATACAAATGAAAAAAAAAACACAAATAAATAAAACAAAAAACAATGTCAACGTTCGTATTTCCAAAACATCTAATGGTTTTCTTATTAAATCTTTAAAAAAATTATAATATAGACACTTTCATTCTAAAACCCACTCGAGACAATCACGCACGGGACATTTTCCATAACATATTATAATTTCAATTATATTAATTTAAAACATTAGATATATACAAAATTGTGAAAAGGCACTGGAAATATCTATCATTTTATTAACAAAATTATAACACAATTCAAACTTTCGAACCAAAACATAAATAAAGTATTACTGAAAACTTACTTCTAAAATCTAAAAGATGAACACTTTATTAAAGGTAAAAGATTATTTAAACATGTAATATCTTAATTAGAATAACATTCGTTCATTTATTTTCGCTTTTCTTCTAATATAACGCCCACGTATCAAATTAAGTTTATGACTGAAGAACAATGGACGACCCATTTCCATTAAGTACAAGATTTCAATAGTAGTCTGTTCTTTCAAAGCATTATATATATAATGTTGTATAACTGAGATAAGTAAGATAATAGCGTTTAAACGTTCTAAATTCAAATAATAAAGTATAATAAAAAAAGATATTTATAAGTACATATAACAACCTGTGAATTTAAAAACAATACAAAAAGTGTGGTTTATTATTAATTTACAATTCAACAGATATTTCTATCTATACTCTTTCAGTCTAAGTCTAAATTTTTATGCTATATTATCGCTATAAAAATATACATATTCCACCATCTAATCCTCTTAATTTTGTTTGAAGATGAATGAAGTCTTTAATAGTGCCGTACGCTTTTATTGTTCTGGAAAAAATATCATTATTTTTAGAAAATTTTTATTACAGGCTTTACTTGAAACTTAATCTAAAATCTTGTAATCAAATTTTAGAAGTCGATTTTAACTTACTTCCACAATAGTCGCATTAATACATACAATAAATATATATATATATATATATATATATATATATATATATATATATATATATATATATATATGTATAGATGTAAAATTGACGATTCAAAGGAGTTTGTAAAAGTCTATTTGAATAAATTATATATTGATTGGATTTGAATACGCACGTCGGCATCACGGCAGCCAGCGGCGCGGCGCCAGGCGGTACAGCGCGTACAGCAGCGCGCCCGCGCACGCCGCGCGCGCCGACACGCGCAGCACGCGCGTCGACAGCGACGCCGCCGGGATCCTGACACACACACACGCACACGTTATACTGAAATAACTGCCTCGGTGGTCTAGTGGTTAGCATACGGCTACAGATCCGAACCTCCTGGGTTCGAGTCCCGGGTCAATCCATACTGGTATTATAAATGTGAAAGTATGTTTGTTTGTGTGTTTGTTTGTCTTTCTTTTACGTCGAAACGGATAGGCGTGACTTTTGGTGTGAAGATAGTTGGAGAGCTAGAGAGTGACATAGACTACTTTTAATTGCGGGAGATCAACTCATTCCCACGGGAAAATACGATATAACGTATTATAATACAACCCAAAAATATTTATATGATCAGAATTACTTGAAACTTGGTATTAATGCTCTTCAATAAAATAAATACGTGTTTCAGCATTTTTCGAAATTCATCCTATAAGGGGGTAAAATAGGGGATGAAAGTTTGTATAAAATCTACCCTTTTAGAGTATTTATTGTAGATTTAGCACGAGCGAAGCCGCGGGTGCGCGTGCCAAGCCGCGGGTTCCGCGAGTTATGTATAAAGAAATAAAAAAAATTGACTCGCTAGGCGTGACTAGCACGTTCGAATGCGAAATCGGAGGTCCCAATCTAAGTTGTGAACTCGGTTCGAACAAAATACAAAACAGGAAAGAGTTGGAAAGTGAGTGACCAATTTTCGTCCCGCTGAAATTAGAGAAAAAAATACTACAGATTGCACTAGTGTACACAAAAACGCACTGTACTGTAATATTTCTTATCACATTAATGCTTGGCAATCCAGCTGGACGTGAAGCCAAAAATCTTAATATATATATTTCTTCTGTACGTGTGTTTGTCACCTTACTCCTCCTTAAGGGTCCTACCTCCTTGAGATGAAATTTTATGTGTATATTTTAATGGGCTCTTGAATGGTTTGAAAACACAATTGGACCCGGTAGGTGGTGCTGTTGTTGGTATATCACTGATCTTCTCCTAAACGGCAGGGTCGATTTTAACGATATATTTTGTGTATATTCAAGTCTTTACAAGGTTTAAATTCACAAATGGACACGGTAGGTGACGCTGCAGTCGGTATGTCAAAGAGTTTGTTTTTTTAGTAGTAGTAATATATATATAGTGAAAAATGATAACGTCATATAATATATATACTTAATACCCACTGGAGCAAAGGCGATATATCCTGCGGCTCCATCTTGCCCCAATGTTCGACGATGCCGGCCACGTGTCCGATGCCCACCACGCCTACTATCCGACACGGCTCACGGCCTGTGAAACATTATTATTGGCATGATAAATATATTAGAGTGCTCTTATAATTGCGAAAGATTGTGCATATGTTTTTGTTTTTTTGTCGTTGTTTATGGTCGTACACAAATATCTGTGCACTAATTTTCATTAAAATCCACCCACAACAACTTATTTCATTTTTTTAAGCATAAAATTAGCTGTCGTCAAAATTCTGACAGTGTTGTAAATTCCAGTAATAAATATACTACAGTGTAAAAAAAGTCAAGAGGTATCGTGGGACACCCACTAGGAACAAAACTATTTTCGCTGTCTGCCCTTACAATGTGTATAAATTATTTTTAATAGTGCACAAATCGGATCATTAAGATTCGATATAATACACTTTTCAACCGACTTCTTCAAAAAGGAGGAGGTTCTTAATTCGGCTGTATTTTTTTATTTTTTATGTTTGTTACCTCAGAACTCCGTCATTTATTAACCGATTTGGACAATTTTGTTTTGTTTGAAAGTGTATGCTTCCAGATTGGTCCCCTAAAGGTGGTAAAATAGCTAATGATGAATTTAACTTATATCTAATTGTCATATTGCGAATTTTAGTTTGTAAGTCTTCATATAAAAATTGGCATCAAACTAACTTAAACGGTTTAAACGAATATTTTATTAAAATAATTTCTTCTTACTTGGCTACTACTATATCTACACTAAAAAGGGAAAAATAAAAACTTGAAAAAACGACATCAAAAAAAAGCACTAAAAAGTAAAAAATAACCGATTGGAAGTTTTCATTTACTATAGATACCTAATCAAATATTTTTGAAATCGGTGCCAGCCGATACAAATCAAAGCACACCTTAACTTAACACTTTTGACAGAAAGACACGGAATTTTTGACAGAAAATATCTTATTAGGTATCTATAGTAAACGAAAACTTCAAATCAGTTATTTTTTACTTTTAGTGCTTTTTTGAAGTCGTTTTTTTTTTAATTTTTTTATTTTTGTCTAGCTCTTTTTCACCAAGTGTGCCGAGTAACATGCGATAAGGAACTTCCTGCAAAAAAAAAATTATGTAAACGTACGCGGTTGCATGGCGGCGACCTGCAGCGAGTGGCACAGGTACATGTCGCGCTCGACCACGAACACGCGCTTCAGCGGCGGGAACTCCCCCGCCATCTCCTCCAGCATATCCTCCAACATCTTCTTCTGCTTGCAACGCTCTACCTCCTCCAGGCTGAATCACACACACAGACACATCTCCTATTATTTTTCTATTGTTTTAAACCAACAAATAATGTATAATTTATCAGTCTTTCGCTCTACGACCGATAAAAATTGATTACGACCGCCATCAATGCCGTTCCTACTTCTTTGTATTTGTACACACTGTGGCACTAAACACCATATTTTTTTTTCATTTTCTTTATTAGGTAATAGTAAATAATCTATACTAATATTATAAAGAGATAAAGTTTGTGAGTTTGTGTCGTCGTAGGGGGTAATCTCTGGATCAACCGACCCTATTTAGATAAAATTTGGTAAGAATATAATTTGATACCCTGGGAAGGACATAGAATACTTTTTATCCCAGAAATCATCCCTTAAGGGGGTGAATATGGGTATGAAAGTTTGTATTGGGAAGCAAGCTAGGGACGAACCCGAGCGAAGCGAGGGTGAGTCGCTAGTCATAAAAAAAAAGCTAACTCAAACTTTTTGTGACGCAATAAACACCACTAAATAATTTGAGACATTTCCTAGAAACCTAATCAAAGAAAAAAATTATAATCAAATAGCCTATTAATATAACATTTGCAGTACCGAATTAAGCATAACTTACCTGATATTCTGGTTAGAGGTAAGTAAATGCCATATGAATCGTATAGTTTGTCCCCACGAAAGGGACGAGATAGCCCTCTGAAGAGTTATGTTTATTGAACGATCTCCTAATTGCACGATACAATTTGGAATCTTCTTGGCCTGTGTGATAAATAATAATTTTTTTTTAAAATAACAAATTTAATTTTTATAGCAAACGCACATATTTATATTTATTTGTATTAAGCACCTTTTTAACGTCTCACTGTTGAGCACGGGCCTCCCTTCAATACGAGGGGGATATATATATATATATATATATATATATATATATATATATATATATATATACTTTTATAAAAAATATATCCGTCAATAAAAACAAAAGACGTTACACTTTATTTTTTTTTTTTTTTTTTGTTTTATAAGGAAATCTGCAAGCAGTATTTACTTTTAGCAGATATGTTCTAAGATTTTTTTGTTTTTTTACAGTAAGAGCGTGACTCCACTGAGCCATCTACTCCTTATTTATATACTTTTTTTTTTTTTCAATAATCTAGGATATCATTCCTTTTCAGTCTTTTTGTGTAACTTCTTTTTGTTAGGGCAGTTGCAAGGTCATTTGGATGCCTCTCTAGTCGGTCGCGATAATTGGTTTTATATTTCTTTATTTCAGCAGCTACAGTATCCACCATAAGATTCTCGTGGATTTCGTTGTTGGTGATAAGCCACGGTGCTTGGCAGATTGATCGCAGTATGGCATTTTGTGCTCTTTGAATCACGGTGATATTGGATTTGCAGGCGCTTCCCCATAATTGAATTCCGTAAAGCCAAACAGGTTTCAGTACAACCTTGTATATCAAGAGTTTGTTGTCGAGACTTAATTTGCTGTTTCGTCCCATGATCCAATGCAGGTTCTTGAATCTGATATTAACCTCACACCTCTTGGTTTTTATGTGGTTCTTCCACGTTAGACGGCGGTCGAGATGCATTCCCAAATATCTAACGTTATCTTGATGCGAAAGCGTGGTATTTTCAAGCTTGACTGGTGGGCAGTTACCTTTTCGGAGTGTGAAGGTAACCTGAACTGATTTACTTGCACTCGCCTTTATACGCCAGTTTTCCAGCCATGTTGTGATATTGTCTAAACTTGTCTGTAGCATGTGCGATGCCATGGTAGGGTCTTTGTGGCTTGCTAACACGGCAGTATCGTCGGCAAAAGTTGCTGTGGTTACTCCTTCAGTTTGGGGTAAATCTGCAGTGTACAACGTGTACAAGAGCGGTCCCAGGACTGACCCCTGCGGTACCCCAGCCTTAATTTCAAAGAACTGCGATTTTGCATCCGCGTCTTTTACCTGACCCATCCTGTCTGTAAGGTATGATTTTATTACGGAGTAGTACTGGTGAGGCAAGTTGGTTTTGAGCTTATAGAAGAGTCCTTTATGCCAGACCTTGTCAAAAGCCTGTTGGATGTCTAAGAACACAGAAGAGCAATACTGCTTTTCTTCAAAACTCTTTCTAATTTTATCGCATACTCTATGCACTTGTTCAACAGTGGAATGCTCTTGCCTAAAGCCGAATTGATGGTCAGGTATGACTTTAGCGTCGTTCAAAATGGGCAGAATTCTATCCATCAGTAACTTCTCAAACACTTTGGAGAGGATCGGGAGTAAACTTATCGGCCGATATGAAGATACTTCATTTGGCTGTTTTCCTGTCTTATAGATCATAATGATTTGGGAAATTTTCCACGCCAAAGGAAAATACTGGATTCTCAGTACAGCATTAAACAAAGATGTTAAAAATACTATAGCTTTTCTTGGTAATTGTTTTAGTATTTCTTTTGTAATAAGATCATATCCAGGAGCTTTCTTGTCTTTCATTTTTGAGATGACCTTCCAGACCTCTCGCACTGTGAAGGAGCGTGGTGGTGGTGCCATCTGGAAATCTTGAAGAAGTACTTTATCTATATCTTCTTCGTTCTTCAAGTTTACTGCCGAGTTTGGAGTGAAGACTTTTTCCAAGTGTTTGGAGAAAGTGTCAACCTTTTCCTGCGGTGTTCGGGCCCATCCTTTTTCAATTCTCAGCGGGACTTTAGCACTTTGAGGTCTACTAAATTTTTTTGTAAATTTATAAAGAGAATGATGGTTTGAGGCTAAGGGTGAAAGCGATTCCAGCTGTACTTCCAATGTGTCATCGTGCCACTTTTGCAGCATTTCTTTTAAGTCTGCAGCGGCTCTATTAAAAGTGATTTTGTCCGTTTCTAACCCACTCTGATGCCAGATCCTCCTTAACATGCGCTTATTTAGCAGCGCTTTTTTAATTGCCATTGGATAGTTTGAATGCCTGTCGTCCGGTTTAGGTTCAGGTGTATTGATCCAACAAGCTGTTTGGATCAACTCTGTTATATACCGTGTAGCATCTTCTATATCGTCCGGAGTTTTTAGAGGGATATTTAGATTTATATTTATGTTGATATAGTCTCTGAGAGTTTCCCAGTCAGTTTTTTTGGTAGTTAATGTTTCTGCATACTCAGATTCTATTAGCAATGTGCTCATAGTTAGAAGAATGGGAGTGTGATCAGACGAGCTATCATAGCAAGACTCAGGTTTCAAATAGTGACGAGATAATCCTTTTGTAACAAAAAAGTCAATGAGGTCAGGGATCTTGGTAGCGTCTGTAGGCCAATATGTAGGTTCACAGGTAGACAACACTAGTAAATTATTTTTGTCTAAGCATAATTTAAGTTGCCTCCCTTTTGTTGAGGTAAGTCTAGAGCCCCAGCTAATGTGTTTTGCGTTCCAATCTCCACCTGCGACAAAACGATTTCCGAGACTGTGGAAGAATTCAGTATACATATTCTCTTTTATTTTATGTTTGGGAGGACAGTATACTGCCGAGAAGTTAATGTGCCCGTTACCATCCTCCACAGAAATAGTTGCGGCTTGTATTGGTTCTGTCCTATATTCTGGCATTAGGTGATGTTTCACATTATTTCTTACAATAACTGCTGCTCCACCATGACCAGTGCCGTCTGGGTGGCCAGTCATATAGCACTGATAATCTTTAAGTTTCAAGTTTGTCTTGCTGGTACAATGCGTTTCACTTACAAGGAGTATATCGATTTTATGTTCCGCCAAAAATAGTTCAACTTCTAGTTTGTTAGGGCTTAGTCCATTCACGTTCCAGGTAGCTACTCTGTAGGAATTCACTTTGTGAGCCGATCAACGAGCTTAGCTATGAGTCCCATAAGGGTGCTCATTTGTTGTAAGATTAACTCAAATTTATCGTTTTGTCGTATGAGTATTTCTTCAATAGTAGGAGTTTTATGTTGTTGAGTGTTGTCATTGGGAGTATCTGTCTCTTTGTTGTTTGTCTTGCATGCCTGTGCGTATGTCTTTGAGTCATCCTTTGTTGTCATAGTGTTATCATTAAGAGTGAAGGCTACTCCATTAATATTGGTTTTTCCAGCTCTGGATTGTTGTTGAGGAACTGGCCGATTAAATCTCCTTTTTAAGATTTCTCTGTAAACATCGCATCCTTTGTAGTTCGCAGGATGGGGCCCGTTGCAAAGTGCGCATATTGCAGGAGTGTTTCGGTCCTTTTTGGGACACTCAGATGTTTTATGAGACTGTCCACATTTTACACATCTGTATGGACGCATGCAATAGTTTTTGGAGTGTCCATATTGCTGGCATCGCTGACACTGCACTACAGTCTTTTTCTTCCTGGGCTCTTCTATCTTAACTGCTTGGTGGTAGATGTACTTCAATTCCTTTACAGCCTTATTTTGAGGACTGGGTAGAAGGTTGACAAAAAATGTAGAGGTTGGCTTCTTATCAGGACCAAATTTAGCATTGATTATCTCACCAGAGACAACATTACCAGTTTTTTCAATGTCCGCTTTTATTTCTTGAAGGGGTGTAGAGTGGTGAAGATTTCTTATTACTACTCTGTAGCATCTCTCGTCTTTTCGATTAAAAGTGTGACCTATCAAGCCATTCTCTCTGATTAGAGAAAGAATATCCTTATAGATGTTGAGTTCAGTGCAGTGTATTCTCAGCTGATTTCTGTTGACAATCTTATAAGAATAATCCTTTCCTTCCGCCACAGTACCTAATAGATCTGTCAGTTTGTTGACATCCTCAACACCATACAAAATTATAGGTGGTGGTCTAGGTGCCTTCTTCTCTTTGGGGTCAAGCCTTTCTTCCTGGTCTACAGGTAACGTGCTGTACCGGTTGGTGATTTTTAGTTTACCAGGAGATGGTGATTCAGATGATTTTTTGCGCTTCTTACTTCTGTTGACAGGTACTCTTTGCCATTCCGGCGGTTGGACTTCTTGTGTGTGTGTTACTTGTGAGGTTGCATTATCAATGACACTATTGTTGAGGGAGGCATCTTTATTTGTCTGTTGATTAGTGTGCTCTATTGTAGCAGTATCTGATAGACTGCTATTTTTGAGGGTCGAGTCTATATTTGGGTAACTACCTAGTGAGTTGCTTCTAGGTCTCGAGAACAGGAATGGGTGAAAAGCCTGTTGCACCATCTTGCGTCTTCCAGTAGCATTTTCTTTCACAGGAGCCTGGTCACCTACTCCTGTGGAGACTTCGGTAGCATATTTCACACTCTCTGGCCCGGGTACCAGAGAGCGCCGGGGGTTAGCCGGATCGCATGACAAATCGCATTCCATATTCACTGACATTTCCATAATTTAAAAAGGGGTTGGGAGATTACGAATAGCACTTTCCCAAGGCACTATCGCCACTATTTTTGAGGGGTATTTAATTCCTCGTGACTTGTGGTAGTCAAGAACAGGTTAGTTAACCGCCGCCTTTTTTACACTTTATTTGATTCAATTCTTTTATTTCGTGGCTTCTAGGAGTGCCAGTTGGGCACAATTTACTTCCCCAATGTCACGTAAAAACACTTTCTTAATTCATTTGTAATTTTTACTTAGCTTGAATATTTAATTTATATGCGAAAAACTAAAGTCAAGACACGCAGTAGCGTGTCCATCCAAGTTCGAGACAAAGGAACTGGCGACGCAACACCGTGTGTATATTTACACGGACCATTTGGAGTTACTTTTCACCAAGAACTCAAAATCTATTTAACATAAATTCATAAAATTTGGTTCATTTATTAAATTCCTTTAGATTAACTAGAATCCCCAATTTCATAAATACAGCTCAAACGGTTATTGAGATATTAACGTTTAAAAATCGGTATTTTTATCACTGACTGACATATAGTACTAAAATCTAACCCACTTCCAGTTGACCTAAAAAATTGAAATTTGGTATCCTGATGGGTAATCGTGTACATACAAAGGGAAAAATCCGAAAACAGTAAATTTTTAAAATTTGAAAAAAAAAATTATATTAACACTTTGCGCCTTCCAAAACATAATAGCAATAGCTTAACACCCAGTGCCTTTTGAAATATAATAGCAATAGCAATCATAGTTATAGCAAAAACTTTTTCTTTCTCAGGAGAAAAAAGTTCCATGATGATTAAATAACATTTTCTTATTCCGCCTTTTCCACTAACGAATAGTCGCAAAATTATAAAAATAAATAAATATATAATAAATAAATAAATAATATAAAATTATAAAATGGGAGCCAAGTTCAATATTAAGAATATGCGTGGTTGTCAACTTCACTGACAAAAGAATTGATATCTAAATTGGTGCCAAGTTCTGTAGATAATCCTGATTTTTTTTCATAAGAACATACAACATTCTAAAATAAATTTAAAACACAATTTCTTGTTTCTTTCTGCTACAAATGTGTTTGTGTATTCAGCCCTTTTTAACGTCCCACTGCTGGGCACTGGCCTCCCTTCAATACGAGGGGGATCAGATTTAGTTCACCGCGCTGGCCAAGTGCGGGTTGGTGGACTTCACATGTCTTTCGATAACTTGCTAGATTTTCTCAAACATGCAGGTTTCCTCACGATGTTTTCCTTCACCGTAAGGCAAGTGGTACTGGTAATCATGTTAGAAATGATTCACACATGAAAATATCAGAGGTGCGAGAGAACCGAGATTTGAACCCTCTTCACTCGGTTTCCCAAGCTAGCGCGTTACCACTGGACTACAACTGCCTTCACTACTTAAAACTACTGTTAAGTTTACTTTGTTTTTTTAAGTTTACTATATAAAAATAGAACTTCTTAAATTTGAACAGTCGAATTATTTACACAGAGTAGATAACTTAGGATAAATTGAAGTTCAAGATTTGACTTGGCTTGTTTTTACCAGTTAAGCAAGTTTTAGAAGAGTGAGACATGTTGACCTTACAATATAAAAACAGTAACTTGCGTATAGCATAAAGAAGACATAAGTGATTAGCCGATTATAAGATAACTTGTATGTAAATTCTGTATGCATATTCATAAAACCTTGTATGCATATTCTTAATATTGAACTTGGCTCCCTTCTTCACTCCCATTTTTGTTTTGATGGAATATACATTACATTAAGGTCTCTGAAGACCAAAAGAAATATTTACGTACGCCCAGCAAAGCGGGCGGGTGATGGCTGGTAAATAAATATATAAATATAAATAATGGAGGTACCTCCGCCATAGCCCGCCGGAACTCTCCCCCGGGCGCCATACCAAGTTCTCTCGTTATATGAGCTGTCATGTTTAGCAGTAGAATATACATTAAGCCATTGAAAACACCATTTTGAGCCATTGTTGCCCTGGAATCATAAATTTTGTCTTATCAGTGGTTGCTTTTAATATAAATATTTATTTTAATTACAATGTTGACAGATTTTAAAAAGGAGGAAGTAAATTTGGATGTATCTTTTTTGTATGCTAGCGATATTTATTGCCAGATTTATTGATGATTAATGGGAACAGATTGGAAATATAGATTATAATATTTTTTTATTGAATATTAACTTAACCTTCATGATTCCATATAAATTAAGTAACTTAGAAAGAGTCCTCGACATCAAAATTCAATTCAGAGACATTGTCTGTGAAATTTTATTTTTATGAAATGAAAATTATCATTTCTTATATAGTAATATATTTTATTGAAGCTTTAAATAAATGTAAGTAAATACCTTATCTTTGCTATATTAATGTTCTTTGCCTCCCGCAATATAATTTCTTCATCAAGTAATAGGATGTTGGTGCGTTGCTCACACAGCTCCACCATTACCATATGTGGACACACTTTTTGTATTACCTATAACATTATTTATATATACATTTATGCTCTTAACAAACTAAAATTATATTAAATAATATAATATTTGATACTTTTCAAACTAAAACTATTATAATATGCTTATTTGACTTAAGTCAGTTATAATATAAATACAAAAATACTATATTGTTATTGAAAATAATAATTAAATAAAATTAACAACCCACCTTAGAAACATCCTCCTGTGACTCCAAACTAAAATGAGCAGTTCCTACCAAATAAACTTTACCTCCATCAGGGGCGTCTAAAACTGTCACTGTACTCGGCAACCAGTCCTCTGATTCTTGAGCTTTGGATGTACCTTCATTTTGTTTCTCGTTGGCTAGAATGTCATATGCAATGTAAAAATATTACTATGGTATGGTAATCACATTACTTTTATAAAACTTGTGTGTGTGTATGTTTGTTACTACTTAATGCTTCATGTTCCAACAGCTCAATTTATTTGAGTAAAATGCAGCAGCAAGAATGAAGATATTTTACAGCACAAACTATTTGTGTCGACGTTCCTAGTCAACTACTTATTTAATACTAAAATTCACGTCTCTTTCTCTAAATTCGATATAGCTACCTCACATGGAAGACGAGTAAACAATAAAAAAAAAAACATGTCAATCTGTTTGTGTTGCTAATCCCCTGAATGGCTGAGCTGAGTTTTAACAAGACTTCTATAGCCAATAGACAAGTTCAAATGTCATAATTTTATCTATATTTTAACTATCCAGAGGAACTGCAGAAAAGTAAAATAGTTACGTGATGACCGATTTCGGCCACAGCGACCAATCTCACTGAGACTAGCCAGTAGTGCAGGACGTAATAAAGTGCACAAGTGTACATGCAGTTGCTACTGTTACAACTACATATGAAACAAATAAACAAACATCCAACATTACATCATGTGACTAATTTGATTAAATATAACAATATTCAACATGCAGGTTTAGAGTTTCATACATTATAATGTAATACAATATTTTACAACTCACTGATAAAGAATTGTTGACTACTGATAAGACTTTATTAATTACAAAGTATACACAAACAGTAATAAGTCCCATAATAATTTTCCACCATGAAAGTTTATCAATATTATATTAGAAAATAAAATTAATTGTCTATCCGTGATTTCTATAAAAATGACCTTCCTGATTATAGTCATTTATTATTAGCATAGTATACATATAGTATTTGCATATTTCTAGAAATTTTTGTTAGTTTGTTTAGTCTTTTCTAATACAAGAATCTTACCCTAATAGTTTTAATGAAATTTTAATTAGTGGGATTGACCATCATAGCATAAGCTACATTGTACCACTAAATATCACTAAAAAATATTTCTGACGGACATCATGTGGTTGGCAGCTCTTTAAAATTTAGTGTCTTAAATTCAGTTCTTGAGAGGAAATTACTTACTTTTTATTAATTTAATTAATTTACTAATTATATTTTAAGTCAGCATGATTATAATTAAATAACCATGTTGTAAGTTAGATTTATTTTTATTTAAAGATTTATTGTTATTTCTACAAATTCATGAATTCTAATGAACAAGCATTAATCATAAAAAAGAAGAGAAGTGAAAGTATGCATGATGCAATATTTCATTTACTTATATTACAACATACATTAATGTCTTTTTTAGAAGTAAAACAATCGTTTTGGAAAAATATGTTGTTTTTATTATTTAAAGATGACAAATTTGTTTTTTTTTTTTGTTGGAATTATGTAGTATTCATAAATTGTAAAACTTACCTTCAAGATCATGTTCCGGATTAGAATCTACAATAATATCCTCTGATATAATTGCCCTTGTTGGATAAGGAGTAGAAGTAAAAAAATTAGATTTGCCTAAAAGAAAACAAAAATCATAAATAATCATTTTTATAAATATATGTATAATGTCCTATAAATAAATAATAATGTCTTTATTACTTTTTTTTGCATTTCTTCTTTTCACCATTTGTAGGTTATTATTTAACTTATTACAAAAAAATGTAGTGATATATTTTACACCAGCAAATCTCAATAGAACTAACACAATAGAGGGAAACCTTATAAGTAGGGATTATATACTGTTGGCAGGTTGGCAGATGGCATTCTAATAATTAGATTAAATAAAACTTTGGTATGGATAAAACTTTGATTCCATCTCATGTTTTTCTTTAAAAAACTTATATACATTCATATTCATCGGCAATATGTATTTTACTAATATCACATGACAATCATATTAATGGAAATTTAATTTGCAACCCACCAAGTAAAATATGTAAGCTTTATTTGAATTTAGTATTGTCCTCAAGTGTAAGTTACCAGTATCATTTGTAGCACTTCGATTCATATTTGTATGAGCATCACCACCACCATCTTCTGCATTCAAGAACATTTGGCATTCATTGACTATATCGCATTTAACCGACGATGACTTTGAAGGGTTGTTAATAAGCAGCTGTTCTCTTTCTGCATCAGTATCCATTGCAAACTTACACTGCAAAAAGGTAAATAACACTAGTAGAAGATAAATTTAACAATTTTCCTATTTTATGATTAAACACTATATTTTTTTATCATATAATGTGTAGATACATGTTTACTCTAAAATGTAAAAAAATACCGTGTATGCCTACGTGGATAAACAATAATAATATTCATATCGCTTTTTAATAGCAAGATAAATTTGAAATTTCAATAAAAAAATCACTTCATATTACTTTTTATTTTGTATAAAAATATTAATAAAACATCTGCGGTGCATTATTTTGTAATATTAAAAATAAATGTAATTAAAGTTAGTATGCTCGTTGGAGAAATTGTAATAAGTATATAAATAGACATACCAATAAATAAATTATGAACTAGTAGTCTAGTATAGTGATATGTATCTTCAAGAAATATAAATTTCTTGTTATTTAAAATTACAGAAAAAGAAACATTTATCAATAATCGTTATAAGGAATAGAATATGATTTTAAAGACAAATGACTTATGACAAATCAACAAATGACAATTGACATGTCGACAAGTAAGTAGGTAATACAGGTTACAAAACAAAGACGTAAATATGTGGTAGGGGTTAGTCAATGAAATATGTATTATAAAGTACAAAACCAAACTAGGCTTTGAAAATATTATTTTACTTTCACTCTACTAGAGAGCTTTTACTTCTTTTGACTAAGGTACATTTTATTTACATATTTAAGTTTCGTTGAAACTTTTTAATCTATACTAATATTATAAAGAAGCAGAGTTTGTTTGTTTGTTGGTTGGTTTGTTTGTTTGAACGTGCTAATCTGAGAAACTACTAATTCAATTTGAAAAAAAATCCCTCAGGAAATCGAGTGAAGCGGGTTCAAATCCTAGGTCTCGCACTTCTGATATTTTCATAAGCGAATCATGTTTAACATGAATATCTACATGCCTGAGAGAATCTAGCATGTTTTCGAAAGACATGTGAAGTCCGTCAACCTGCTCTTGATCAGTGTGGTGGGCTATATTATCTGATCCCCCTTGTATTGAAGGGAGGCCCGTACCCAGTAGTGGGACATTAAAAAAGGGTGGAATACATACATATAATATTTACTGTTTATTCATTGATTGATGGACATTATTGGCTTTATTAAAACTTATTATTGGTTATTCGTTTTATTTTCACAAAATTTGGTTGTTGTAGTGAGGGCCATAGTGATAGCACCATCTGGTGGGAGAAAAAAAGCAAAGTTCTTCCCCATTGGCCATTCGTGATTCGTTATCTGTGATATATAGGTGTTATATCACTTTATCGGATTCGAGATTTAATTTTCCGATCACATTCTAAATTTTCTACTTTGCACTTTATTATTCAAACAAAAGAAAAACCTAAAAATGAGCGCGTGGAGGCAAGCCGGTCTTAAGTAAGTATATCTTATCCATATAAGATGATTTTTTTATTCTTAGATATTTTGTAAAGTACTCATAATTATCTTTTATTAGTTACATAAACTACTCAAACATCGCGGCAAAGATTTTGCGAAAATCTCTAAAACCAGAATTCAGGACCGAGGCATTAAAACGAGACGATTCGCATGTTAGAATTACACCTTGGGCTAATGGCAAACCAGCACGTAAGTTATATTTTATTGTACATACCTACAAGCTATTGGTTATATCTTCTATCAACATATATAAAAAATAAAAATTATATATGTTAGAAACTATCCACCCTCAAAACAATTTATGATGAATAAAGTGGAACTAAATGAGCTAAATTATATGATACTTTTTCAGATGAAAAGGAATAAATATAGTGTAAGTTAGGCAGCAGAAAAAAGTTATTATTATATAGCATGTTGTTTTATACTAACACTAGTTGTGCTCCACGGTTTTACCTGCGTTATTATTTATTTAATTATAAACATCAGTTTTACCTATAATGTATGGAAGTCTGCCCGATTTGTTAACATTTATGATTACTGCCCCGCTCCCATGGGCAATAGCATGATCAAATAAAGAAACTGCCTCTTTATAATATTAGTATAGATATTATTCAGATTGCCAATTGAAGTGTATGTTTAATTTTGTCTGCCAGTGTTTGTCATTATGTCCTTTGCATATTAATAACAGATTTGATAATTAAAGATATCTGTGTGTGTTTGCCATATGCAAGCCATTATTTGGATAAAAATAATATTTTTGTATATGTTCCAAATATTTTGTTTTTATGACTAATATTTAGAAATGTGTGTTTATAAATAACAATAGATTAACAATAATTAAATTAATTAATGTAAAACTTTATGTTAATATAAATCTTATATTTCAGATCTAAAAAATGCTGCAGCCAAGTAGATGAGTACATCTTCTACACATAAAATTAATATTCAATGGATTATTTAATTGTGTTGTATAAGCTTTATTTAATAAAATAAACATGTCCTGAAAAACCTTGTTAGTATATTTAACTCCTTTAAAAATATGGTAGTTACTGAGTTATTTTTAAAATCTACATTTTCAGAAGCTCTTTGTTTTAAAAAACTAAAGTAATTTAACAAGTTAATAGAAAAATATGCTAAATGTTATAGGGATAGTATAAGAATTATTTGAATTCTTTCAGCAGTTCCAAAAATTATCCTCTGCATACAAACATTTGTCACTTATTTAAAGTCAGTCTAAGCTAAGGGATCTCAGAAAAAAGGTTTAAGAACACTTGAACAGTGTTGTATATTATAGCATTTTTAGGATTTGTGGAATTTAAAGCAAAATTAGATCCTACAAGATGCATACTCTAATAAAAAAATACTCCTAATATGGCCAGAGTGTTCTGTGTATAAAGGAGTTAGTATGGCAAAATGAAGTATTGAGGTTATAATTAGTTTGTACTATTTATTCATAGATGGCGCTGTATGCACTTTTTAAACTATTACCTGGCTCTAATTAATGGTCATATGAACAATATTTACATTTATATATTTCCTTATTTTGTGGATATTCTTAACACTACCTGATGTATAGATGAAACGGCTATATCCATCTTGGGCTTTCCTCTTACAATTATTCTTGTAATTAGAAGTCTGTTAAAAAATAGCCCAAACTATGGTGATCCAATTTCTATGTGTGAGTTTTGGGCACGGGCTTTCATTCAATACGAGGAAGATCGGGCCACAGTCTAAGACGCTAGCCAAGTACAGGTTGGCGGACTTCACTTGTCTTGAAAACTTGCAGAGTTCTCCTATACATGCAAATGTTCTCAGATGTGGTGTGGGGGCCCAGGATTTGAACCTGCTTCACTAGGCTTTTCAAGCAAGCAAATTACCATTGAGTGGGTAGTTAAATAAATGTTGAGACATTAACACAGCGCCATCTAGTTCCATGGTAAGCTACGAGGCTTGTGTTATGGATACCAGATAGTTTATACACTACACATAATAATAACTTTAAATACATACATATTATAAATATAAACACCCATAACTGGAGTACAAACATTCGTGCTCATCACACAAATGAATGTCCCCAGTGGGACTCGAACCCGCGACCGCTGGCACATCAAGTAAGGTCACTACCAAGTGAGCTAAATGTGTCGTCAGTTAAATAAATTGTCAAAAAGAAATTGTGACATTTGCTAATTATGACGGCCAAATCGGTTCATCCAAGGTGTGTCAGGATATACTGCTCTAGCCCGGATAAAATACTAAATACTTTAGGGTTAACTAGTTTGGCCTAAGCTGATCAGTTTGGCCTATGGGTCAGGTACGGGAAAGCTCGTAAATCCATAGATTGGGTGAATAGTCGCGTTCATTAATTTGAAGGTGGTTTATCAACGATAACCAAAGCATGTACACACAAATATAATGTCTTCTCTGCCAGAGACCATAAAATTAAAATAAATTTAAAAATCCAGTTACAACAAAAATATATTTGTCTCTGTTACATAGAACAACAACTTATTTGCTAATGAAATTAGCTATTTTTACAATATACCTTTTAAACTTGTTGCTTTGACATATATATCTGCATTTCTAACTTGATCAGTAATATTTGTACCTAATGGTGCTTTTGGATCAATACTTTTGAGAGTTACATTTTCTATAGGACACTTAGTTTTAAGTTTTTCTATACCATTCCAAGCAATCATAATTCCATTATCTGTACATACTTTAGGTGGAGGTCTAAATACATTACAACCTAATTTACTACCTAAATATTGAACACTTTTGAATATAAAATCATTACATGCTACACCACCTGACACAACTATACTTTTATTTTTCTCACATAATAATTTATTTTTTAGACAGAAGAGAACTGCTCTTTCTGTCCTATGCACTATATGTCTTGCAATAATTAACTGGAAAGCAGCACAGAGGTCATTAACTTCAGGAATAACTTCATCTCCTATTATATTATGTTCTTGCTCTTTTTTCACCAGTTGCCGAATTAGAGCATCTTTAACACCACTAAAACTAAAATTACAATCTCTATTTCTAACAAGAGGCATGGGAAACTCAAACAAATTAAGATTATTGGAACACTTTGCTGCCATTTCGATAGCTCTTCCTCCTGAAATTTCTGAGTATGAAGGAAAATTTCTCAATTTCATTCTTCTTGCAGCTTTATCTAATACTTCACCAGGTGCATTGTCTAAAGTATGACCTAATAATAGAAAGTCATTGACATTTTTTACAAGTGTAAGCAAACAATGCCCACCTGAAATTAACAAAGCTAGAAATGGAAAATCTATATCATGATACATTCGAGCCACTAATGCATGAGCTTCCATGTGATGTATTGGTATTAATGGTTTATTAAAGGTTTTTGATAAATATTTTGCATATTTAACCCCTATTTGCAAACTTGCTAACAGGCCTGGCTTAACAGTTACAGCAATATAATCAATGCTTCTAATATCCAAATCAGCTTCTTTCAAAGCTTCATTTGCAGCTACTTCAATATTATCTCTATGTAAATCTCGGGCAACTAGTGGATTAACACCACCAAATCTTACATGCAAGGCATTTTGTGAAAACAATGAATGCCCTAATATATTGCCTCTTCCATTGACAACTGCAATTCCAGTATCATCACATGATGTTTCAATTCCTAAAACATTGATATTTTCATCATAAGTAATGTATCTTAGGTTAAGTTTTACCCTTAAACACTTTAGAGTAATGTTTTTGGTTTTTTTAAACTGTCTACATAATATATACATATTTAAAACTTCATAAGCTATATTGGTACCAGTAATTTTGTTTAAGTATAAAAGTTATAGTTTTAATGTTTCAATGAACATTGATATACTTATAAATCAATGAGTTCAAAACATTTGATTTGAAAGGTATTAATGTATTAAATTTGTTACTTGTTTTTAAATGAAGTAGTTAAGAAATCCTTTGGTTCAAGTGCTTCATTTCAATTATTTTAAAATGACACTTAAACACATATTATTTCGTCAATTTCACGTTGGAGATTAGCCGTTGGATATTACATTTTTTTATTATTTTCAGTTTTCATTTTTCAGACATCAGGAACCACAGAACACCTCTACCATAGAGTATATTCAATATTGCTACATATAAAAAACTACTACTCTGACGAGTTAGGAACTATGATTTATGAAGCTATTAAAGAAGACATTATAATAAAAAAATATAGGTATTAAAAATATCAAACATGTTTTCATGTCATTGTCAAATCGACAAATCAAAGAGAATGTCTTCAATGTTTAAAGTCCACTTATTAAGGAGCGTAGAAATAAGAACTATCTCTCTGTATAAAAAGTGACTGTTGACCACCATCAAATTAGTGTCGCCACAGAAAATAAGTACATGAATTTAAAACATAGCGCCAAAATCCATAAGAGTAATATTTTACGCTTTGTTATGGTGAACTTTTTAATATAGTTATAACATAAGGCAAACACTGTTATAAGTACATATTATTTTCAAGCATCTAATTATTATAATTCAGCACACTTTACTCCGCTTAAAACTGATATATTCATATCACTTCTACTTAGTACGCTGGCGCTATATCGGTGTGTTTCTGAATTACAATTTGCTGCTCACCACTGGACAATTTTACATTAAAAAAATTTAAAAAATGAACAAAAAATTATTTTATTCTTTCAAATTATAAGTTATATAATTTATAATAATAATTCACTGTATTACAAACAATTGATCACTACAAGGTGGTACAGACATCTTTGTTAAAAAGCGCGGGAAGTAAATGAATATCCACGTCCTTTTTATTTAAAAAAAACATTCCTATCGGCTAAGGTCACATAAATAAATACTTTATACATAAATCATCACAAATTAATGAAATAAATAATTTAATATTAAAACGCTCTTTTATAAAAATGCAACCTTGTGGCCAGATTTGGTGAGCCATTTTATTGAGTGCAAGCATTTCTTTCAGACACACATTACACAAAAGTTGCAAAAGGAAAACTTTGAATATCATGTAGTGTACATTTGTGCACATTTGTAGTAAAACGTTATAGTTACAGTCTCTTTCTCTTTAATTTATAGAGCTATGTTTACATGTGCCTTTTTGTACTATACTGGACCTTTTATTTCTGTATTCGATCATTTTTTTTAATTCAAAAAGAAAATACCACAAACACACTATAATTCATTCATATTATTTTCTTTCATCTAAATCCGTGATACGTCCAGCTGTTTTAGCGTGAAGAAGTAACAAGCACATACACAAACAAACTTTCGCATTTATCTAATACCAGTAGTACGTTACGACTATGTTATTGTTTATGTATTATGTTGCTACAAATTATTCATGTTATCTATATTTTCTTTATTTTTAAAGTAAAAATAAGAATGAGATGGATATTACATTTATAATATATTCTATAAACTCAAGTAACTATATTATTATAGTAACTACATAATTGAGTTTATTGAATATACTAATTATTATTATCTTTAAACTCAAGTTTGTTTTTTAATTATATTAAAAAATTTAAAAAGAAATCCATAATAAGCGTCAAATAAAACGGAAGAAAATGACAAGCAGCTAGGACAAATGACATGTAGTCTCACTCTCCGAGTCTCCATATATCATAATCTGTGAAGTGTGGGCAAATGGCAATATTAGGTGAATGTCAGGTGCCGTATTTAATACTGTTCGGTGTAATATCTATTCTTGTTTCTTATCTAATTTAAATAAATTTATGATTGTAAATGGACTAACCGCTAGTGTATTGAACTACGTATTTAGGGGAATGATGTATTTACAATTGGTGCAATAATATTTTTAAATTGTTTAAAGTAAGTATATAGTATAGTAATAACCTGTATAAATTAAAAATATGTCCAAATACGCCTAAAATAATAAATATTTATTTTATTGGAAGAATTTAAATTATTATACAGCAATTTTACATGTCAAATATTGCATACATACTCGTTGAATTCTAATAAATTATTAATGTGCTTCGTCTAAAATCATGTACCTATTAAAATATTGTAGTTAATAATAATATTTTTTATTGAAATTGTTTTAAAATATTATGTGTAAATCATATCGATGTCAAAAAAATATAATAACTGGTTAAAATCCTAGAATTTGTAGGTACTCTTGTATATTCCTTTCTGAAAATTACCTAAATAATATTAATGTGATATGTGCTGAATATAAAATGATGCGTTTTTTTCAGATTTCATGAAATTATTAGTAAGTTAGACCGGTACAGGATGCTCTACTTAAACGTTCTGAAGCAATCAACTATAGTTCATTTATGTTTTGCTATATCATATTTTACTTCAGGCTTAATATTAAGTCTTGTTCAAGCAGTTTTATTTTTTAGCCTTAAGCCTTTCAATAAAGTATTATACAGAAAAATAAATTATTACCTGTCATACTCATTTTACTGTCGTAAGTATTATATATTAATGATATTTTAAAGTGTCAATCAATTTTATAGAAAAATATATTAAGTATAATAATTATTATTTTATTATTTGGTAATTTATTTTCAGAATTAGTGTTTATGTCTGAATGGTGGTCAGGGACAAAGTTGTCCATATACATAAAGAAGGATGAATATGATAGATACTATGGGAAAGAACATGGCTATCTTATTATGAACCATAGTTATGAAGTAGACTGGCTCATGGGTTGGCACTTCTGTGACGGTATCAAAGTTTTAGGAGTGAGTATATCAATCTGATATCTCTATATATTACATAAATGACTTTTGTTTATAGTGTTCATAATATTTCAAACTGTTGTTGATAAATAAAACTACATTCTAATAAAACTACAATACTATTATGATCAAAAATAAATGTAACCAAAAACATAACATATAATTAATATAAACACAGTGTAGTTGTAAATTTAATTTATTAGAATGAATGTAATAACAGCACCATATCAAGTTGTAGCAACAGTTACAATAGTTTACCATAGTTTCATGCGATTTAAGACAATCAAATACATATAAGAAATAGTGCTCCTTTTGTGATAAACCTTTCGTTTTCTATACATATTATAATAAAATTCTAACTTAATCAAATCTGTAGGTACATTAAATATTTTTTTAGAAAATCTTATTGAAATAGTCATTATTATCGATACAGAGCTGAATCTATAGTTTTTAGAATTTTCGTCTGTTTGTCTGTCTGGGAATGTATAACGAGAAAACCACTAAACAGACTGATGAAATTTTGTATGATGATAGCTAGCTATCCGGATCAACATATACTTAGGATACTTATTATCTCTGAGAAATGTATAATAAACGTTAAAACGTAATTAGAGTCGCGCGAGTTTAGTTCAGCAGTTCTTAAAACGTATTTAGAAATAGATGTTTGGTAATTAATTTTTAACCGTTAAGAGTTGAGTTGTGGAAATCTCTAATATATGTACATAATATTATGAACATGTTCCATTAATTGAAGCAAAGATTATTACCCTTACAAATCTTGGCTACATCTCTCAAAAGAGAAATGAATTCAGTACCTACTTAAATTGCACTGTATCAAAGCGTATGAATTTTTATTTCAAAATTTGGTTGAGAAAAGTATTATTTTAAAATTTAAATACATATTTGCTATTGTTAAGCGTAAATATTTACTAGGAATCAAAGCAAATGCGGTCTTAGCAATTATAGATAACTAGAATTTATAGATAACTATTCATAAAGATAGATCTTACCACTTTTTTGTTCATTATGATAAGTAGACTTCTGGAACAACTAACAACTATGTTTATAGATTAGCGGTGTGTCAAACATATCGATACTTATAAATAACATTACCTACAAATAAAAAATATATATTAATAAAATAAAAAAAACCGACTGCATAAAAGCTAACTAAAAAGATGGAAACAAGTTCACGGAGGAATATAGTATTATGCAGTTTAAACAATGAAATCTAGCACCCCCTATATTTTTTTATGTCACCTATCTAAGAACACTTAGATGAATGAAACGAATCTGACGATACCTTTATTAAAGAAATTTAGCGACTAGTTTGGAAGATATGAGGGAATAAAGAATATTACAAACAAACATACAAAGATAGGCGCGAAAAACATCCAAACAAACCTTTCCTTGCAGTCGGGTAAAAAATCGGTCGAATATTTGTATGTTAGGTCATCCTTATCCTTTTAGGAAGTTGGTTAAATAAAATAGCTCTCTTTAATATTTTCTTTATTATTCAAATTGTTACAATAAGCAAACACTCGTTTTCTTGCCTTATGTGCTATAAGTACAAGTAGGTTCGAAAATTCTTATTGTTTACTTAAATATACTAATCTAAATCCTTATTTACTTATATGTACTATTTAAAATTATAAAATACTCAAGTATAGCACACGTCACAAGTGCCGTTAAATTATCGAGATAAATGTTTGCAACAGCTGTTTTTGTTCAGAATATGCATGGCTGAAAATACAAAGTCCTCCCAATTTAAAGCTTCATTATGTTTTATGTGCCTAATTAAAATAAAACAAGGCATTGTAATTTGAAAAGAATTTATATATAAATTTCGATTTAACGAGCAGTGTAATTATAGTTGACAATAAATAATGATTTTGTAGTTAATAGAGAAAGAATGACCAAAATTTCATTTGGTTTGAAGATAATTTACCTATATTATGATTTAAACAGTATTATAGGTATATACTTTGAAAGATTTTAAAAGTATTTACATTGAGTTTAAAATATTCTAATTAAATTATTAAAGTCTTCGATAACAATTGTTACATGACTGCTGATCGAATTGTGTTCATTATAATATATTTACTTAAATAAATACCTATATACCTACATACATTTTTATCTATGGCTACTATGGAGCTTGAATTAAACCTGTTTCATAGCATCGTGCAATCTATATACTTGTTTAATCGTTACTTATATTTGATATAAGTAAACTTAAGTAACGAACAGTATTGGTACAATTTGCTGCTAAGTACTACAATTATTAGTATCTTAAAACTAGCAGCTAACCCTTGCTTCGCTCCTAGGTACGTTTTAAAGGTTATTGTGGAATAGATAGACTTATATATTATAAATTCTAAGCTTAATAAAGCACTAACATATTATTATCAACATAAGTTTTACAATAATGTATGGAAGTCTGCCTGATTTGTTGACATGATTACTGCTCCGCTCCCTTGGGTAGGAGCATAATGATAAAAACCCGTAGCCTTTTTCAATAAACGGGCTATCTAATGCACAAATAATAGATTTTTCAAATCGGATTAATAGTTCCTAAGATTAGCGCGTTCAAACAAACAAACAAACTCTGTATCTTTATAATATTAGTATAGATAAGATATTAAATGAAATGTCAGTTTGAACAAGACAGTGAATCTTAAAGTTTATGTTTTCAGAAAATATATTAATTATTCATTTTTTAAAATGAATTAACTAATAATTTGTATGATTTTTCTTTTAGAACTGTAAAGCCTATGCGAAAAAATCTATACAGTATTTACCACCCATTGGTTGGATATGGAAATTTTCGGAGTTCGTATTTTTAGAACGGTCATTCGATAAAGATAAGGAAATAATCAAGAAGCAGATATCAGAAATTTGTGATTATCCGGATCCTGTATGGGTAAGCGATTAATTTTTTTATTTACATTATTTTTTTTATTTTTTTTCCTAGGTAGGAAAGGTATCAAGAATCTAGATTGATCAGATCATTTTTATAACTCTTTATATATTTAATTTATTTTATTATATATTTATTTACACTTATACATTTATATTATTACATGATATATAATTTAATTTTAATTATTGGTTAGTGGTTATCTATAAACTTATTACTTTTAAATGTATTTATTTCGTAAAATAAATATCTTTTGTGAATTCTTTTAGTTTTCATGTATGGACCCCTCTCGGGTAAAAGCTTCCTCCAAAGCGTGCCTATGTGTCTATCTTTTGAAATCATATATCGAGTGGAAATCATTTGGTGGCCAAGCGTTAGGTCCTTGTGGTAGTTCTGCATAGAGCTCTCCGTTAGAGTTATGATTGCAAAGGGTTACTTTTCAAATTCTGTTTCCATGACATAATTTGTTTCTGATATTCCTGCCTATAAAGTTTATAATTTGGTGTTATCGTCAGCTACTTCGCGCAGGTTACTTTTATGTCTTTTTATTTTCAAGATGTACTACGGAAGTGCATAGTATGCAAATAAGATACTTCTAGTCAAGATTAAGTACCAACATATTAAAGCAGTTTATGTTTTATCCTGCAGAACCATTTGTTTTAGAATAGTGTATTTAAAATTCCATCTTAATTTAAGGACCGAGTAATAGTAATTTTCACAAAATATTCATACACAATTTCGTTCCCATATAATATCCCAAATTAAATATGTTGCAAATGTATAATATAAATATAACATACAGTTATATGAAATCCTTTTAAACTAAACTTTATTGAAATAACCTTGAGTTGTCTGTCTATAATCAACAGTTATCATCTAATAAATTATTTATAGTATGGTGGTATGAGACTTGATTGTCATACTTCCTTATATTTGAATGCGTACTTCATTTGCATTTACGTAATAACCAATATTCCTGCTTTGTTTAAATCTGCATTATATTCGGTAATTAAAAAGACCGGAATGTATATAGAATTAGAATTAAATATAATGACATTAACTCACAGTACCATCTAGTTCGATTATAAGCTACAAAGTTTGTTTTATGGATACCAGATGGTTAATACACTACACATAATATATAACTTTAAATACATACATAGTATAAATATAAATACTCATGACTGGATTACAAACATTCGTGTTCATCACAAATAAGTGCCCTCAGCGGGACTCCATCCCGCGACTGCTGGGACAGTAATAGTAGGGTCTCTACAAACTGAGCTAAACGTGACGTTTGTATGTCTACTCTCTACTATATCCGTCTATAGGTCTTTCTCTTCTCCTAGAAGTTCGATACATCCATATATACCTATAGGGTTCTGTTAAGTAACCAAAAGATATGTAGAATTAAATATAATTTCGACAATTAACTGCCTCGGTGGTGTAGTGGCTAGCATGTACGGCTGCACATCCGGAGGTCCTGGGTTCGAGTCCCGGGTCGGGCCAAGTTTAGTTATTGAGTCTTTCTGTATATTATGTCCCAGTAACAGCCCGGAGTAGGGAAGTTGGCGGTGTTTCACCCCCGTGCCTCGGAGAGCGCGTAAAGCCGTTGGTCCTGCGCCTTAACTCTCACCGGTCGTGTCGAGTGGTCTTCCCACCGGAGTATGAGAGTAACAGGAATGTAGAGTGCACTTGTGTCTGCGCGTACACTTGAGCACTATAATATCTCCTGCGCAGTTGGCTAATCTCAATGAGATTGGCCGCCGTAGCCGGAATCGGCTAGGAAAACATCATCATCAATTTCGAAAACAAATATAATTCATGGAGTACTCATTTAAAAGAAAAATACCGTATAACAAAAAAAACTTTAAGAAACTCTCATCTCATCATCTATCATAAGAGACTCGTTAAAATTGATCGAATAAGCAAAAACTCGAAGGTCTTACTGGTAACCATTCAAAAAATACACGCTCCAACTTCTGGTTCTATCATCAGATCAACTCGATGTAATCAAATTATTGCACTAGGATCCGGATTACACATAAGGAAAACCCGTACAAAATGGCATACCGTGATAAAACATGACGGCGTATTTATTTCGGCTTATAATTTCCGCTCCTAGGTCACTTAGTGGCTTCCACCTCCCGAGAACTAAATTGGTTAATAAATATTTGTCACTGCAAGCAAGCGCGTTTTTAAAATATTTGATTGTAATGTTTTTTTTCCATTGAAGTAATTTTTGCGAAAATTCAAACAAAAATAGTGAAGTTTACGTAAGTTTCAAGTAACTATGACAATGTGCGTGTATTTACGCATATTTTACAAATGTACCGGCAAAATTGATATTCTTAGATATAGTTAGTGATGTATTTGCATTTAGATATCTGGGCTGAAACCGTAAGGGGTGAAACCGGAAATGTATGTTTTAGACCCCCAAAGTAAGAATATAAACCAACTTTGTTTTTATTTTGATAAAAATATTGATGCCGCACCGCTTCACAAATCGACTCCCAGACAAGATCCGTATTGTATAAAAAAGCAGTGCAAACAGTTTTACATTTCTTGTATAGTAAATTTTCGCGGTAGTATTATATACATATATTTATTATATTATATACATATATTTATTAGGTAGTATTATATACATATATTTATATACATAATGTAGTATACGGTTTTGTTCATGTGTCGAGGCATAACTGTAATAGTTAGAGAATTAGGTGCTTTTGTTATTTTGTGCTTAATTTTGTAATTTTTCGAAATATGATAATTTCATTTACTTATGAGACTGACTAATAATTATAAATGTTATTTTAATTCCCTTTTGTTTTTAAATAAAAAATATATATATAATATGCCAGCCCTATCATACCTTAATCTACGTAGTTATATAAACCGGATCTTAACAAAATTATATACCATTTTCGCCTCCTCAGAAGTAGGAAAGGACAAAATGGTATTAAAATTACCTAAATCGAAAATATTTAGATTCAATGATTTAATTAGGTTTTTCCTTTGTTTGTCGTACCGGACACATTCCATTAACATATGATAAACATCTTCATATAATCCACATACATCACAGTTTGGTGAGGGTGATTTTTTCATAAGAAATAAAAAAATATTTAATGGCATTAGTCCGGAACGCAATCTATGTTCTATACCTTTAATCCTTAGCTATACGTTTATGCCTCTGTCTCCCCTACTAGTACAGTTTAAAATCGTGTGGTCGTGAGATCTTAGTTTTTGTATAAAAAGGACAATCTCCAACAAGAAATCTGGGTTATGCTTTTTCTTTTGAAAATTATGGGTAAAGGCTTGATGGAACAATAACAAATTATTATATTTAAGCTGTGGAGAAATTTATAAAAAAAAATTATTCATCTTCAAAGTCACGCGGAATCCCTTTTTCCCTGGGATTATATATAACATTGTAAATGGAACGCGAGTTGTAAATTGAAATTATCAAAAATTCATCCATTATGTTTCAGAAGCTCTTTCTTCTATTAAATTACTAATTTTTTCTCGGTTAATTAAAGTGATACCAATAAGGCACGTATGCTCTCTGCAAAATTTCATATAGTAACAATTGTAATGCGAATTCTTTACGCTATTTTGTAGGGATTAGCTTGTATTGGAATTGGTCACTCTTCACAATATGTCACTGTATACCAAGTCCTCTGTTATCTTTCTATATTTCTGCTAATATGAAACTGTTAAAAAATCACATATTAACATTGCAAACTCATTTATAAGTACATTTTAATTCATTTAAAGCGGAGATATTACAAAAAAAAGGAATCAACACAGTAGAGATCGTTTGGCAGCGGTGCCAACGAGTGTAATTGAGATTGTTGATTAGGCCGGAGGTCTACGATCAAATGCAGTGCCAATTGGTTGGTTCTTGTCGGACGAATATTTGTATTAGAATTCTCGTATGTTAATAATAAATACTATTAACGCGCTTATAACACCGCGCACAGTAACTTTCTGGTACAAACTGTATTTTTCGTGCAATTTGTCTGGCGGCAATTACTTGGTATATTGACAAAAACTTGCTTCGCATCAAGCTGTTTCTCTAATGTCGCATTAAAGGTCGAACCTAGATAGTTTTGCATTAAAATAAGTAAAGTTTTTATTTAATAGGTATAAACTACTTATTCAAATACAAAACGTTATAAATAAAATTGTTTTATTGTCTTATAAAATACTATCAGAACCCGTGGCTTCGCTCGCGCTAAAACTACAAAAAAATCTCTAAAAAGGTAGTTTTATACAAACTTTCATCCCCTATTTTACCCCCTTATAGGATGAATTTAAAAAAATGGTAAAACACGTATTTATTTATTTGTACTGAAGAGCATTAATACCAAGTTACAAGTAATTCTGATTAGAAATAATTTTTGGATTATACATAATATTATAACGTGTTTTCCCGTGGGAATGAGATGAACTCCCGCGATAAAAATTAGCTTATGTCACTGTCCAGCTCTCCAACTATCTTCACACTAAAAATCACGCCAATCCGTCACTCCGTTTCGACGTGAAAGAAAAACAAACAAACACGCTTTCACATTTATAATATTAAGTATGGATGTTTTAAATAAAACTATCTTTTCGGCATCGGCATCGGCATCGAGGCACTTATGAAAGCTTCTGATAATCGCTCATCCCTGTCTAGCCTATAAGAGATAAATTTTAAAGATTTACCTACCTATATAATCATATATTCTTTATTGCACTAAACAAGTAATAAAAAAAAAATACATAGAAAATGAAGTGGACAAAGGTGGACTTATCTCTATAAGAGATCTCTTCCAGTCAATCATAAGTAAAACAAAATAAATACAATATATACATAAACATACATATATATATATAATATAATAGTTTAATTTTATTACATCATATCTTTTATCGGTTAACGACTTACATAACATATATACATAATTAAAGTTTTTTGTAATTAACATACATAATTAAAGTTTTTTATCGCTTTCGGTAAAGCGATAAATAACTTTAATTATATATATGTAAAATAGCGTTTAGGTTATGGCATGATAAGAACAATAATAAATAAATAAAAGTTATAAAAATAAAAAGGAATTGGCAAGTATCAAAGTCCAATAACCGTATCGAAGAGTTGGTTCCGAGATAACAATAACCCAAATAAGCAGAAATAAATGGAAATAAAAGTAGCTAAGTCAAGGTGTAAATAAGGGAAAATATGCGATGTAAATAGAAGTGACAGTAAAAAAAATGTAGCTTAAAGCATGATTTGTCAAAAGCACTGGTATCTACTATAGTACTGATATATACTCTAATAAAACGAGGTTTTACTATTATGTATAATATTAAATTTTATGTATCTTACTATTTATTTTAGAATTGGCAAATGAAAATTGCAGGATTTTTCCACAAACTTCCGCATTTTTGAAAACGAGTTGTTTTTTTATTATAGCATGATGTGGTCTGGGGATGACATTAGATAAACCGTTTTTTTTACTAATGATTGTGCTTATGATTTACAAATATGGGAAATATTTCTGCTCTAACCAAAATATTATAAGCGTATGGTTCTAATTCTTCTAAGTCATTGATAACTATAGTCAGTAAAAGAAAAACCCATTACATGTATCTATTTTTAAATACGTTGAAAATATAAAAAAACTATACAATTTGTTATGCATGTAACATCTCATTGGAACATAATAATTGCTACAATGGATGGTCGAATATTCATTATATGTGAGGTAGTTTTTGTGCATTATATACATTTTTGTTCTTATAATTTAATAACAAAAATATTAAAATTGGCACTAACGATATTTTAAAATATTTTTTCTTCGAGATTTTACTATGAAAATCGTTATAGATAAAATTGATTGATTGTTATCATTTCCCAATTTATACGGTACTGACAAGTGTCATTCGCACCATCATACAATGAAAATTGTATTTTTGAAGTTATACTTCTTTTGGCACGTTTGGATAAAAATATGCGAATAAAATTTTTACGATGAAGTTAGCTGAAAGCGACATGTATTGAAATTAGCTGCATTCCTTTTACAAACACAGAATTGTGACACACGGGATGAAATATTTAGCTATGTTTGATCTGTTACGCCAAAGAAGTATAACTTCTTACGTGCGTACACAACAAAAAAAAAACGTGAATGTGTACTTAACACATACACGGTTTTTTATTATCTATACCTATTGTTACGATATGATTATATGTATATTGTTAGGTCCGTTAGGATTGCGTTAGAAGTGATACAATTGACGGTTAGCTTTCACACGGTTACGGATAGATTGCTAGCTATCGGTACTTTATTGTTGTAAATTCATATACCGATGGAAATACATAGTTGAATGACTTTAAGTTTCGTTTAAATCGAATTTGTGTTATTTTTATGCATGTCTAACTTCTGGTTGCTAGAAATACCTATACAATTTTATTATTATTGGTAATATTCTTGGGACATTCTGTATTTGGTCTTATGCGCCTTAGGCAGATCCTTTGGTCCAGGGTTCGTTTTTTTTTTGTCAAAAAATCCTCAGTAGCCCGGGGTTGGGGGTAATTTGCGTTGTTAAATAATGATTTGATACGAGCTCTAAAAGATAACACTTTTTATCGTAATTTGGAGTTCACGTGAGATTATTATTTATCATAATCGATTTTATATCGCAAATAATTAATTACTAATAATTATGAGAATAAATTTGAGAAATGTATAATAATGATTAATTATGTGTTTAGACTCATTTTTTTTATTTGGCACATTGAAGAAGTAAAGACGTTTTGTCATTTTTTTTAAATATACGTAATATAATACGTTTTTATTTTATAAAACTCAGTAATTAATATCTGTTAGAATTAACAAAAAACAATTTAAATTTCTACGAATTATCGAAAAAATTATAATTTTATAAAAATATTTATTGCAATATCAAAAGTATTTTGGTGTAAGTTTTCTTATTTTCATTAATATTTTATAGCTATTGATGACACCAGAAGGCACGCGCTTTACGAAGAAGAAACATGAAGCTTCGCTTAGTTTCGCCAAAGAAAAAAATCTCCCCTTACTCAAACATCACTTAACACCTCGCACAAGAGGATTTACCACCAGCTTACAATACTTTAGAGGGAAAATACCCGCCATTTATAACATACAATTGGCCTTCGAGAAGGATAGCAAGGTATGTTATTTATTTATTATTTATTTGTAATAGGTACGCACATAACGCAATAGTTACTTATGAGGTCACGAAAGCTGTTCCGTGAAGGTCATAGATTCCATGCCTGTATGGGGCAATTACTTACTCAACTGTACTGTCAAATTATTCGATTATTATATTTTTATTTTTTACCTAATAATTCAACAGAATGGATTGGATTTTTTTTATTTGAGAAAGTATTAAGATATCTATACATATAATAAAATTGTAACTAAGCCGAATCTGTACATTAGATATTTTTTGGAAAATCTTATTGAAATAAACATTATTATCGATACAGAGGCCGAATCTATAGCTTTTAGAATTTTTTGGCTGTCTGTCTTTCTGTCTGTCTGTTACCGCATCACTGAAAAACCACTTGAGGTTTGAAAGTTTGATGAAATTTGGTATGGTGATAGCTGGTTATCCGGGACAACATATAGGATACTTATAATATCTCATTTCTGAGAAAAAACACAAAAACGGCAATGTAAGAATATACTAATATGTAAAACATAAGGATTTGGTTTTTTGGTCACCTGAAAGCGGGCGGAGCCTCGGGCAATGCTAGTATTTTATATATTTTTAATTTATCATAATATGTTTGTTGTCTTAAAAGATATGTATTTAGTCATAAGTTATATATAATATTCTAATTGAACATAAATTATCGAACGTAAGCGATGCTATAAGTTTTTTCACACTTTTGTCGTAATGATCAAATGGCACACATTATTATGCTATAAGTTAAATTCAAAGAAAATAAATAGTTAAATTGAATTCAACATATTGTTAAAATACTGCACTTTTTAGCACATTTATAATTTATGTACATATTTTATTAGAAGTTTTATACAGATGATAAATATACAAATTTACATACGAATGCACATTAGTACAAAACACAATACTGTGTTATTCACTTGGGCGTACATACATACATATTATGTTTTAATATAAACTATTTAATATTTTAAAACCAGGCAATAATAAATCTAAAAGGGATTTTTTCTACGGAAGGTGAAGCCGAGTTCAATTTTAGTATATTTGTACAGTTTGGCGTCTACTTTAATATGAGTTTGTGACCTTAACTCGTATTGCCCTATTAGAACAATGATGAAATTAATGCATTTAAAAAAACAATTCGAGCCTAATTTTCACAGGCGCTAGAAATAGCTAAAATAGTAAAATCAAACAATAACAGCAGGTGCAGTTATAGGTCTTTACTTTACTTCATTTATTGCTAGGCTAGCTACTTCACATGGTAGGATACTTATCTAGTAATGTAGTAGAAATAAAACATATTCCATTCTCTATCGTCTAAATAAAATATAATATAATTAGTCATGCACCGGATATCCGTATTCGTATCAGTATCCGCGGTTGTACATTTGTAACGATCCGGTACATCACTGAATTTATAATTTATGATCTCCTAGCGACAAACAGGCATGTGTATTACTACAGATCATAATCTATCTCTATACTTAATTTCATCTAAATCCGTCTAGCAGTTTCCGCGTGATGAAGTAACATTTAACAAACATACACAATGCCATACAAACTTTTCAATTATAATAGTAGTCTATAGTACTATAGTATACAGATAAATACAATTGAAGTGTATGTTTGTAATATCAAAATAACAGCTTCTTACTAAATGCGTATGAAATAAAATACGGTATTTATAAGTAAAACACTTTTTAAATTTTTTGTCTTTCTGTCTGTTTGTTCCGGCTAATCTCCGAAACGGCTGGACTGATTTTGGCGTGACTTTCACTGGCAGATAGTTGATGTTATTAGGAATGATTTAGGCTAATTTTATTTTAGAAAAAGAAATTGGATTCCCCTCAAAAATATTAAAACGTACCTAGGGACGCAAAGTGCGAGCCGAGCGAAGCAAAGGTAAGTCGCTAGTTAGATAAATAAATATCATCTAACATTGTGCAGAAGGTATTTTTTATCATTTATCTCGGCACCGTGCCTCTATTAGGATAACAAATGGAGTTTAATTGTTCGTGTTATGGAAATTAAAATGATGGCACAACAGTCGGTTGTTCTCTTTTCTATAATTCTTTTTAGGAATATTGAATTATTGCATTTTTCACTACAACTAAAATAGAGACAAAATTTATAAATTCTTTTGCCGATGTTATAGATTTTATTTTCATCTTAATAACTAAGGGAATTTTAGGGATAATTTATTTATAAAGTAAATACAAGTAGTACGGTAAAAACTATATACGAATGCGAAATTCAATTGTCATATTTACAGATTATTGACATCCGATGCCGTTAATATCACGAAACAAAATATCTGAATATCAAATTAATTGATACATATAATTTTACAAATTAAAAAAAAAATGTAATATTAATGAAGTAAACGGTTCCAATTCAATTCAATTCAATTCTCTCGTTACTAGTTTCAAAACGTCCTAAAATGTGTAATAGAGAAGACACAGAGGAGAAAGTACATAATCCAGCGTGCTAGCGTGGTGGACTGTGGCCTGATCCTTTCGCATTGAAGTAAGGTCCGTTCCCAGCAGTGGGACGATAAAAAGGGCTTTATAGAAGTATACATGCCATGTCGCGTATTATTTTACCAACATACATAAGTACGTGTTAGTAGTAGGCTCTTAATATAAACTAAAATTTGTTTGCTTTGTAGGTTCCACCGACCTTGACAAGCATGTTATACGGCAAGCCGGTACACGCTCATCTGTACATTGAAAGAATTCCCGTAGAAACTGTTCCCGAAGATGAAGCGGAGGCAACTAAATGGCTGCACGATTTATTTGTCGTAAAGGTAACAGGAATACTTGTATCTATACCTATAATATTATGTATTTTTATTGCCTCATTGGTCTAGTAGACAGCATGCACGGCAGCATATCCGAAGGTCCCAAGCTCGAGTCCCAAGTCGGGCCAAATACATACGGTTATTTGGTTTTTATATCAAGTAATTATAAATATTATTAGATATTTTCGAAGTCGGTGCCTGCCGACAATATTTTAAGATATGAAAATCTAATAGGTAAGTAATAAATATGATTAGGCATGAACTCTAATTATAGTTAAAATATAATATGTACACTAGTTTGTGATGTATTTTACGTATCGAAAATCGAAATATATTTTAGATTTGCATCGGATGGCACCGACTTCGAAAATATCTGATTAGGTATCTATTCTAAATGGAAATCCCCGTTTAGTTATTTTTTACATTTTAGTGCCTTGAAGTCGGTTTTTATTTATTATAAGTGTTACAATAGTTACAAGCCTTATTAGTCCCATAATATTATGTACTAAATACTAATAAACAATTTGATTCATTGCTCATTTGCACGACATGCCATGTCAATGCTAACTAAACATGCAAAATCCATATCAAGTAAGTATTGTATTTAATTATTGATACATATAATAAAGTAACTGATCGCTGTCTGTACCGGGAAGATATTTGAGAAGATCTATTATTGGGGGTCTTTATAAACGCAATAGAACCCAAAACAATGATTTTTAGAATTTGTGTCTGGTTGTTGTTGTTTGTGCGCGCTAATCTCAGAAATGGCTTAACCGATTTGGGTGCGGTTTTCACTAATGTATTGTGGTAAGCTTCACTTAACATTTAGTATTTGTTTTATTTCAATCGGCTCATAAATAAAAAAAGTTATGTTAATTTAAAGAATCACCCGAACCCGAGCGAAGCAAGGGTGAGTCGCTAGTATTTATTTATATAAATATGTAGCTAATTAGTTAATTTTATTTCATTGCACTTCATTGAATTACTGCTACTATTCCTTAGTTTAAAGTATAATATTATAATGATCTTCCTATTATTAGAATGAAAGTCTTGAGTAAGCTAACATTATACTCGTATATATGTACAGTACCTGGGCGACAGATCACCGAGCTTCGCTCGGCGTAGGCGCTCGTTCAGTAGTAGATTATCATCCTAGAGCTTATACGACATTGTCAGCATGAGAGCGGATAGAAAAAGGCACAAATAAATTAGTTATAATTTTCTTTTGTAAAAAAACCCTTTTTTTTCAGAAAAAAAATCTCATAACAATAAAAAACAAGCCGTACCTTAATAAAAAAATGATCCAAATCGTTAGAACCGTTACCGAAATACACGAATTAAAAATACAAGAATAAAATATAATTAAACATCTATGATATTATGTTCAGTGCTTGCACCTAAACGGATATGTTAAGTTTTTTTTTATTATAAATAATATTATCTATACATATAATAAAATTGTAACTAAGCCGAATCTGTAGCTACATTGAGTATTTTTTGGAAAATTTTATTGAAATAAACATTATGATCGATACAGAGGCTGAATCTATAGTTTTTAGAATTGTTGTCTGTCTGTTACCGCATCACGAGAAAACCACTGGACAGATTTTGATGAAATTTGGACTGTATTATACAGTAATTTGTTTGCTTCTCTATATTGGCCTATAATATAGTAATTTGTTTGCTTTCTAAGTATTAAAAGTACTAGAAATATATTCAATTTTCTTAATATAATTAATATATAAAGTATTTGGGTGACCAAACGTTGCTCGGTGTTTTATTTCTTTTATTTTCCAAAAGAGATAAAAATTGTGTTTTCTCAGAAAGGACACCTATATAGATAAACTTTAAAAGCAAATCCTTACTTAAATACAAAATTTAATCCAAATCGTTCGAACCCTTTACGAAATACACGAAATATATTGAATATATTCATATATCATATGTATATAAAAATTTCTCTTTTAATATTATTATAAGATTTATATCAATCTATACAGGACAAATAAGCAGGTCTCATCTATCTTCATTTAAATTTAATAAAAAAACGTATGTGTGTGTAGGTACTTATGTACGCACGTAAGAAGTTATACTTCTTTGGCGTAACAGAACAAAAATAGCTAAAGATTTCATCCTGCATGTCACAACTCTCTGATTGTAAAAGGAATGCAGCTAACTTCGTCATGTCGCTTTTAGGCTGTCGGTGTGCGCGCGCATAGTAAAAATTTTACCCTCATAATTTTTTCCAAACGTGCCAAAAGAAGTATAACTTCAAAATAATGACAATACTGTTTAATTTTCAGGATAAAATGCAAGATTCCTTTATGAATACGGGCGATTTCTTCCAAGAGTCTGGTGTAGAGAGAGTTGCTCCCTTCCAACGGCCTAAACGTATCTATTCATTGTTGAACACTCTCGGATGGGCGGTTATTACTTTAACACCAATGCTGTATTACCTTTTGGGGCTTTTGTTTAGCGGAAAACTCCTATATTTCTCTATTGGCGGAGCTATATTAGCTGCATGTAAGTATTGTCTATCTATCTATACAAATAAATAAATTTGAAGTGTCCGTTTGTAATGTCAAAATAACAGCTTTTACTAAACGCATATGGAAGTATATACGATTCTTATAAGAAAAACCAATTTTTAAATGTTTGTCTGTCTATATGTTTGTTCCGGCTAATCTCCGAAACGGTTAGACCGATTTTCTGGCAGATAGCTGATGTTATAACTTATAGGAGTAACTTGCTACTACTTTTATTTTTGAAAAACAATTAGACGGGTAAATTTTTATAAAAAGGGTGGGCGATTTCAATAATTGTAGCATGTCCGTTTGAGCGGTAGAAAACTTCAATTTATTGGACCCAGTTATGCAAAAAACAACCATGTGCATAAAAGTACCAACAGAGTTATAAGCATATATCGTCGTTGCGACTTTGAAACCTCTTATGTGTAAAAATCAATTTTATGAGATAATCGACAAAAACCGTCTACTGAAAAAAATATAGTGAAACCAACTACAACAAAAAATATAAATATCAGCTACATGTTTTCCTGCTTTTTACTATGATATTATTACATGAAATGAAAAGTAGTATCGTAGTCAAAAAAAATAAAAACAAGTTCAGTTAACACATAAGATTATTTGCGTGCGCTTTATGGATCACATCATTGCTCTTGAAACAAAATGCCTACAATTATTGAATTAAAAAACTATTTATTTTATTGCAAAAACAAATATATTTCTCTGAATACACATCTTAAGACATTATGTAACAATTGAACCACAAGTTAGGATAAAAAAGTTACAAATCAAACTACCATAACTTTTTGAATTTAACTAGTAATTATGCATTAGGGGCACCTAAGGGGATTGAATAGTAACGCATTATAAAATGGATGGTAATCCTTATCTATTACCATTTTAAGTTCCTGTAAATGTTTATACTCGCTCTCAGTAATTTTTATTGGAGATTTATACAGTCCCCTTGGCGATATAAAATCATTTCTTTGGTTGTTTTTACGCTGTGGAAGTACCGACCACTCATCGACATGTCTTAACCTATAAAATATAGATCCATCGGATAAATATTTAAGACCCTTAATGTCCACCACGACAGGATCTCCCTTCTTTTTTCCAGGCCGTATGGATTTTAAGTTCGATTCCATCTCTTCGAAATTGAGAAAGAAATCAAAGTTAACAGATTTGATATCATAGGGCTTTTAAGGTCGAGCTTGTCTCATTCGTGCGATGTAATCACTGGAAGCGAATATTGGCGGTTTTATGTATTGCTCAATAGTGGAGTTAACACTATCTACCTCCATCATAGTGTGCCCTTTTTCCAGATAAAGTTGTTCAATACAAATGCCTCCTTTGCGCCAAATCGCTTAGGGCACTAGACGAAATTCGGTTTCATCATCAACAGACATCCGTAGACAGTAGTCTATTAACTGCCTCGGTGGTATAGTGGCTAGCATGTACGGATGCACACCCAGAGGTCCTGGGTTCGAGTCCCGGGTCGGGTCAAGTTTAGTTATTGAGTCTTTCTGTATAAGTAAGCCTCAGTAACAGCCCGGAGTTGGGAAGTTGGCGGTGTTTCACCCCCGTGCCTCGGAGAGCACGTAAAGCCGTCGGTCCTGCGCCTTAACTCTCACCGGTCGTGTCGAGCAGTCGTCCCACCGGAGTATGAGAGTTACAGGAATAGAGAGTGCACTTGTGTCTGCGCGTACACTTGTGCACTATAATATCTCTTGCACAGTTGGCTAGTCTCAATGAGATTGGCCGCCGTAGCCGGAATCGGCCAGGAGAACATCATCATTAAACAAGATGTGAATTCATTAGCAACTGCTAATGATGTAACTACATTACCATCTGCTTCGTGCCAAAAGTAAATGTTCACATCTTTGGATAGCATGTTATAAGCCGTAAAGTTATTGCATTGTAATTTTAATTTGTAGTATAAAGCACTAGCCATAGCTTTGGAGCGAGCAAAACACTTTGAACGTCGACAGTTATAACCACATCCTTTTCGTTTGCACTTTCTATGACATTCTTTTTGGCTTCACGGGCTTCAGTTTTCTTCGCAATATGACTTTCGTATTCTTCTTTCGAAATGTTATCCGTTTTATAACTGCAACACGTGTCACACTGGTCTTTGCGCGAAAGATGAATGCTGATATTTTCGTTTGTCAGTATCTTGGATAATGTCTTTCTAGAGGCAGCTTTGTAGTGGTTTTCAATACACCACTCCTTAAAAACTTGATGCATGTGGAGTTCAGATCGAAAAGTCTATTCAACAAAAAATTTTTTTGAGCTAGAACGACAGTAATGACTTGGTAAAAGATCCAACCATGTTTTAACAGTTCTTGTTAATTCAACGTGCCTTCCTGGCCTAGCAATAATATTTAAACTTGGTAAAGTGTTTTCTGCAGTTTGATCAATAAAATTTTCCTCGAAAGTCCAGCGACGACACACATCATACACATAAGATATTTTAAGAACCAACTTTTAATTAGCAAGTACATTCAAGATTTTGAATTTAGTAAATAACTGACGATTGAAACGCCATATTCACATGACAGTTTTTGCATTCGATAGCGCATTAAAATGTAGAATCGGTAAGCCTAAAAAAGTATTTTTGCCAAAAGTGACACATAGGAGGTCTTAACTTCGCAACGACGATATGGCATAATAAAATATTATAAAAAATAAAATAATTATAAAAAATAAACAATACTTATATAAATATTGTTCAATTTTAAAATAACCAGAAAAACAAAACATAACCCAAGTGCAACTATCGACAGAAAAATGCTTATAACTCTGTTGGTGCTTTTACGCATATGGCTGTTTTTTGCATAACTGGGTCCAATTACTAATCCTACTATTGGATGTCGAGGTTTTGTTTTGAATTTTAGTAATAAAAAAAACTTTATTGAATCTTTGAAAGAATATCCAGAATGCAAAGTAACTAGGTCCTAAAGATGTGGAATAATAATAAAAGTATTGTGGTAGGTTCTCTACTAATCGATTAATTATCAATCGTCAAATCAAGCTTAAGTGAAGTAAGCAGATATGATATCTAAATACATACTGAAATAAAATGTCACCTTTATTTTCATAGTATTATTTTCGTATAGATATGTAGTAATAAACATTACAATAATGAAAAGCATTCATTTTTTTCTATATAATTAAATATATGTCTATAGTAAATTCAATCACACCCGACTTTCTATCTATCTACACCATATCCCACTGCTGGGCACGGGCCTCCCTTTAATACGAGGGGGATCAGGCCATAGTCCACCACGCTGGCCAAGTGCGGGTTAGCGGACTTCATGGCTTTCGAAAACTTGCTAGGTTCTCTCAGACATGTAGGTTTCCTCACGATGTTTTCCTTCATCGTAAGACAAGTGGTAATCACGTTAGAAATGCTTCGCATATGAAAATATCAGAGATGCGAGACCCGGCATTTGAACCTGCTTTACTCGGTTTCCCAAGTGAGCACGCTACCACTGGGCTACTGGGGACTACCCGACTTTATGCCTTAATTAATATTAATATTACTAAATTTTTTTCAGTTTATATTCTTCTTCAGAAGTCCATTGGAATGTCTAAGATCAGTCAAGGTTCGTCATATGGAGCGGAAAAAAAGTAATAAGGTAATAAAAGTGTTTTTATAGCAAAAAGCATAAAATTTAATGTAAATTGCTATATTGTTCGAATAGTTTTAAAAAATTGAAATGTAATGGTTTTAATCTGGCCTTGCGATAAGTACTGCTTGTCATCTGATACGTTTAAAATTTACTTTAAATATAAAGTCGAAACAAAAACTTACCTAATGGTATTTTTTGTCAAGTAACAATAGAAGATATATAAAATATACGACTAGTTTTTGTTTCAATACAAAAAAACTTTAATGAGTTCCGTTTTGTTTTATAATGAAACAAAATAAAAAAATAAATAAATCATCGTTCAAGTATATACCTAATAAGAAATACATAAAAATGTATAGTTTTCTCCCGTTTAACAATGTGTTCTAAAAAAACGTATTTAATTATTTATTAGTATAGATTGAAGTATTATAAATGATTGTGGAGGTAAATAATAATTTGTGAAGTGCGAGAATTCCCTTTTGTATAAGAAATGAACATGTTGATTTTGTTGTTGTATTTATTGCGTTTAGTATTGTTTCGTAAACTGAGATACGTAAATAGTTCGAAGAGTTTTTAGTTCTATCTTTGAGTTCAAATCGGTAAAAAAATGTTAATTTCTCATCACAACATAGATATCTTTAATACCACTAATTGTAATATATTTTTTAACTTAGTAGGCACTAAGTCCAAGGTTGACCTTAATGTTGATTCGCCATTGATGGCGGCTTAGAGCAGCGGTCCTCAATTTTTTTTGGTCACGGAACCCTAATTGATCCTATTTTTTTTAAAGCGCCCACATCTTGATAATAATCTAACTGATTGTGTTTTAGTTAGAATACTTTCTTGTTTGACTTGAAAGAACAAATCATAAATGAAAAATATTAATATTTATAATAATATTTATTGCACCAAAAATACAACTATTTAATTGATGAATGATTTTTTTAACGTATTTATTTATAATAGAACTAAAATTAGGCTTCATATCTGACAACGTTTAATTTTTTTTTAGTTTTTTTTTGTGTTTTGTTAACTCTCGGATGGAACTCTGCACCCCTGTGAAGGAACCTTAGAGTTCTGCGACCACCATTTGGGAACCGCTGGCTTAGAGTATCCTCTTGTGCATGAAACTATATAATAAGGCTATCGTCACTCGAACTAGGATGGATATGTGCTAATATCTTTGTTTTTTTTATTGTTATTCTTTTCAAAGGCCGATCTGAAGTTTTCGTTTCTTGAAGTTTCGATTCTTAAATTAAGTTTTGATTGCACTTTGATTACAAGAGCTGTAAATTTTTTCCAAGTCATTTTTTTTTTGTATAATTTAAAATATTTTCTATTTAAAAAATCGTCAGGCGCACATTTCTGTATTGTATTTGTTCTCGATTTGAGATGATCTATTTACAATATTTATGTCTGCATTTAATGCAATATTTCGCGCAATTGTAAACTTCTACATAGCATAGTACATACTGACTACATTTTTAAAACACGTCTGATCATTTTGTACTCTATGGATGAGTCTTAGTATTTTTTTTTAAATATTTTGTTTTATATAACAAACTACAGACTTATTTTTATAATTGACATAGATTAGGTATTAAATAGAGGTGACGGTTTCGAATTTGTACATGGTTATAATCTATAACATAAACTTTGTATACACTATATTTTATACTTTAATGTTATTTTCACCATTTTTGTATAAAGTATTGATATTAAACTAAACCTGACTACAATTTGTCTAGTAAGCACTAAGGAATATTATTATCATTATATATTTGTGTGCAATTTTTTTCTGTGTGTGATACTAGAATTATTTAACATGTTAGATGTCATTGTGATTTTTTTTTGTTTTAAAATTGTTTGCTTTCATGTAACTCGTTCATATTTATTCATACTTACAATTTCACAATTATTATAGTTTAGTGCTTCTATTTATTTACTGCATGTACAGATAACATTAGTGTCCTCGTATTTTGTTTGTATGGGGCATTTTCCAAAATTAAATTTCTTTATCAAAATACAAATTTGTAATACCGGATGTAGTATTGTAATTTGAATGTTTGTTGATAGATACTATGTACAAAAACCTTGTTTATGATTGTTATGTAAAAACATTTTTATTAAACCCTTTTCAATCAGATAGTTGTTTTATTTATAATATTACTCATTCAACCGTTCATATTATTCATTTGTTAAAACTTAAATTCCTAACAGACTATAAAAAGCACAATAAGAGCTAACTATCAACATGTAATATAATAGTTATTTATATGCAAAATATAATTAGAAAAAAAAGGTAATTTTACTAAATGTGTTGTAGAATTTGAGAAAAATATTTGAAGAGAAAAATAATAAAATAGACTGAAATCATTTACATCCTCTTCATAGTCCAGTCAAATAAGGTCTGTAATAAACATTTGGCATTCAACTTAGCATTTTTGATATAATGTTATAGGTTTAAACTTTTTTAAGCAATGTAACAAAAAAATTAAAATTATCTTATTTTCCTACTACCAACAATTTTTTTAAATTTATGTTCATCCCTTAAATTTAAAACCTGCCTAACTTAGTTATGTTGACAGGAGGAAAAAAAGTTATGAAACCTTTTTTATGTAAAATTCTAAGCTCTACACATTTTTACTAAAACTTTTCTGTCTAGGTTTTACCGTTTTCGAGTAAAAAAAACTTTTGAAAAAAAAATTACCCTTACACATTGTTTCTGTATCATTATAACCTCAAACACACCCAACTCAAACTACATTATATCTAAAATGAAAAGTTAAGTGCCAAAATTTTTCGACTGGACTATTTAGATGAGCTAACTTCTACAAATCTTTTCTCTTGAAATTCAAATTTTACCACAGCTCTTCAATATTTTATAGTAAAATTATTATTAAAATTATTATATTTTGCCAGTGCAAGTTCCTAGATACATTTCAATGGTTAGTATAGTTTTCTAAGAGATATTTTAAAGAGAACTTTGTAAAAAGAATCCTATATGTTGATGCGGATAACCAGATATCATCATAACAAATTTCATCAAAATCTGTCCAGTGGTTTTCTCATGATGCATTCTCAGATTTGACAGGGGTGGAGCTATGAGAAAAGAATAATATATATATGTAGTATATAATTAAAAATAATCTAAATTAATTTATTACAAATTTTGTAAAAAGTATGTTTAAATAATAACAATACCTTTAATGATAAAGTTTATTTACAATACTGTGGTATATCCATTTTACTTAATCTTAATATGAAGTCAAGAAGATACATTTGCACTTTAATTTCTAAAGGTTTATTAGTAACAAAAAATCCTGGTACTCCTGCCTTTTCTAAAGTGTCTTGCTGGTCACTCACCTGTAAAATAAGCACCAGTAATATTGACGAAAATGGAAAAATACAAGATAATTAAAGAAAAACCAATATTACATCAATATTTTTAAATTACCTTCTGATCTAATTGAATAACTAGTTTCATATCTGTTTGCTTGAGTTCCTCCCTATGCCTTTGATGTAAAACATTTCTTTTAACTTCTTGTTGTTCTGGATTTGGTGTAGAATTAATCATTTCTTTTATTTCCACTGTAATAAAACAGAGGCTTTAAGACATTTTATTACATTTACATATTTTGCCATGAATTATATTTAATTAAATAAAAAAAATAACACTCACAAGTATGTTTATTAATAATATGAAATCTTTGTTGAAATAGGTGTTTTTCAGTAACATGCTGAATTTCCATTAATCCTTTAACAATCTCAAATACAGTATCATTTAAAAGACAATTTGCTAATCCAGACAAAAGTTCAATAGGCACCCTCATTTGATATTTTCTGTAAAAATGTACCATACATTTTTAATAAATATAAATTATTTATATTTATTAAAATTGTATGCCTATATCAAAGATCAATAAAACGTACGGTGGTAATTCTCTTGCCATGTCTTGTAATTGTTCTAATAAAAAATAAAGTTTTCTTTGTAAAGCTTCTGGTGTAGGTTCAGCAACTTCCATTATTAAAAAATATAATATTACATACTTTAAGTAGCCGAAAATTAGTAATTTTTACGTATCTTTTTCTTTAAATTATGTTAGAAATACTACTACTGTCATATGTTCATTATTATTATGAATCAAATGAATCCAATGCTTTAAGTTTATTTTGAATTAAATAAATCTCAATTTTATTCCTTTCATAAACATGAGACATTAATATTTTCAAATAAAGATATACGTCAAGTTAACAATATAAACTCAAGTGTCAACGTCAAAAGTATATAAGTGTATAATCTATGGGTTAAGGCTGTACCCATAGCTTATTGAGAAGATAAAAAACTTAATCTTGATTCTTGATCATGAACGAATTAGCCATTTCGTTCATGATCTTGATATATCGAACAATCTCTTTCATGTCTTCTCCATTCCACTGATATATTCTGTCCGCAACTGGTACATTACATTATAAAATTAAAAAGTTTTGTTATCACTGATATAATTATAATCTTCAACTCATAGGGAAAGAATTTTGCTTTTATATCCAGCCAGATGTCACGATCACTACTGCCCTCAGTATATTGTAAAACTATATTGTGGATGGATTTTTTTTTATTTTATTTAAAATTTCATCAAAATGACAAATTGTACAGTGCTAGGATGCAAAGAAAATGGATCTCATTTGTTCTCAAATGAAAGAAACTGAAGAAATTGTGGGTTAAAGCAATAAGACGACCAAAATTGGCGAAATCTCAATCTTTATATTTAAGGCTATGTGGACATCATTTTACAGTGACTAATAATTTTAAAACCCTTAAATAGCCTACAGGTGAATTTATTTTTTTTATTTTTTATATATTAACTACAGAGTTTCATACAAACTTTCATCTCCCACTTACCCATATGGTATTGAATTTTGACAGATGCTAAAATACGTATTCAATGCTTACAGCATTCGAAACGTCGGGAACCAAAAATCAAAAGAAATCCGCGAAATGATCCGAAAAGATAGTTTTATATAAAATGTCAAACATTCGCGTAAATGTAAGAAAGTATTACATACGTATTTATTTAGCTATATTGAAGAGCATTGATGCCAAGTTTTAAGTAACATAAATAATTCTTTGCCCGTATAAACTTTACTACCCCCTTTTACCCCTTTAAAGGATGAATTTCGAAAAAAAACCAAATAAATATATTTCTTATTTTTTATTGTAAAGCTAAACACCACTTTCTGTGTATTTCACATTAAGAATGACAGAGTTTCGCACAATCTTTTATCCCCTATTTTACCCACTGAGAGGATGTATTTCGGAAAATCCTTTTTAATCGGATGCCTGTATATAAGAAATACGTCCTCCAAATTTCACGTTTCTACCACCAGCAGTTAAGGCTGTGTGTAAATCCATCTGTCGGTCAGGACCACTGCAGGATGCACTCCTTCTGAATTCTTCCTGCAGCTGGTCTAACTTCCAGATAACAATTCATACATTGTATAGGTAAGGCACGAATACAATGGAAGCAAAAAACCAGGTATAAAAGAAATATCACAATAAATAGCTTAACCTGACTGAACGTAAATAGACCATACGTGTATCGACCTCCTTTCGAGAAATCTTCTCCAAGCACATGTGACGTTAAATGCCACTGTCAAATTGACAGTGTCAGTGTTATTTTTGAGAAATGAAAATTGAAAATTGAGAAATCAAAACTCAAAACAAAAATATGTTAGGTTTAATGTAGAGTTATTATATTGTAATAAGTTTATAAAACTAAACTGCACTTTATTAAATAGTTACATAAAGTTGAACATACGATAATATCTATTAGATAAAAAATGTATAAATTATATCTATTGTTCGTTCTTTGCCCTATTGGTATATTGAAGGCAAATTTTGAAATATATAATCACCTACAGTCCAATGTATTTTTGTAAGTATAACATTACCATTATAAGAAAACAGTGCAAAAAAAGTTCAATGATATTTACAATTTATATCAATTTATTCTGTACATAATTGCAGGCAGTACAATGGTGAAGGATATTTGTTTCCTTATCCAAACCAATGCTATGAAATTTTGGATGTTTTTGCTCAACATGCTTCTAATTTAACACTTTGTTCAATATTAAATGCAAGACCAATAACTGTGTGTGAGAGATGTGTTGAACAATATGTTAAATTTCGTGATAAATATCAAGAACTATTAAATACAACAGTTAATGGAACGTCATGTAGATCTGTATTCATATCACATGATAGGTTAAATGCAGTTCAGGAATACCATGATAATATATTGTCTGTATGGAATAAAGGAAAGTGCAATGGTAATTATTATTACTTTATATTGTATTAAACAAGCAGTCATAATTTAAATTATACAAGTGGCTTTTTATATTTTTATTCACTTAGTATTTTAATTCATTTTAAGGTTGTTTTGATTGGAATCATGGAATACCTTCCCTTAAAAATAGTACCATAAGTTTTCATAAAATGTTCAATGATACCATGAAGTGCATAGTAGATAATATGTATCCTCAGAATAATGATGTTTGTAATAGATGTATGCAATCATATCTCCAGTTAGATGAATTTTATAAATCATTAAGTTCTGATTCAATTGGTGTTGATAGTGTCTGTATGGATATAGTTGATTCCGTAAGTATTCTTTTAATCTAAAAGTATTTTTAGGTCTAAAAAGACTTACAGATGATTTCTTTTATTATTTTCTTTATGTTTATATACATCTAAAATTAAAGAAATATATTTTTATTATTTGTAGATGAATGCAACTCATTCAATATGGAGTAAAAGTCTTAATTGCTGCAAACTTAGAAGAACACCTGAGATTGTATTTTTGTGTTGTGCTGGGATTATATCTCTATTACCATTAATATACTACATGACAGTACGCTTCTGTGGTCCTATAAGAGATTTGCCAAATGTTTTGAAACGTAAGTGTAACTTTGTTAAATTTTTGTGCTATATTAAGTACTTAGTCAAATTTATTTAAAATGCCAGTAAATATTATTTTATGATCTTAATTAGTAACTATAATATTGCTTAATTTTCAGAATCCAGATTTAAACAGTCTTTTCTACGATCAGTGGACAATAGGAGTGACTAAATGGTTTTAATTTAGTTTTTTTTTATCTATTGATGCCAAATAAGTTGTATGTTTTATAGTTTAAGGTAAGTCTAACAAATGTTAACTATTTATTATAAATAAAAGAATTACCCCAATTGTTTGATATTTAATTTTGTCTGAATTTGAATATATTATAATAAAAAGATACCCAAAAGCTACTACTAAATTCAAACAGCACCATTTGTAGACATACATTATAATTACATTGTATGGTAGTTTTTTTAAATTAGAATATACATTTTATTACATTAATTTTAGTATAAGGTTTTATCAAGACCAACAAAAAAATTGTTCTAATAAATATCAATAGATGCCGTTGCCGGTATTGGGATTTGTTATGTAAAATTGATAAAAGAAGAATAGTAGATCCCTAAAAAGTTAATTCTGGTTTTAAAGAGCACAAATAAATGGACATTGTAAGAATGCTTTTTTAAATAATATTTACTGATTAAAAATTCAATAATTAGGTCATATTATAGGGATCATGCGCAAACTATAGAGGGCAACACTTCTATCGAAAGTAGAGCGCTCTGGTGTTAAATAAGAAAACATAGTGTTGTAAGCAGTGTAATAAATAAAATTAGTTATGCCTAAATTATGCAAAAAACAATAGAATTTGGTTTTTTATAGATAAAAAATGGTCAGATTAGAGGTCAAAATAATAAAAAAGGCCAACAATTATTTAAATCAGGTCATGTTTTAAATGTAATTGAAATAGAAGATGAAAGTAAGCTATCAGTCATAACCTGCACAGTTGTCGCTCCAACCAGTGTTTCTAATGTTTACTTGTTTTAAGATATGTAACACCTCAGTCTCTCCCGTGACCATGGATGCTGTAAAGCATTCGAAACGTCGGGAACCAAAAATCAAAATAAATCCGCGAAATAATCCGAAAAGATAGTTTTATTTAATAATTGTGTTAATTATTATAAGTATTAAAAAATATTTTTACAAATTAACTGTGTAATATTGAAAATAGAAGAAATCTGGTAATATTTAAGCTTTTTGAAAAGTATTTTAAACTTTGACAAAATAAAAAATTAAAAAATAAATGCTAAAGATGTTTATAAATTTTGAAGTAGGTACATATAACATTATTTTATAACTAGCATTACCCGCGGCTCTGCCCGCATTCAAATGACCAAAAACCAAATTCTTAGGTTTTACATATTAGTATACTCTTACATTATTTTGTATTTTTTCTCAGAAATGAGTTATTTTGCCGTGGTAAAAAGTATATGTTGACCCGGATAATCAGCTATGACTATACTAAATTTCATCAAAATCCGTCTAGTAATTTTTCTGTGATGCAGTAACAGACAGACGGACAGACAAAAATTCTAAAAACTATAGATTCGGTCTCTGTATCGATAATAATGTCTATTTCAATAAGATTTTCCAAAAAATATTGAATGTACAGATTTGGCTCAGAATTTTATTATATGTATAGATTTGTAATCACTTGAAATAAAAAAAAACTGATTATTATTATTTTCAATATTAATTAAATTTCTAAAGAAGCTGTTAATAAATTAAAAAATATTATTTTTAGCTTGATAATAATCTTTTATTATGGAAACCAAAAAGAACTTGTCTGCCTGCCAACTGTAGTATCATATTGATTATATATACAAAATAATAATTAAAATTAATATATTTTTTTTATTAGAAGACTACTTGCACATGGTTTTTTTACTAGGATTATCAATTTTTGACGTTTGAAGGTTATCCACGCAGTGTTCAATGAACTTTCGAGAAAACTATGAAATTTCAACATATATATTATAAGATATCACAAACACTTATTTCTATTAACAAAAAATAATTAAATAAAAACGCTGATAATACAAAACTAATACTGTTTACCATCACTATGTTTGTGTTTATTCCCAGCAGATGGCATAATCGTTATCTTTCTCACTCCCTATACTGCGTATACATAGATGGCGCTGTTTTCATTTTGTGTTCTGTCGTGGCGTCTTAATAGGAACAAAGTTAGTTCAAAGAAATGTCTATAAATGGCATTTAATGTATTGATTGTTTATTGAAATTTTTGTAAAATTAACAGGAGATAAAAAAAGGCATCTCAAGATCATATTCATTTCGGAAGTAATAGATGGCATTAATATCCATATTTTGTTGTTACAATATACGAAAATATCATGTAAAATAATGTTTTATTTTGATCTAGGTTTCTTAATATATTTTTGTTCAAAATAATGCATTTTATTTTAAATTTAGATATTAAATAACCTTACAAGGAAACAAATAAATAGAGAGTAATATATATTCAATATTATTAAAATATAATCTGCGTTTTAATGTGGCTTAACATCGACCAGCACGCTTTAACGAGCGCCAGGTACCCCGTTCAATGTGATATCTACGTACTGTAATTGATTTATCTCCTAAATTAATGAAGGTCCCATTCTGCAATTTTTATCGTGATATAATATATATTAATTTATTCTTTATTGTGCAGTAAAAAAAAAATTAGTAGAAGTTATTAAAAAAAAAACATTTACCGGTTTAACACTAGAAAAATAATTCGAATTTGGAATCTGATAATACATCAAAAAGAACAGTAAAATTTCTAGAAATAAAACACTACATTTATTATTTTATTACTAAATACCTCAACATGAAAAACAGTTCCAAAACAATCTTTCCATCAATCAGATCAATTCTTTAGAATTCCATTACTTGAAAACTAGAAGTACAATTAAAATGCCTAATATGAATGAATTTCAGCACCTCACTTTTTTTCGTTGTCCACTTCACATGAAATGCCCATGTTTTTTAAAATAAAAAGTTCTAGTTTGTGGATCAGTGCTCTATTTAAACAAATAAAAATAATGTAAATTAGGGTAATCCAAATTTTGTATAGGATTTTATATGAATGCAAAAACCAATCCATACATATTACACCATCTATAAACATTTATTTGAACTATAGTCTGATTTTTAATTCCACGGAAATATGACAGCTATCATTCTTTGACAATACAGATATCATAAACCTTTGCTATTTTTAATAAGCTTTGTATTTTTAATATAAAATAACCAAAAATATGAAACAGAATTAGATAAATTAAACTATATGTATGACATTGTAAATAGTCTTCGTTTTGTGCATTCAATGCACACTAACTATAATGTAATTCTTTTAATGGTTAAATGAAAAAAAAACAGAGTATGGTATGGTATAAGACGGGCCAGTTTCCGCAACTCGACGTCTGCGCGCCTATTTTGCGTGTGTCAAAAAAAAAAAACCCAGTAAAACGAAATATAAGAAATGAAAATATTTACTAATCATTATTACTTATATCATCCTTGTCGTCACCATCCACTCGGATTATAAAAGAATCATACACACTATACATCACATTTTATCATTTTCTTTTATAATATGGTTTATGCATTCATGCCAAAAACAATAATACAAAATTGTGAACGATCATTGTGGACCTGTCTTTTTGGGACTTTTTGCAAAGATTTTACAAACAACGGGGTTTTCCTAAAAAAAGGCTTGCAACCTATGTATTATTGAACAGGGATTCCTGTAATAGAAAAATAATTTCCTTAATAATTATTCTAACTTCGATAATATGATAATAAAAAAATAATTACCATTATAGTTATCAATAATTTTTTAAGTCTTAGTTTTTCTAATTGAAACCTTAAATTCAAGAAAGGTTTATTTTTTTATTTTGCTAAAATGCTTTCCGTTTTTAGTGACAATGTTTAAAAGCTGACAAAATTTCTGAAATGTCAGAATTCCGCAGAGTTAAATCAGACTATAACAAAGTAAACTATAAGCTTACATAATAAAAATCATGCTTATAATTAAGATGTAAAAAATAAACCATAAAAACAAATTGGTAAAGTAATTTTATTGACCCATTCATTGAATGATAACATTTCAGTATCCATAGGCACACTACAGGCTCTTTGGATAACAGTAAGTAACATGTTCGTTTCTTTTATATATATATACTATATATAGTTATCTATGTCTTGCCTTTTTATTGTTATTTTTCTTAATGTTGCTATTATTGCTACTGTTTGATAGTTTATGTTTTAATGAATTGGGAGTAGAATCTCCTTTATTTATTAAGCCAATTCCACTCTCTTTTTCTTTTGGTGTACTCGGTCTACTATCTAAACCAACAGCTGATAACATCTTATTGTCACTTCCAAAGGCTTTCTGAAGAACATTTGATGATGATGCAATTTTCTGTGTTACACTTTGCTTAGTAAGAGCACTTGTAATAGTTTTTTCAATACTACCATTAGTGTGTTGTTTACCAGAAGGCTTTGATGCAATACTTTCAGTAGAGCCATGTATAGTGGTATGATTCAATGTTCCTATCATACTAGTACTTATTTGTGTATCAGATGAGTCTTCATTTGTTTGAGATTCAGTCTCACTATTTCTTTCATCTAAAAATGCATATTATTAGAAACAAAATAAAATTTAGATTATATTGTAAGTAAGTTATCTCTTTGTGATACTTACTTTTAGCTTCAGCGGGATCTACTAGTCCACTTACAGCCTGGAACAAAAAAGGTTTTCAATAATTATGAAATATCTTGTAATTTATCATGAGAAGTAGTCAAACTTACTGCCATAGATGTTATGGAAGATTTTGAAAATAATCTTTCAGCTTCTTTGAACTTTCTGTTACGTTTATCGGCTTTTGAGTTAGTACTTTTATTTGTAGCAAGATATCTATCCCAGCCTCGTATAATATTGCCATAGAGTTGTGTGTCTTCTAAATATGATCCTTCAAATGCATATATTTGGCGTTCTAAACTAGCCAATGTTTCCTAGAAAAATATAATTTATTTATATAAGTTCAAAGAAATAATGAGCAAGAATAGGTGGCTAACAGCTTTCCCTGGTAACTTTTTAGATTTAGCAACACTTTACAGACCTACAAATTAAGAATAATATTTCTTAATTCTTATTCATTTACAATTCGTAATAAACCCGAGTTTATATTTTTATAAACATTATGCACACACAAGTGTTTTTATAGGTCGAAGTTAGTTTTGCAAATTGCCGGTAGGGATGCAGCTCACCGCCAATAAATATATTAAATTTCTCTGTTCGAACACTCACAGCCACCTCTGCCTTTCTCTTTACTAATTCGGCAAGTTCAGCTCTCGTATCGGCTACTGAAGTTTGTTTGGACGCCATGTTGATTTTTTTTACTTGTACGCTTTGGGTTTCGCTAGCAGGGCTTTGCGGTGACACAACCATGTCGCTGCCTTGTATATACTTTCAAATTAAACTTCCATAACACCTTTACTATAAATATTAAGATATTAAGTAAAGTTGGGCGAATTTATACACATCTAATCTATTTACAACATAGAATTTGAACACTTTCATTTGTACATTTCAGTCAGAAGTCGACATTTTGCACTTCAGGTTCAGTGACGTTTTGGTGACGATTGACGTCATATGATACGTAGTGTTGCCAACAGTCAACACTAAGAAAACGCGGTAAATAGGGAAAACAACTGTCAATCAGTTACGCGTAGAGGGCGCCAAAACTTATTCTCAACATTTTCTTATTTCTTTCGCTCCAGTTAAATCACGGATCGCAACCACCCATGTCAATCCCCCGACAACCAGTCCCTTCTTTTTTTATTTCTTCTTTCTATTTTAAATTGAATTTTTATTATTATTTTTCGGCCTGACCAATCTCGTCATTTTTAATTGCCCGATTTAAAAAGGTATCATGATTTGTTTGTTCGTGTCGTCAGTGTGGCCAGTATAATCAATTAATAACTGTTTTATCATACACTTAAATAAAAGTTCCCGTCGTAAGCTTCCATCCAACCTGAGAAAAAAATGTTTTCACTTGAAATACTCATTTTGACATGAAGTACGTAGTAAGTAGTACGTAGTAAGTAGTAGTGATACTATAAATAAAATATTGTACCTCGCGAATCTATTCTGGTCGGAATTCCGATTAATGAAGATTTGAGAGAATTTTTGAATTGCGAAATGATTTTGAGTTAAGTGCAAGCTGCTTACATACATCCTAGGAAAATTTTGACGCTTTATTGAAAATAAGAAAGTGGTAATAAATGAAACTTTATTGATTATTTTTTAAGTAGGTAGGTACCTGTTTGTATTATTCATATTATATTCTACAGATAACCATAAATATTCAGTTCATTATTGAAATATAGTTATATTATCTGTGTTTCGAAATTGTCATTTTTACTCGTTGATAGTTATTATTTATTTGTTAATTATTATTGATAAATGTTAGGGGCTGGGAATTAAAAAATGTTAAAAGGCACATCTTATTAAAACTAAATTGAAACTAATATTACTAAAATTACAACATAATAGATTTTACACAAAAAGCATTTAAAAAAAATGTCCATTACTTACATTCCTCGTGTAACTCAGGTACACATTTTACAAGGATTTATTAGACGCATTATATCAATATTTACAGTTTAACAATTTGTTACATTATTTTAGCTTGATTCTCAACAGTTAGACAGGGAGTTAGAAGAACTGTTTAAGCACTGTATTTTTCAGGCCACAAAATATTTTGAGGTATGTCAATGTCTGATTTTAAAGTGTTATTACTTATTTAGTTATTTTTATTTATTAATTATTAACGCAGATCTATTCTTCTAGCCTGGAATATTACAACCTTTTCTTCCTGAGATTGATTTATTAATCAGGACATGGATATTTAAAAATTCTATATATGATAAAAATAGTTCTTTTGGACAACAAATGCTTTCTTTAAAATATAAAACGGATAACTTTTCAAGGACAAAGTTGTATTGGTATTTTGGTTATATGATTGGTTTAAGGTACCTAAAAGACAGAGCAATATATAGTTTTACTTCTAATATTAAGGTACAAAATTTATTAACAAAACTGGAGACTTTTCAACTAATTGGAGATATTTTTAATTTTTTGAGATTTATTCAGAGTGGTAAACATCCAGCTCTTATTGATTTTATATTAGGTCTGGAACTAACAGCCGATAAATTAACAAGGGAAGATTTAACTGACTTTTCCTGGACTCGAGAGCTTTTATGGCATAATTTAATAGTAAGTCATTATTTGTAAGTAATAATTTAGTAAGTGATTTAATACTAAGCCATATAAAATAAAAAATATATTTACAAAAATGAAAAAAAACCCACTGTGTGAAAATATGAAAATAAGTTGACTAAGCAAGCAGAGCTCATAGCAGCAGAGACATAATAATGACCATTTGTTATTCTTGCTGCGATTCATTCCACCTTTTTAGTTTGCTTTTTACACAGTGGGGATGTGTTTTGTAAATATTCTTTTATTTACAGCTTTGTTGTTATGACGAGGTAGAAATTTGGAGTTTTATTAAGCAATTTATTATTTCAAATTATATTTAAACATATTAGTTGTATATATTTTTTTGATCACTTCTTAAAAACCTTTATTTTGATACCCCACTTGATAGGTTTTGGAAGATTTTTTTGAAGACCCATTGTCGCCTGAAATCTGTCATTATTCATTATTTGCATATAACACTTGCGTTATCAAGATTAATTTAACGACGTATAAATAATCGATACCGGTTAAGAAGTTTCGTAATTACATTCGAACATAGGATCCGATATACATACATACAGGTCAAACACTTAACCCCTTTTTTTGGGCTGTTAAAATTGAATATATATGTATATTGTAGGAGTTAATTGGAACAGTGCTTTCTTTAGTAAATATGTTTGGCTTGAAGCAAAGAATGTCAAAGATATTGAAATATATGTGGTGGAGAAATCGTGTAGGTCCATCTGCTGTTACAAGTCCAGCATCAATGACACTGTATACTACATGTGCATGTTGTTCAGAAAAACCTATACTGCCACATGTTATGGGATGTTCTCATATATTTTGCTACTATTGTTTAACAGTGAGTATAAGTAATAATATTGGTATATATTTATTATAGATTTGTATTTTTTTTAGCTATAAAAGTTTTAAATAAAGCAAATTCGATGATATTTTGTGCAGTATGAAATATACCTACAATTGTTTTTTTTAATTTTCTATAATGTATTTAGCATTGCATCTAAAATTTCCTATCATTTATTCACCAGACCAACTAACTTTTTTTTTATGAGATCAGCACAGTTTACAAACATTTACCCTAATTTTTAACGGGAGTGATAGGTACTTTTAAATATAGTTTATGTTATGTATTTTTTGCAGGCGAACAAAGCTGCGGATCCTGACTTTGCCTGCCCCAAGTGCTACTATAATGGAAAAGAAGTAATAAAATTCGTTATTCCATAGGATATTTTAGTTGTATAGTATAGGCATGTTTCAGGGTAAATTGTGATATGAAATAAAAAAAATAATATATTTGCTTTTTTATTCTAATAAAATTTTATTTACAAACAAAGAGTTATAATTTATACACTATTTAGGTACATCAGACTTTTAACTTTTGACAAACGTAAATATAATGTGGATAACAAATGAAAGTTATTTAAATTATGTAAAAAATTGAAATGAAAAATAATGGCGACAATATTTGAACGAAAAAAAAAAATGATCATATTTGAAAAACTGACGTGATACTTAATTCTAAATAATTTTACAATAAAAATTTACTACTAAGCACTACGAAACTACAGACAGAATAAGCTTATCTTATTAGATATGTAAGCGTTACATTTACTACTTTCTATGGCACAAAGGAAAATGTGGAAAAATACTAATTTCAATAATGCTGCAATAAATGTATTAAATTGTGTATTAAAGGATTATATAATGTAAAATCATTTTTATGCATTATTAAGAAAGTTTTGATGAAATATCTAATTAATTATAAATTATTATAAATAATTTATATGAAACAAAATATGTAACTAAGAGTAAAACTTACTTAGATTAGTTTAGAACAGATATATAAAAGTTCAAATTAGATATATTTAATAATTTTTATAAAGCAAAAAGTGCAATATAAGTGAACATTTGAGTTTAAAATCCAAATTTAGGAATGAAATCTGTTTGTTTGGTTTTGTTGATTATGCTGGAGAAAAATGCAATGTGCTGCTATATAGAATGATTAATGCATCGTAAATGGTAACTAGACTCGTAGTTTACAAGGACTGCCTAATGTTGATTATCTTTGCTATTGTGAACGTTTGCGTGGAAACCGGTCTCCCAATCGGCAACGTAGTCCACCGTCCGCACCGAGCCGTCCGGTTCCACCAAGGAGTACTGACCTGGATTAATTAAAACTCCTTTAGCTGTCACCGTCTAATATAGTAGATAGCGAAAGGCTTAAGCACTGTAATGTTAAGTGCGATACCATCGGCATTTAGATACCGATGTAGAGCTTTCCTTTATTTGAGCTTTAGTATACTAATAATATTATAAATATGTAAAGTTTGTGAGTTTGTGAGGTTATAGGAGGTAATCTCTGGATCTACTGAACCGATTTAGATGAAGTTCGGTAAGAATATAGTTTGAGACCCTGGGAAGGACATAGGAGACTATCCCGGAAATCATCCCTTAAGGGGGTGACAATGGGGATGAAAGTTTGTATAAGGAATCAACTAGTTAAGTATAAAAATACAGAACATGTTTATAACATCATGTTTTGTTTAATTATAACATTTTTATAATATTTATTTATATTGTCCAGATGTCTAGATTTTATGTTGATCCAGATGTTTTAATGATATCATTAAAACTTCTAGATCAGTGTTAATGAAAATCAGTAATATTGTGAACCTTTGACTAGTAACCTACATACATACATGTTCACCCTTATCGGGCGCCGGAGGTCGAAAAGTATGTAACCAACATGTATACAAACGGACAAATTGTTACGAGATTATAAATTCATAATAGGTAGTAGTAAAATTTTTTATAAACTGAATTTTAAATAAGTACGAGTAAATGAATAGATTACCTTTGACGACATCACCGTCGCGTTCTTCTTTTTGCTGCTTAATGTCTCCGGTATGGGGATCGTTCACGTGGTACTCGAACGCATAACGAGGATGTGCATCCTGAAATATTTAAACATAAAAATTAAATGGAAGGCGACTTAAATAAACCTTAAACCATAAGATAATCGAAACATCTCCATATGTAAAGTTTGTAAAAATACTCGTATTGCCGTAAAAAATTATAAATTAAAATAGACGTGCAATTATTAGGTATGTTAAAATTGATAACAGAATAATTCGTTTCCTCTTCCTGGCTAGAAATTAGTAGCATAATTTGTGGTTTGTTTATCATCCAACCCATCAGCTTTGTACAGTGAAAGTGGTATGCCGTGAATTAATTCCTTATAAAATGTAGGTAGATCCTATTGAAATTATATCGGAATTATTTAGAATGCACGAATTTCATCATTTCATGAGAAGTGAGAACATTTATCGTCCAGCTTGTATTATTTATAAATCACGTTCCTTAAAGCAATTACAACATTTGATCTAGTTTGCAAAACTAAAGGAAGTATTTCGATATTATTTTATTTAAATAGTTAATGTTAACTTTTCAAAAAATCATTAGGATTTTCAAACTTGCAAAATGAGGAAAGCATAGATATATTGTATTTTTATTTTACAAAAATAAAATACATAGGTATTCATTCATTCTAATTGACCAGGTGACATGTTGCGGCGTAATTATTATTTAAGAAGTTGCTTGTAATCTTCTTATGAACCAAACGTAAAAATTCGTATGAACTCGTAATTTAAAAATTGTGTAATCTTATTTTATCTACGTATATTATTTTATCATTGGTTAGTTAATTAATAATTTTGTCAAGTTTTGTATTCTACTCATTATCAGTAAAATACTCAAATGCAGGAGGTATTCTAAGGGCTAAGAGATTGTTTCTTATTTGATCGACTCCAAAAAGGACAACGTACTTAGTCTGTATTATTTGTGAGTATGTTAGGCGATAACTTCGCCAATTGTGAATAGATTTTCATTATTGTTATTTAACGAAGAGGTTGTACCTCAAAGGTGGAGTATCTTTATGTAAATTATACCTTCACCCTTAAAGGTGAAATAGTTATAATGTATGGTAGATATTATATAAAAATATAGAAAATAGTTTTCGATTTAAGCAAAACAAGGGCTGTCAGTAGTAACGTTTTTTAGTTTATACTGGCATTGCCCGCGGCTCCACCCGCGTTCAGATGACCAAAAACCGAATTCTTAGGTTTTACATAGTAGTTATACTCTTACATTGCAGTTTTTGTATTTTTTCTCAAAAATGAAATATTTTCCTGCGGTAAAAAGTATCCTATATGTTGACCCGGATAACCAGCTATCATCATACCAAATTTCATCAAAATCCCTCCAGTGGTTTTTCTGTGATGCGGTATCAGACAGACAGATAAATTTTTTAAAAACTATAGATTCGGCCTCTGGCCTTCATATCGATAATAATGTCTATTTCAATAAGATTTTCCAAAAAATATTTAATGTACAGATTCGGCTAAGTTACAATTTTATTATATGTATAGATTTATTTACAGTATGTTATAATAAACTTATGTAGGTCTTATATTAATAAGAAGTTGCTACCATTATAAGTATATCATTTGATATGCATAATTTAAGACTGCTACCAGTTTATTACACTTCTTGTAAGTTGTAACGTTTCATTGAAATTCGAGTTTGCTCTCAATAAATAACATGTCGTAAATATTACGTGATGTGTAATAATTTAAAATAAATATTTAAAGTCAGAAAATAAAGATAATATAAATTAATTGATACTATAACTAATTAAAATATACTAAGAAATACATTATTTAGGTGAATCAGAAAGTATTTAAAAAAAGTATGATATAGGTACTTATGATCGGGATACATAGGTATATAGGAGTGTTATTTATAGGTACTGAAAGAATCATTTACATTAAAACGCAATGACATGTTTCATGTATACAGGGGCGACCTTAGCCATTGCGAGGCTCAGGTCAGTAGATCTTTGCGAGGCTCAAGGCAGTAGATCTTTGCGAGGCCCATGTCCTTTATCGAATTTATGTGAATTAAAAGTATTTTTAATGATGATGCTTGACGAGAAATGTAAAAGTTATAAATAAATAAATTTACATTTTTAAAATTGTATATTGGAAATTTAGAAAAGTTAACAAGCACAAAGAAGACAAAATTATTTTGTCAACATTTTTAGTCTTTGCCTGACTTGCATTTTGGCATGCATTGCTATGCTATGCATGCCAAAGCTACTAGCTCATTTTAAATAATTTTTCAGAGATAGTGCACATTATTTATATCTCTTTAGCAGCGCTGGATTTACACTAGGGGCACTCGGGGCTAGAGCTCAGGGCGGTAAATTTTACGGGCGCCAAAATTTGGAGGTTGAGAAAAAAAATTGTCTTCACGTTATCGAAAATGATTTTTTTGATTTTCTAAAAATGAATGATTAAAAAGTTTACCTAGTAGGTACATTTTTCGAAAAATTGGTATCACTTATAATTTTTTTTTTGCATTTTTCTAAAAAATTAATAACTTTATGAATTTTATGCAAAATTTCGAAAATAGGGCGGCATTTTTTATAGTGCTTAAGAGATTTAAATGTTTAATATTACGCATCAGCTGGCATCCATCTCTGAGTAACCGATAAGGAATTGCTCGAATATGGTCTGGATAATGCTCAGGGACTATAGAAAATATGGACAATTAAAAGAGTCTATGGAATGGAGTTCGGATAGGCTACAAAACTGAGGTATTTGATGAGACTACCGGATGTCCACCTTCTTAACAGTCTCAGATTCAATACTTAGTAGACGGTGACTCCCCTCCCACTAGCGTGGTCGGCTAAGGTTGTCGAGAAGTGCTCGTGAGCGGCTTTCCCCGTTCTTTTGCAGATTGAGCACTTCTAACTTTTCAAGCACTTTGCAAGCAAGTAAGCAAGTTGCCCTGCTTGGCACCCCCTAATGCCGCCATTGCATGTATATGTATACACAAGCCAAATTAGGCCTTAAGGACATACAGATATAATCAAATAAATAAATAATAAATATAAATAAATTACCTATCTTATATTATAATAAAAATATGGTATAAATACAAGGTATTCAATAAATTTTTTTATAAATTTGCTAAATTTTAAAATTAAAGAAGTATAATATATTTTTAATTTCATTAATATTAAGAATATTTGAGTGAATATTTACTAAATATTGAAATTGAAATAAAATAGAATTCTTCAAATTAGTCAAATATTCAAAAATCTATGATATAATTTTATAGAACTAACGTTCCTAATCTCTATACTTAAAAACAATACAGAGTTTTTTCCTCTGGTCAATTTAAAAGAAAACTTCTTACTAATAATAATGAGTTCTGAAAAATCAAAAGAGAGAACCGATTTTCCTACTATCAGCACTCGTTATATGTATGTATTTTTTTTATTTTAAAAATATATTTTCCTTAAACGAGTGCGGGTCGTAATATTGTATATAAAAATGCATGTAGGACTAAGACGCACGCAAGTGGAGTGAAGATTAGCCAATAATTTTACTAAATTTTCGTTTACATAGTGCTATTAATGATAAACGTCGAATGGTAATATCTATATAATAATAATATCATCTATTGTGGGTGTTGTCCTTGTGAGTACGAATTTATAAAATGAGAATAGATCATGACTTCTATTATAGTGGCAATAAGTATTGCTAATAGTTTACAATGTTAACTTTATATACAATATTAAGTTAATAAATAGTTTTCTCATAGATTTATAAAATCTAAGATATATATTTTTGATTGAAATCAATCTCTATTTTGATGTCTTAGAACCTGTTTGAAGTTTCTTGGTCACCCGTCATTTCAATTTTTTTATCAATTACGAGAGGTGATGCAACACTCAGAGTAATACCCCGTAGGGTGTAATATGACACGATTGTGAGAATTATTAGATCATGAGGTGTTTAATATTTCAAAATAAGTTCCAAGCGATAGACTGGTTTTAGTAGATTCTGGTTATAAGTAAAGAAAATCTGATATCAGGTTTTGATAATTAATAAAGTCTGTGGGTAAATAGAGTCGTTGCTGTGTTTAAAGTAAACTAAAATGAATAGATTTTTTTGGATATACTGAGATATACTGAGTGCATAAACTTAATTATATGTGTAAAATAATTACTTTCCAAAAGCTTTTTTAAGCTCTAAATTTTTATACAAATGGTTAAGAATAGAAATATAATACTTACGTAATTTTCCACGAATTCTGCATGTACATTTTTGGCTGAGTGGCCTGCACTGGAGTATTTAGATGCTACTGAGGTAACTGCCACTGGTGCTACATGGGATATTTGTTGGCTGACTACTGGCGCTGAGTACTGGTGTACGTGAGACGATTGTTGAGATATTAATGGGTTTGAATATTGAGCCACTATTGGGGCGGAATAACGAGCCACAACAGGAGTACGGTGTTGAATTATTGAGGGAGCAGTATATTGGATTGCTTGTGCAGAATATTGAGGTAGGGCAAGGGGACCAGGTGCTCCATACTGAGCCACTGGAGCAGAGATGTGAGAAACAGATGAGGTGACGTATTGGGAGGCTGTTGGAACTTTATAAAATTGTGCCACACTGGAGAATGGAGCTTGATTGTATTGATTAACAGTGGAGTAAGGTGCAGCATATTGAGCTGATTGAACTTTTAGTTCTGGTGAAGTGGAATAACCACCAGAAGGAGCAGCATATACTTGAGAAACTACAGGTCCAGCGGACTGCGTAAAAGAATGCAATGAAGCCTTTGCGGCAGATCCACTCGAATAAGCTTGTTGGGCAATTGCATTTTGAGAATAATATGAGGTTTTGGCTGGGGCCAAAGAAAATTTAGCTTGCAGGGGAGCAGCAGTTATTTTAGCTATGATTGGTGCTTGAGCATAAGTGGCTTGTGGTATGACAGTCCTTGCTGACGAAGATAATCCTAGTCCTGCAGAAGTAGCATAACCATGCTCTTCTCTTTGTGCGGAGTATTCAGCATCTAAGGCAGCAGCGTCTTGAATGACGACTGGTGCTTGGTAACTGATGGCTGGCTGAGCTTGGTAAGTAGCTTGAGGCGCCGCAGAATTGTAAAACACAGACTGTGAATATCCACCTGCATTTTTTTGAGCATTTGAGGAACTCAAAGATACTGATTGTATTAATCTAGGTGCTGCTGTCGTTTTAGCGGTTTGTAAAGACAATTGAAGTGCTGGTGCAGGGTATGAATACCCTGAATCACCACAACCTTGTGCATTTTGTAGTTGACTCAGATGGTAGTTGAGGTCAGGATCGTGATAAGCTACTGCATTTGAAAGGAATGCGACAGCTACGAATAATATCTGAAATATACATAGATTATTATTATGTAAAACGATTTAAAAAGGAATGGAAACTAGAGAATTTAGTAGTAGTAGTAGTAGTAGCAGTAGCAGTTAATTATTTGGTAACTATTAGCAAATGTTATTTAAATAATATATTGTTATATTTCTTTAACAGGTTATATTCTAAAGTAACCTATATTTGGTTATAGTTTAAATGGAACACTAATACAATATTTTTAAATAGTAATCCTGAAATCAGTCCACTTAATATTTATTGAAATTTAAATATTTTTTATTAATATATTTAAACATTTTATAACACGTATATAATACATTTTATGTATTGTAGTTGTAAAATGAAACCTTATATGAACATAACTTAATAAAGTTTAAATAAGTACAGAAACTTTTTTACATACAAAAGACATCAACGCGTTTTATACAACTATTAACAATTTAAATTTTATACTCACTGATTTCATGATGTGTTTTATTTTAATATACGTCACTTTCGATATCAAGCACAAAACATATCACGTGTTAATACAATTTGAGAACTAATTGTGTTTGGCAAAGCGTAATTCGAAATGAGAGCAAAACGGACCCGCAAAGTCTTATATAGTATACTCATATGTGTAAGAACGGGTCACACTTTTTCACATTCGCTGGCAGTGCCGTGGGCGCGGCTTGTAGGATATAACTTCAATGCATTAGTTCTAAATTGCATCTAGTTTAGTATGCAATTACTAATATAATTAATATGGTAACTAAGTTCAGATGCATTTTTGTTTATGTTTTGTTAAAATTCAATGAATTTAATTCATATTATTATGTATGAGTTTATGTATAGTTCTTCTTAAGGTCTAATATTATTAATAATTATGATTTTATTGTAATAAAAATAATACAAAAGTTAACTTTTATGAAAGTAGTAAGGTCTACTTTCTATGTATGTAAGATCTACTTTTGATAAATCTGCTGCGATTTTTCGTAAGCATTTATATTACGTACATATATATGGTCAATAACTAACAGGTCGAGGGTCAAGTTTAGTTCAACTTTGGACACATGCTTAGTTTTCAGTCTATAATATATCAAGGGTTTTATTGTCATGCTAAGATATTATTCCGTACAGATTGCTGTTTTTTATGGATAAAAATATACTATTTGCAATGTTATATATCGTGCTCTCTTGTTATTTTTTTATTCTGATAGATCATTGTTTTAGATAGATCTCATTGTATTGAATTTAAATGTTTTTCCTATTAATATAGGATATAATTATGAATTGGTCTTTAATTTTCAAAAGCATTTATACTCTTTTTAAAGTAGATTAAAAAAATTGAAAAAGGTGTTGATTAAATTAAATAGTGCAAGATGCAAAACATTTGTTGCTCGTCAACATAAAGCAACATTTTCAAGACACTTGTAACTCCTAATTAAGCAAATGAATGTTGTCAATATTTATATTCATTTGCCGTGTTTTGAATATAAAAAGAAAATATATATTACTAGCATTGCCCGCGGCTCCGCCCGCGTTCAGATGACCAAAAACCAAATTCTTAGGTTTTAATATCAGTATACTCTTACATTGCAGTTTTTGTATTTTTTCTCAGAAATGAGATGAATTTTCCCGCGGTAAATAGTATCCTAAATGTTGACCCGGATAATCAGCTATCACCATACCAAATTTCATCAAAATACTTCCAATGGTTTTTTCTGTGATGCGGTAACAGACAGACAGACAAAAATTTTAAAAACTATAGATTTGGTCTCTGTATCGATAATAGTGTTTATTTCAATAAGATTTTCCAAAAAATATTTAATGTACAGATTCGGCTTAGTTACGATTTTATTATATGTATAGAACTGCCTCGGTGGTGTAGTGGCTAGCATGTACGGCTGCACACTCGGAGGTCCTGGGTTCGAGTCCCGGGTCGGGCCAAGTTTAGTTATTGAGTCTTTCTGTATAGTAAGTCTCAGTAACAGCCCGGAGTTGGGAAGTTGGCGGTGTTTCACCCCCGTGCCTCGGAGAGCACGTAAAGCTGTCGGTCCTGCGCCTTAACTCTCACTGGTCGTGTCGAGCAGTCGTTCCACCGGAGTATGAGAGTGACAGGAATAGAGAGTGCACTTGTGTCTGCGCGTACACTTGTGCACTATAATATCTCCTGCGCAGTTGGCTAGTCTCAATGAGATTGGCCGCCGTGGCCGGAATCGGCTAGGAGAACATCATCATCAGATGTGGTAGTGACCTTATGTTTTTAAATAAAAAACTGAAATATTTTGTTTTACATTATTAAATACAATATGAATTTATTTAAAAAATCTTTAAAGTTTACTGCATGGGAATTTGAATGTAGTGATCGCAGGTTCGATTTCCGTATACATTTAATGTAGGTACCGTCCAAAAATAGTCAAAAGGGGAGACAATAGATAAATTATAATAAAGACTAACCCCAATATTTCATTAAAAATTAAGTGCGACACCATATTCAAATAATATTTTTATTGGTTTTAAGTTTAAACTATTTTATATTATAAAATGTATAGGTATAGTACATTAAAAATAATAACATCGATATTTACAATCTAAAACCAACTGTTGTTATTAAAATAAAAACTGTTTACTTTTGATTATACGAAAAGATTATTGCTTTATAACAGAACGTTAAGACGTCGTTAATTTCGCAGCCTTAATTCAAAGTAACATGAAGTTACTTGTGATCTATTACGTCGCTTGTCTTACGGTGTAATGTCGATAGCTACGATATGTGTAAGGAAATTTTTAATCATGTTTCATGTTAATTTTAATTCTCGATTACAATAATATATATATATATATATATATATATATATATATATATATATATATATATATATATATATATATATATAAAAGTACGCATTAAATTATTGCTATCTATCAGAAAAGAAGCGGGCAAATATTAATCAATTATCAAAAAATTTACTATCATATTTTTTTTAATTAACATATTTATAATTATACGCTGACATTTCAAAAGATTAATATAAAAATATTGATATTCAGCATCACGCTTATTTCTTTTAAATATATGTACCAATAAACTAAGATAAATCTATGTACCAATTATAAAATTAGATAATGTTATTGCATCGTGCCGGAAACAAACCCATAACTGCCTGTGAAGCAACTAATCCACAACAAATAACAATACGCCATGATAGTCAAAATCAAAAATTAAAAATATTAATTTAACATGACTTATGAAAGTGACTTACTATAAATTAAATCTTATTGACATTGTATTTAATCCAGAATTTAAATCAAAATAAAGGCCATCTACTTCACATTCGTTAAAGACATAATTACAACGGGAACAATAAAATAAACTCAATGACACTCAATGGAGCGAGTATTAAGATCAAAGCGTAACGCGACACTTGCAAAAAAATACATACGAGTATAGTACGTTGTAAGTTTACGTGTTGAAATATTACGAGTATCGCTTACATGATATTAAGAAGGTTGAACTCCATTTAACTGTCTCTAATCCATGTGAATTAATCACCATAATTTATAATTAAAGGTTTAATTTTAATGACTTGTTGTGAGAGCTTAACAAGGGAAACTGATAACGTAGCGATTATATCTATGCATTTGTGCGACTACTTTTGTGTTGACACACATTCTGTTCATGATTTGGACATAGTAGATTAAGCTTTGGAAAATGAAGATGACGATGAAAGAGATTGAGATATACTGAATTTATCATAATTAAGTTATTACCAGTCGTTATGCAAAAAGATTTTATTATACCCTTCGAAGGTACAACTTTAGCCATTTCAGTTACTGGACAGTTCTGGACAAAGTTTTAAATTATTTTTGTCAATAACTTACCTTAATTATGAAATATAATTTTATGTATAGATTTAATAGTAATTATAACGTGTAGTACCTACAATTTAGAATGCTTAAAGAGAAAAGCTGACATAACAGACAAAAATAGATTATTTCCACTTTAAGCTCAGCACTTGAGAACTAATTTATCCAATTAGTTAGTTTTATAAATATAAATTACTAACTTTAAAGACAGAATCTAATTTAATGTAATATATACTGTATAACAAACGTTACAGAAAAGGTTACATTTTATAAATAATTACATAAATATAACATAATTTTTAGTAAAATTAAGTATCTATTTAAGTAAAATTTATGTTATCACTTAACTCTACGAACAAAGTATAATCACTATTAAATATTTAATAATATTTAATTGTATATTTATGATATCAATGCTTGAGTATGTGACTACATATTATTACATATTTATCGAAATTCGTGCTAATTTGGTAAGATTAATCTTTATCGGTACACTAAAAAAAGCCATTAAAAAGAAATGTCTTGTCTTTAACTTTTTTATCAGTAAGACTAGATTTCAATACTTGAAGAGATTATGAAAATCATTACGTGTTGGCAAACTCGCGTACTAACCCTCTGTTGCGTCAGCATCCATCGGCACACACTCGACGTCCTGATGTTATCGCACGTTAAATCTCTGTGTCACGCAAACATTTAGGGCAATTTGAAAATCTGAGGTAAAAGGCCCGATGAGGCTTTTTTATTATTTACTTGCGACTTACCCTTGCTTTGCTCGGGTGTATCTGTAGATACGCGAATTTCGTTTACGATTTCATGGTTTTTAATTTTTTTGGGCGGAACCCTAATCCTTTTTCTAAAATAAAAGTAGCCTGAGTAGTAACTCATGTTATAAGGAGTACCTTATAACATCATCTATCTGCCAGTGAAAGTCAGTCCAGCCATTTTGGAAATTAGCCGTAACAAACAGATACACAGACAGACAAAAAATTAAAAAAATGTTTTTTTTTCTTATAAATACCGTGTATACTTTAATGTGTGTTTAGTAAAAAGCTGTTATTTAAACGACTTCCAAAAAGGAGGAGGAGTTCACTCGAAGACGCCTGAACCGATTAGGATTTTTTTTTGTTTCAAGGGGTATATATACCCCAGGTGGTCCCATATAAATTTTATCAAAATTGGACGAGCGGTTTTTAAAAAAAAGCAACAATAAATTTTTTTTTTTAAATAAATTGTTTAATCGAACATGTTATCAAAAAAAAATCTACACTAAAAATGGAAAAATAAAAACTTAAAAAATAAAATAAAAACCGACTTCGAAAATATCTGATTAGGTATCTATTTTCAATGAAAACCTCCTTTAGTTAGTTTTTACATTTTAGTGCCTGGAAGTCGGTTTTTTTTAAGTTTTTTTTGACATTACAAACAGGCACTTCAATTTTATTTATCTGTATCCCAATTCTGGCTATGGCTGGCTCATAAAACTATTAATAAAATATTACACGTTCAGAAGTATAAATATTATTATTAATAGTTTTATGTAACGTGAAAAGCCAATAAACTATTACTCGTACTTAACAGGAAGCTTAGACAATTAAATTAATTAATTTGATTTAATTT